AAAAATGGAAATATTTTTGTAGAGTATAGCAAAGGATTATAAATAATCAACTCTCATTCTTTTTATGGTAATAACTCAATCGAATCATCATCTTAATTAGCATGCATGTCCGTTACATTTTCCCATTGTCTGGGAAAGTATGTTTAGATCAACCTCTCCAGATATATTTGCAATCCCTTCTCCAGGACTGATCGCAAAGGTGTACGGCCCTGTGCCAATTAATTTCGTCGAAGAAACTTTATTTTGAAAATTGATAAAGGAATCAATAGCGAGCCCTAATTTAAAGAAGCAAGAACGTAACCTGTATCAATGATAGACTTCACGTAGTCCATGCAGCCGGGATAAACGTCAATCACGAAAAACCCAACTCTAAACAGATCAAAAGAGTAAAATCAAAAGAATATAAAATAAAGTAACCAAAGTTTAGACAACAAAAGTGAAATAGAATAAAACAAAATATATAGCAAAAACATCCTCGTCACATAAACACTTACGCTATTCTAAAAAAAATAAAATAAAAAATCACGTAGGTAGCATAAAGCCATAAAGGATATCTTCTAGGTATTGATAGTATTTGTTTGCCTATGATTTAAACTTACGAAATTATGAATCAGAGTAACAACGAATTAAATTAACCATGCAAATTTCAGAACAGAGATATATTGGTATTCATGAATCCAAGTTCAAGCAAAAGAATAAGAACATAAATTAAATTGAAGCAGTTATTTTCCATGGATAAAAGAAAAAACAAAAAGATGTAACCAAATTAGTAGTAAAAGTGAGTCCCTGGAAAAATTTTTACCGCATGAGCGGGGTCCTTGCCGAAGACGGGTGATTTCCTTTCTCATGATTCTACCCTCCTCCGATTTCCCGCACATCAAATTACGAAGAAATAAATTAATTGCTTCATGAAAGTCAGTTTGATTCACTTGTTTTTTGTTTTTTGTTTTTTTGAAAAAGCCTTCTTTATTTATAGAAGATGGAGAATAGATTTACCCTTCTCAAATGTGGTTAAGTCGTTGATTTTCTAAATTCTCTTTTGCTTTGAAATCGGGTGTAAATTTGGTTAACTCTCATATAATTTGGAGATGATTTTCAAGACTACTCGCAAATATTCTACACTTTACCAAAAAAAAAAATGAAAAATCATAAAGAGGCTAATCAACTGAATTAATTATGGTAAATTGGTAATATTGCCTACAAGATCTCTTGTTATTACGTGCTTTTCTTTCTCCCTTTTCTGGAGGCTTTTTTTTTTTTTTTGGTGATGGTTGATTTTACTCCTTCATACTCCCTCCATTACAAAATAAGTGTCATCCTACACTTTGCACATAGTTTAAGAAACTCTTAAATAGGGTAATAAAATTACTTCAATATCCTCAACCAACCCCACTAAAAAAATGTCCACTAATAGTATTAATTCTTTCGAGGGTAATTTTGGAAACTTTGGACAAAAAGTGCATTGAAATGTGAGAACGACACTTATTTTGAAATATCTCCATTTTGTTAAAACGACACTTATTTTGGAACGGATGGAGTACTACAATTTATACTTTACACCTGACATTGTACGACTCCAATATTGTATTCATTTCTTGATCTGAGTAACATCTCTTTTCATCTGGCCCGTTGAAGGTCGACAAGATGAAATTTCCAAGTTTGGGTTAACAAGGAAATTGATTGCGACATGGATATAAATTGAAAATCACACATTCACTCACTGTTCTTTCAAAAAAAAAATTCTCTCCATGTCTTCATGCATAGTACGTAGTACAAATGAATCCAACTATATTTGTTTATTATTAAATTATCATTGTACTGAAAATAGCATGATTGGTGCAATATCATTTTCGTCCCCTTCGTATATATAGCTAGTGGTTAATGATTGTATCATATGTAGGAAATGTTCACAAATGAAAGTTAAAGATCTGGTAGATGTTTGATCATAATTTGGGACAATCTTTTGAGGTTTGTGATTGACCAATAACATTAGCCCACTTCACTTGTGTAAGAAAATTCATATGAAGGTGAAAAGAAAAAGGTTGATAGAACATAGTAACTGCTACTATAAAAAGGTAGCAAATATATTGTTTTATTATTCCTTACTTATATTGTCAGGATCAAATGAAAGATCATCTATAGTAGTAGTATTACACATATCAATATTTTTCAAGGCTAAAGAAATGATAGTGATTAGGGTGACGCACCAAAAGATTTTCAAGTCTTACACAATGTAACGTGAATAAAAATATACTTACAAAAGTTTTAAGGATTGATCCGATGTCGTCCCTTTATGATTATCATTAGTCATCATGGGGTACGTTGTGTCTATGCTCATCTTTGTAAGAAATCATATTATTGGACTTGTTTATTTTGTGTTGAACGGGGTCTCGATCATCACCATGTGCTATTAAAGATATGAGTTATGCATCAAAAATAAACATCATCGTTGTACAAGTAATTAAAGCATAATTATTAATATCTCAATTCCACAAAATTAATTAGTTTACTGATTCGTTGAACGAAAACAGTATAATAAATTGAACGTTTCTTACGTATTATGCATGATGAAGCTACATAGGGACTCTCCTCTCGTCTTTTCCAAGTTTATAAATACATAACTCTCCCGAGCGGAGAGGCTGTACAGCATGCATATACTGAGTATGATGGTGATTCCTCCCTTCATGAAATCTCTAATTCTCATTTTTCTCCTTTTCCAATTGGGAACTCAAGCAAGAACCTTACCAAAAGGTAAAAATACTTCATCATCATATCTCTCTCAAAACGCTCTTAAGGTACCATGTTGTAATAATATTTTCCCTTCTTGTTATAATTTAATATATATATATATAGGTGGAGGAGAAGATGATTGTAACTCCGTCGTGATCAAATCAAACTATGAAAGAACTCCTAGGCCACCGCCTCCACCTCCACAGATTAACACATTAATGAAAGTGGTGAGCCCTGACAAAGAGCTTCGTGGGTCGTCGGCGCCAAATTACCGGCGGCTTCCTTCACCTCCTCCGCCTCCACGTATAGCACCACCGACACACTATGAAACTACAACTATCAACGGAGCTTATTACCGATCTCCCCCTAATAATCTCTTACTCTCTTCCACTTGAAACTTTTTGTTGTTTTTGAATTTCATAGCTGTAAAATTGCATCTATATTCTATATTAAGGACGTACGTAATGTAGTCCTTGTTTGAATAAGTTTCCTCCGTCTTGTAAGATCATAAATAAACTGCTTCATTCCTTGTTAGATTTCACCTCTGGAGCTTTATGTAAATCAAGCTGCCCGTTATACTATATAGTATGTAATTAATATAATATATATATATATATATATATATATATATAGTTTGAGTGTGGATATGAGATTTGTTAAACTATGTGCATGCCATCCAATTAATTAATAAAATAAATTGAAGTATTCAGATCAATTTAAGTTTTGCCTAATGTTCTATCCGGTTCTCTACTTTTAGGAATTGGTTGGAAGATATTGAAGAGGTCCAAACTAAGACATGGAATTACCGGAATTCAACTTAGTATGAAACGATAATCATCTTGCGTTATTAGTTTTACAATGAATTAAAGGGATCGATCTCTAAACCCTATCATTTCAATTTAATATAACATCGGTAGTTATTTGTAACATTATTAATTAGTTTACATTTTGTGCGTGTGCTTCTTACTTAACAATCAAAAAAAAAAAATGTGTGTCCTAATCTACAGCCGAAAAATAGAATTAAAAAAACAATACAAAAATCATCCAAACCAAAATATACTACTTTATTTGGTAGAATTGGAAGAGCAGATTTATAAGGGGGTCAATTTGCAAATTCCACTTTTTGGCAGGTTGAAGTTCAAAATTTTTGAACAAAAACCCGGGGGTCTTGTTTTCGGGTTACAATCCGGGTCTTAACAAAATCGGGTAAAAAATAACCTAAATCACGGTTCTTTCTCTTCGTCCTTTCTCCATTAAGTTTAGAAAAAGAAATTGAGCCTAGGAATGAGAAATCCGAAGCTTCCAAATCGGCAAGAAGGAAGAAGAGGAAAGAGGTGAAGGAGGAAGAGAAAGAGAATCAAGGTAATTGGGACTTAACTTTAATTCCTCCTAGTTCGATGTTTTAAGTTGTCATCTTCGATATTGGTTATAAATTTGGGGAAACACTTGAGATTTTGGAATTAATTGATTCGGGGATTTAGAGACTGGGTTCCGTCCTCTTCCTAATCTAATGTATGTTGCTATTGTATTTGGTTTGGTTACGTGCCAATGATTTCAGTGGAAGTTAATTATCGGGGAAGAGAGAGAGGGCCGATGGCCGAAGGTAGTGAAACAATGGAAAAGAAATAAGAGTGGGAAAGATTATGTGGTTAATCTTTGACTCCTAGATTCCTTGTTATGTTTAGTTGCATGTTGTGAAATGGTGTTTAGTTGTTAAAAATTGTTGTAAGAGGCAAGCAAATAATTTCTTGATTTTAGAATTCGGTCATCCGGAGTTGGAAAATCCTGATTTAAGTTGCTTTTATGAGGGGGTCAATTATCATCTCTTAGGTTTCCTTCAATGCATATTGTTTGTACCTAACTCTGCTGGGTTACCAGGGTTTGTTTCGGTTTTTAAACTTCACCTAATGGATTGATGGATGTTTCAACATATTGGTTCAAACAACGTATGTTGCTGATTGTATTTTAAAAGTGCTGAAAAAACCCATTCGAGCCCGCCTGTTGAACAGCTCACTTTTTTCCTATTTCTTGAACCCTTTTCTAGGATTTCTTTATATATTGACAGCTGAAACTTTTAAATTGGGCAAAGGCATAGGCGAATCCTATTTGTTCAGTGCCATAAAACGATTTCATCTAAGGACTGAAGCTTTGAATTATATACGTAAAATGTTGTGGGATCTGTTATTGTTTAGTCAGAAGTTTGAATTTGAGTTTTCAGGTGCATTTAAGAAGCTACAAAAAACCTCAAAACAGTGCCGGCAGTGAGAAAAATGATGAAGAACACGATCACTACTGCCGCTTCTGTCGCTGGAGAGTCGTCTGTGAATGTCACGTCGTTGAAGGCACTTCTTACACATTTGATATGCGGATTAGGGTTAGGATCTGCATTCTATGCTGCCCATTCTGTTTACGCCATCAACCTTACTGAAAATCCAGAACAAACCATCCGTTTGCTTTGGGTACTACTGATTCTCATTTCCGTCATTCCAAAAATTTCGGCTAATTCGTTGATTACATTTTTCTCCTTTTTTTTTCCCCCTCAGGTGATAGAAGCTCCAGTTGTAATCCTTCTCTACAGTCTCTTTCAGCATTCCTCAAATCAATGCTCTGTAATTATGCTTCACCAGCCATTTCTTTGGTTTATTAGTATTTTTCATTCTTCTACAGAACCTTTTTGAAGGAATTTTAATTTTTTGCAGTACCTGAAAGCTGTCTTTCGAGGTTTACTGGGACTTCCCACTGGTCAGTTCTCTCTCTAAAATACTCTTTGCTAGATTGATTTCATTTAAGTTATACGAGAACAGTTGAAGGTGAAATGAGCTGTGCAGGATATTTAACGCTTTTCTTGGCTTTTAAGCTAGTCTAAATATTGGTTTGTTTCTTATTGTGTTTTTAGGGGCCATAGTGAATGCACTTGGAGCTATAGCTTTGGGAGCACCTATGATTCAGTATGTTATTTTTCCTTCTTTTTTTCTGTTCTTCTGGTCATTTTTTATGGCATTTAGTAGGTTGAGTAAAAGTTGGGGATCAGTTGTTGAAGGGGAAGAAAAAGAAAAGAAAAAATCATCCATATGTTAAAAGTATGGACTATCAGTTCCTGCAGTAATTGTCATGAGAAGCGAGTTACAAACTAAGCATCATTGTGGTTTTTTAAAAAAAAACTGTGTAGGTAATATGAACATTGTTTGTGGTGTATGCATTGAATAGCTGCTGTAGTGTTCAGTTTTCTGGATATTATGTTTCAGAGTTATGTTTCTCATTTCTTAAGTGGTCGCATGGTAGAAATATTTTTTTTTAGGGATAAAAATTGCATCTCGTGTTACTTTTGATTTATCTGCTTATTATCCTCAGGAATTTTGAGAGGACCATTCACTGGTCTCTTTTGATGTCAGTTCTTACTGTAAGTGTATCATTCTGTTACCTTCAGTCATTTAATGTTTTCCTATAACTTAGTAATTCTTCCATACTTCTATGATGATAATTGTTTGAGCCATTTAAGTATCAGTGTCATTTCCCAAAATGTCATAGCTTTATTTGGATTTAGTAATCCTCTCGACCGCGAATCATAGTTTCCAAAATTTCTTATTTGTTGGCAGTGTGTCCCTGCAGCTTCTGTCTTAGGCTCTTCTTGGGCCGACTGGCAACGGATATTTGCTCTCACAAAGTAAGTATATCTGACAATGTCCTTTTTCTTCTGCAAACGAGAGAGTTTAACTTTGCTTATGAGTTTTTAATAATCAGTCAAAAGTGATGTTTGCAGCTTGTATATTACTTTTATGATTAGTTTTACTTGTAATGGTAGGGCAAGTAAACCCCTTGAGTATATGATTTGTATACCTGCACATGGAGCTGTTATTGGAGCCTGGTTTGGTGCTTGGCCGATGCCACTCGACTGGGAAAGGCCATGGCAGGTAATGTCGCCTTCCCGTCCATCTCAAACGTACAAGAATTCATGAAATTTTGAGCCATTTTTTTTGTTTACTCATCTAAATTCTGATTCTACTTGAAATCTTTTTGAGCTGTTTCTGTGGAGGATCGTACTTTTAAGTTTGAAAAATGAGTTGGCTTTAATGTGTTCTCTGGCTGGCTGAATATGATAATCCACACTAACCGCTCAGATATTAGTTATAGAGCAACATCTAAAAGTACTGTACTAATTGTTGGTATGAATTGGTTTTTAATCCTTTTGCTTCTTAAAAAGATTGAGCTAAGCTAGCTGCAGTGTACTCATTTTGCGTGAGTCACACATTCACTGATGAATCTTGCTCTGGTTGTTATTTGTGGGAGGACAAACCAACCTTTTAGAACACTGTGAAGTTTGAGCAGGCTTGTTTTTGTTGCTGCATTGTAAATAAGTTAAAATGAAGAATCGGGAAGGCGGTAAAGTTAGTTAAGGCCATTAATAACCTTTTTTTTAAATTAAACAACAGTACCTTAACTTTTTATCATAGAAAGGTTTAATCCCAGATCGCATGTTCCTCTGTTGGCCTTTTTTTCCGATTTGGTAACTTTAAGTTGCGTTTACTAGTTTTAACATGTGGTCACCTTATGTTTACAGCATGTGATTTGGTACTCTATTTTTGCGACCTACAATCATTATGCAAATTTATTTTATTTCTTATGGTTTGTAGGAATGGCCAATATGTGTAACTTATGGAGCTGTAGCTGGGTACTTTGTTGGAATGGTGGCTTCAATTGGTTTTGTTGTTTTCAACAATCATAGCGTTCGTGTGAAAGGCGACTAAGGATCGAGGAAGTGAAAATGAATCTTCTAGGAGGATTTTGGTAACGTTGACCGCAATAGCAAGTTGCTATTGCATCCGACTAACCGTGGCGGTACTCACTTCCACTTCATGTAGGAGTTGGAAACTGCAATCTGCCCCCAGTTAATCAATCAGGTTCACAGGGCGTAGCTGAGATACCTATTGTAAAGAGCGAGGATTTAACTGTCATTTCATCTTTAGTTGATTATCATATTCGTACCGGCTGTTTAAAATTGTGCATTATTAGTGCAAGTTTTCTGTTTTTCCTTAGAACAGAAGGTATCTTATTGCGTTTCTTCGTCACATTTACTGGGCAACTGTCCTATAATTCCTTTTATCCTTCAACACCTTTTTTGTTTCGGAATTCTCATTCAAAATTGGCAACTTTTTGGAAAGCAATTAGGTCATTTCTCATCACACTACTTTTACAATTGTGTCAAATAGACGGTAACAAACAATCTTTACTTCCAAAAAAATGATTGTGCCGATTTTATTGGTGCCTAAATTTATATTAAATAATTTTATTAATAGTAATAAAACGGATTCAAACTTGAGATTTGATCCAGGAAAGCCTTGAAAACAATTTTTTTGGTTAGCAGCTGCTAGCGCAGTATCTCTTCTTAATCGACCCCTGCGTATATCGCTTTATGTTAGTACTTCAGAATTTTAACTAGGAATTTGGGTTTCAACGATTATTCTAACCATTGTTGAGAACGGGTGCATAGAGTGTGAGGAATTCGTGCCTTTGGTGGTCTTCTTTCGTGCTAATTATCGCACTCGTTTATAGTTATACTAGAAAATTCGATCATTGTTATTGGTTATCAAACTCGCTTTAATTTTTACCGTATGAACTCCAATTATATCAAACATTTTTATATTTGTTGATAAACCTATATATTGTTGATTAACTAACTCGTTTACACATATTTGTAGGTTTTATTGTTATATCCACCTTTATTATTGATGAACTTACTGGTTATGAATATTTTCGTAGATTTTGCAATTATTTCAATCATTTTTATTTATTACTCTACTCGTTTATAAATATGTTGTTATTTTGACAATGAGGTGCAGTCTAGTGGTAAGACACTTCCGTTGTTTCCAATAGGTCACGGGTTCGAGTCACGTTGAGGCTAAGTGAGGTAAAAAAATGTTATCATTTTATAACAATCATTATTATTGATGAACTAACGCATATATTTTATAGTAACATCAATCAGTATTTTTATTTATTAATCTCTATGGTTTTGCAATCATTTCAATCATTTTTATTTATTGTTCTACTCGTTTTATAGTAACATCAATCGCTACGAATATTTTCGTAGATTTAGAAATTATTTCAATCATTTTTATTTATTATTCTACTCATTTTAAAATATGTTACCATTTTATAACAATCATTAGTATTGATGAATTAACGCGTATATTTTATAGTAATATCAATCCGCATTTTTCTTTTTACATGTTTATTGTTCTTTTATCCATTCTATGACAATTATTTTTATTGATGAAGAAACGAGTCACATATATTCTCGAACATTTTGCAGTTAGATCAAAATTATTATTATTATTATTATTATTATTATTATTATTATTATTATTATTATTGATTATGTTATCGTCTTTTCAAGTTTTTTACTATTTTATATTTATCTTTAATATCGACAAACTAGCATGTTTCATAATTTATTCTATTTTCAGCTAGTGTATCTTGAAAATAGAGATTATGAAACTAACTAATAATTGTTGCACGGAAAAATGAAAATCAATCGATCGACAAGAATGATTTAATCTGAAATAATTGTCTGATTTAGATATTCAATTTTGACAACGGAGTAGTTTTTTCACCCTGTGTTGACTGTTGAGTCTTTGATTCTTATTATTAATAAGGCGGGAAAACAACCGCCACATTTCCGTGCATAACGAGAGCAATTCCTGAGCCTCCCCCGCGTCCTCAACACGCCATATTATTATGCCAAAGACACCGAGTCCGATTTGACATAAAAGCCCCTAAACCATCCCCTCGAAATGACCAAAATACCACCCACAATTGTCCACATGTCATAACCGCAATAAGCCGTCACCCAGCAAAAGTCTCATATCCGGTCACTTTATCAGTCTGACCACGTCAGCCGGGAGCTCAAAGGGGAACTTTGATGCGCCAAAATGACCCGTTTCATGCCACGTGTCGAGTACCCAGGGAGCCCATGTGTGGGCCCTAGAACCGAACCCTTTAAAACTCCTCGCAGAGCCCAAAGCGCCAAAACGAAAAAAAAAAAACCCACCGAATCACCCCCAAACCCACAATCCCCCAATTCCAAAATTCATCATCATCTCCCCAAAAGACCCAAACCCCATAAAAACCTCTCTTATTTTTTACTTTCTCTCTCTACAAAATCCTACCACCATTTTTTGAATTCTTTGTCCGATCATCCGATTCCAGAATACTGGTACTTCCTACTTCCCGAACCCAGATAACCCTTTTGTCTTTTTCTTTTCTTTTTTTTTTGGGTTTTTGTTGACGTTTTTTTTTTTTTTGTTTCCTTTGGTTTTTGAGTTTTATTGCTTTGTGGATATACACAGAGGATCGGCGGTGTATCGGTGCTGATTCTTTTTCTTCTTCTTTTTTTTTTTTATCTGCAAAAAATGAAAGATTTTCGGGAACATTTTCATCGGTGCTGAAGTATGAAATGTGTTTGTTGTGTTTTCATTTTTTCTTGCATTTCTTGTTTTTTTTTAGTTGGATGATGATGATCTTTTTTATGGTTTAGTCCTGTCCTTTTTGCCTTCCGTTTCAAATGCTTGTTTGTGGGCTTGCTGGATTCTGGTAATCTTTTCCTATGATTGATCCTTGATCGTTGAAATTTTTAGGGTCTATCGGTTGGGGATGTTAAAAGTTGAAACTGGGTTTGACTGCTAGTTGAGGGGCAAAAAAATCTATCTTGCATCGACATTATTATCGCCGATGATACAGTTTGTTTGTTTCTTTATTTGTGTATGTTTTTAAGGTTTGAGTTGAGATTCTGTGGATGATTTTTGTCAGTGTTTCTTTGACTATGGAGATTATTCCTGTTTTGAGAGGGAGAGGGGTTTGGGGAGGCAGGAAGATTTTGGATTATTTTTTCTTTCTTTTCTGGGTTTTGTTGATGATTCTTTTCTGGGTTTTGTGAGAATGTTGTTAAGATACATCCTTAAATACTCAGTGTCAGCACGAGATGGGTTTTGTTGTTGATTTCTTAGTCTATTCTTGTACTTGAATTTGAGTCACTCACATTTGATCATCCTTTACACTTCTTTTCTTGGGGTTATTATTTGTTTTATTGTAGTGTAGAGCCTGGTTAGGAGGTTTAGGAGTGTCTTTTGTATCTGAAACTTTCATTTAATTTTCAACGAAATATTAAGTAGTAGCTACAACTATTTTTGTTCTGTAGCTCCAGACCTTTGAAATCTAAGCATGCTTTCTGATTTTTCAGATGTGATTTGACTTTTGTAGGATTGTTTATTTCATCTTATATGATGTTCCTCAATGTGAATTTGATGTCTTCATTCTCTTTTTTTTTTTTTTTTTTGTGTTTCCTTTTTTCTCTTTGGTTCTAGAGATTGAGATTAAATTTCCAACAAAAAAAAAAAGAAGAGAGAGAGAGAGATTGTGATTAGCTGACCTCTAATGGTGCATTGAGTTGTTTTAGTGTCTCGACTTGTTTGCATGTGTTATTGCTTCTTGTCTATCTGCAAACTGCATTGCTGTTAAGTTGTATCGCTTTGCTGAAGCAGACTGGTAATCCCCGTTTTGGTTTGTCCATCCAGGCCCAAATTGATCAATGGGGTTTGGCAGGAGAAATGATGAGCCAAATCCACCTGTTCCATTACAGGATCATGGACAAGGTGCTTTCCAAATCAGGGAAGGTGGAGGTGTTGATGGTGGGCAGGTGTATCCTGCTGCACCTAATGGTTCCACAGTTCAGTTTATGCCCACGCCAAATGCGTGTCCTGCAATTTCTTCATATCAAAGTATGCATGGAATGTATCAGTCTTATCCTTATGATCCCAGTATTCGCAGCAATTCGATGATTGGTGTTACTGGGCCCAACTATTTGCAAAGTCCACAGTTTGATCCTAGTTTTGTAGCTGTTAGAGGTAATGCATTCAGGCTTCTCAGAGCATAAGAAATGCCATACTCTGCGGAAATTGGAGAAGTCTGCAGGTCAATTGATAAGATTGTATGTTTATTGCAGGGGGTTTGAGGAAATTAGATGGTTGCTTGAGTGGCTTGCAGAGCAGTCAGATTAATAGAAATGTTGTTCCAAATCAAGGTAGTTCTGCTGGAGGCTATCAGAGGAAAGGTGAGGCAGAAGCAAGTACCGCAAATTGGCCATCACAGATCACACCGAGTTCTTCAAACTTAGGATGTGGTGCATCCATACCAAACCAGGATGCAGACATTGTACTAGTTGGGGTTAAGAATGATATCAATTCCAGTGATATAGATGCAGGAAAAGTTGATGGAAGTTTTTTAACGTTAGGTAGGGGAAGTAATACCGAGGGAAAAACTCAAGGGGGATTTCATCCCAGAGAAGTTGCCCGTAATTTGGGGGAAGCTGTTGGGTCTAGAAGTAGCAACTCCTATATTCGACCTGCAACCAATGTATATCATAACTCGACTAATGACTTGTCTAGTTTTAACTCCAATTCAGAGTCACGGACAAAAAGGAAGTTCGATTCTCGAGAAGTTTCCAGAAGACTTGGGGAAGCTCCTGTTCTCAGAGCATATCCAGTCGATGATGGAGTCATGCAGGCTGCTACTGTCGATCCATATTTTGGTCGTCAGCTTCCTGGGCCCTTTAAGCAACGACATATCATTGAGAATGGTTGTGACAGTACAGATGTGCTGGATAACTCTATAGGAAAAGATTATCTGCAACAATTTTATACATACCCTCAAGGTGGTCCTCCTCCATCCACACTTCGGTTAGATAACACTTATTCTGGCCTTCCTCCGTCTGGATACACCAGACCACCAGATTTGGCATCAGAAAGTTCCCAGCATGCATGGATCGCCAATCCTCCAACCAGAGACCTATTGGGCATTTCTGATCCTGGTGATGTTACGTCCTCCTTGGTTTGCAATTCAAGCAGTGCTAGAGGTAGCTATGTCACGAGGGACTATTTAGGTGAGTGGTGAAATGATTTCAGCATCTACTTTACTTCTATTGACTCCATGGTTCTTTTTGATAAGAAATTAATTGTAGATTGGCTTTTTTTTTTGGAGTGTCTCTGTTTTAAGAGCTGCCTGAATTAGTTTATGTTTAAAAGAAAAACACCGGGGCATGGTTGAAGGAAAACATTACCTTCGAGGACATTGTTGTTGATTCTTTATTGAAAATGAAAAAGGAAAAACAAAATTATCTTTGTCCCAATCCTGATGTAAGTGTTTCCTGAGGGGTTGATTCTAAGATTTTCATTGCAATCGTGATTGCTAGGATGTTCTAAGAATATATATATATATATATATATATATATATATATGTATTTTTTCTTTTATCTTAATTGCTTGTTACAGTAATTATACATGGAGTCTAGACATTGTTGTCCAGTATTCCTAACCTTGTCTCCTGGAAATCTTGCATTGTTCTAGTTCTCACCTGATATTATTCTTTGGTTCTTACAGTGTTCTGCTTTTCACGTGACCTGGTTCTCTGGTGCTAGATATGCTTACTAATTATAATGTCAATGTACTTCCTATAGGATTGCCTCTCAGATTAAGCCATTTCTTGTGTTCTATTTCCAAAAAGTTCATGGTCATTTGAATTGAAACCCTAATTACTATGTTTTGAACCCTTGTCTAATTGTCTTAGGTGTCTCAACATGTCCATCTAAGGGTAATGCAATGCAAGCTGCTGGAAGTGGGCCTCAGTCAACAGGTATTAGGTTAGAAGATATGGCATCGCTTTACGGGAATCTGCTTCTGATGCAAATAGAAAACCATTGGGAAAAAAAAATACCGGAATCTATAGATTGCTTATTTGTCTTACTTGTGAAGTTTTGGTGTTGCTGAAAACACTGTGCTGGTTTTGATCTGATTTATTGCTGAGTAAAATGGATGGAAGCTTCATGGACCCTAGGAGGGAGAAAAGAAAAATCAGTTTATAGATTTACAAGCTTCTTTTTATAGGTGTAGTGAAAAGATGTCTTTAAGATTCTTCTAGATGTCATTAGGATACATCCTTTGAGTTCCTTTAGAACATCAAACCAATCCACCAAACTCTAGTTGTTAGAGAATCCAGTTTCATATTCTGGCTCGAGTCTCCGTCACAGAAGATTGTGTCCTCCACAGCACTGATTAAACTTTTTCAGATCTATTGTTATGCTGTTTAGTTCGTGTCAGTTTCTTTTGAGGTTCTCTATATGTGACTCCCTCAAATGGTGTACCCCCCTCGTCTCGCAACTGAATTGCTTAGAGCTTAAGATATTCATACTGCTTTGCATTTCTACTGTATTGGTTTTTAGCTTGAATGATTTGGATTGTAATAACATCTCCTGAAACTTTGGAATTCCAACATATTGTATATGTAATGCTAAACTTTCGACACACTGAAAAATGTTAATGATTGGGTTGTCAATACTTTTGGGAAGTTAACAATTGGATTGTAGGCTGATTTTTAGAGGGGTGTATTTCTGAATTATCTATGTAAGCACCCCAAAACCTAAGGCCAGTTTTCCATATGCACAAATCTTTAACATTAGTCTTAAGACTTTGTCAATTGTGACATGATCAGGCTGCTTTCAAGTAGGCATTTACTCTATGTTGACTGACAACTTTCTGCTTGGGATTCTTTTTGGGCAGGTCGTTTCCCTTCTACTCTTGGAGCTAATTCTGTGCATGCATTTGGAAGTGCTGGCATCCCTATAACACAAAGCAGTCCCAACGTGCCTGCAATGGGTGCTCCATTTCCTAGGAGACTGGGGGTACAACTCAATGATACCTCTGCAGGTGCACCTGCTGCTATTCAATCTTATAATCAGAGTTTGTTATCTATGAGCATGGCATCCCAGACCAACAGTAAGATATAGTCAAGTTTCATCAATTACATTTCCTGGTGTATTTTATGATTTAACAAATATTGTGAGATTTGTCTATTTATTAAAGGTTTTTTTTGGCAAATTGTCATAATATGCGGTTGCTTAAGATGAGTAAGAGGGTGTTGCACATGATTAAGTGTCAAAAAACTACTGAGACTTTACTTTGATTACAAGGGCAGAGATGTAGGCAGAAAAAAAAGGAAAGATAACATGGAGAATTAAGAGTTTTATATATCTGCGATATACCATTTGTGTCATCATCTTATACTCCTTGACTGACATGTATATCTCTGCTGATTTTGTAATATCTATAGGTGTCAGCAGGTACCCATCCCGGGATCCTAGGGCATCTCAGGCTGCAAATTTTGTTCCTGCTCCTGTTTCTGGTATTAAGCTGCACTCAAGATTCAATTCAGTTTAGCTTTTATGTAATGGTATTTCAGGGGTAGATATGACTGAATCTGAATGGTTTGATCATCCTAGGTCATTATCAAGCGCGTTTGCCTACTCAATCCAGCTTACAGATGCCATCTTTCATGACTGGTATGTAAAACAGGCTTTACAATATCATCAGCCAGGAGAAGTTTTTGAATTGTTTTATGTTGTTTCCACAGTGTATGATATCCTTTTCCACTGCCTGTAAGCAGGTACAGGCCTGGTGCAGCAAGCTCCTAGCCCAGTTCTGGTGCCACAATCTCCTAGTCCGGTTCCAGTGCCACAAGTTCCTAGTCAGGCTCCGGTGCCACAAGCTCCTGGTCGGATTCCTGTGCCACAAGCTCCTGGTCGGATTCCGGTGATTCTTCCTCGAGGCATGCATAGCCCTGGTAAGTATTGTGGAACAAGTTTATTGCGCTTAAACTCGTGATGTGAAGCCATCTGATAATGAGGTGATGTTTACTTTGCAGGTCAGATGTATTCCAATTTTAGACCCGGTGGGCCATCTCAAGTTTATGGCCGTGGTGATTACCAATCTCTAAAGAGAAAAGCAAATGAATCCGCTAGAGTACTTTCCTGGGGTCAGAAGAAGAGGTTTATTCCTGTTCCCCCCCACTCTGTGATGGGCATACCAATTGATCCATCCACTCCTGCTCACATAAAATGGACAGGTACTGTTTGAATCCTTTCTCGTGCACGGTGACATAATACAAGTGATAACACACACTGTATATGGTGACTGGTAGTCGCTAATCAATCATGAAATTTTAGATGTGTCTTGTTCTCCTGTATGAGCCAAATTGCCTCTTTGTTTTAGTAGCGTATTGTTTGATCCTAAACTTGATTCTGTCTTAGCCAACTTTCCTTAACACTTCACCGTAAGCAAAGGATAATTATTATAGCTGTGGGTGACCTGGCATGCTAATATCTTTTTAAATAAATTTCTTGTCTGGAATGATGTATCTGGTTAGCTTCTTATCGGGTACAAAATGAGTAGACCCGTACTGAGATAAACTCGCCTAATCAGTCTGCATTCAATTCTGTTAGCGATGCAAGTGATAGTGGGACTTCTTTTTTTGCAGGTTCTGACAATCCTTCTCGGTCTGAACCTAGTGGATACAAGTGCCTATTATGCAAGAGGGATCTCTCTTTTGCACCAGAAGGCCTGGACTCCCAGTCTGTGAACCCACTTGCTGTGGCAGTTCTTCCCTGCGGCCACACGTTTCATGAGCATTGTTTAGAAATTATCACCCCAGATGATCAAGCACGTGATCCTCCATGTATCCCTTGTGCAATTGGTGAGAAATAGAGTTTGAAGTTTCTTTTGGGGGATTACTAGAGAGGGGATGCTGTATCTGCATTAGAAAATACAGTAGGGCTAATAGGAGAATGAGGAGTTCAGAAAGATAGAAGAAGTTTTTTTGCAGAGTTGTTGCAGATTAGGTTAATAGTTGTTGCAACTGTAAATAGAGGAGGGCTGGCAGGGGTCATTATTCTGATTGGGGTAATTAGCAATTTGTGTATTTTGCAGCCTCCCTTAGTTTTGGGTATAGAAATCAGCATGTCCTGCACTGATTACACAATCTCAGAATCAGTGTTTTTGGGAATGGAACATGTTTTTAACTCTCCTCCTCATTAACCTTCTTAACTACTAATTCAACTCATATGAGTAGAATGTTCCTGTAGATCGAAATATCTCTGCGCTTTTAAGACTTAAGATCAGCGTTGTGCAAATGGTTCTAGTTTGATGGGACTGAAATTAAAGGTTTTATTTCTCACGAGGAGCGAACTGGGAAATAATGTTTTCTCATGAAAAGCATATATCCCTTTATGTATTCGATTTTCTACCCCGTTGACATGTCAGACAATCGTTTTATGGTCATCTCCGAAAATTCATTGAAAATGCAGGCGCACTTTTGTAATAATCCGACAAGGTAGGACCCCACAAGAATGGTAATTGATGTTTGGGGAGGGGGAAGAAATACTACAAGCAACAATTACAAAATATTTGTCAACAACCAACGTTGGCGGTAATGACACATCGGATCAAAAGATTGGTCCCACCAAGAAACAGACATATCATGGCCGTCCAATACCTTGATCGCCCCGTCACCATATTTGGGATCGGATGCCTCAGAACATCTCTTTAATTTTTGTCTGAGTAAAAAATAATCCATTTTTTTTTCCCCTTTTCCAACGTCTATGTGGTTGAGTATTTTTTTTCTTTTCTCTCTTTGCCATTTTGCTATTTTTCCAAATTGCCTCGGGTTCTGCAATATTACGACAAGCAAACAGTTACCGGGAAGAGTACTAAAACAAGATTATCTTTTAGCTTAGCTAAGCTCTGAAGAAGAAGAAGAAGAGGCAAGAAGATAATATATCTCTTCAAGAAGGAAAAGAAAGCGGTTTTTCTTTCTTTATTTCTTCTTCCTTTCTCTGGTTTTTTAGGCCTGATCGGAATGATATAGTTGAAAGCTGAAAGCTGAGAGGATACTTACTTCTGTCTGTGACATGGAAGAACCTAAGAGAAAAGTGTCGGAGGACAGTGTTCTTAATGGATTTTCTAATGTTTCTTCTCCTCCTACCTTTTGGAAATCTAGGAGAAGGCCAGGTACCCTTTCGCTTTCATGCTTCCTTTTTTTTTTTTTTTACCAGTCCTTTCTTTTCCGGGCAGTCTTATCTTTCTGATCAAAGAATTTCCCTTCATTTTTTTCATTTTATTCCTGAATCCAAAGTTTAAAAAACAGGAGAAATCCTGTGTCTGCCTTGTTAAATTGTTAGAAAGTTAGTTTCTTGGCACAAAAAAAACCATGTTATTGCTATTCATCGATTCAATCGGCAGAATAGATGCAAGATTAAGCAGCTAGCTGCTTATTTTAATCCCTTAAAGATAACAAAGTTGGATCTTTGGTTGTTGGAGCGGTGCAATTCGGTTCTTTAACCATTTTTTTCTATTTTAGCATTTCATTTAATGAATAAATGTCAGCATGTGATTGTTGCGGTTAGGAAGAGGGTAGATGCACACCTAGAGACTTGGTCTATCTTTGCTCACACGTCACTTCATTGCTCTTGATTACCTCGTTTTGGTTGGAAATTATAAACTTATTACTCAATGTCAAAGGGAGAAAAAAAAAAACAAAAAAACAAAAAAAAGGAGCCCCCTTTACTTTTATTTGATTGTTGATATGCTGATGATGATGATGATTAGAATTAGTGTTTGTTTGATCAGTATAAGGTGAAGAATGGATTTTCAGTTGATTAAGGTTTGTGTTTACAGTTAGCAAGAAGAATTTAGATAAACCAACCGAAAATAGCACCCCTGAAGTACAGAACACAAAGGAAGAAAAAGAAGCCACCCCTGAAGCTGAAGCTGTGCAGGAAGATTCAAACCCCACTCCTCCTGTTCTTTCGGAGAAAAGGAAGGCACTCTTTGAACCTCTGGAACCAATAACGAATATAATTGGCCGTCGAACTTCTGCTGATCTGTTATTGCCTCCTCCAGATTTTGATGCAGCATGTTATCCAAAAGGCTGGCTTATTGGAAAGAAAAGGAAGTTAGTGAATGTTGATGTTGTGGAAAGTATGCGAAGGATTGCCGTGCAGGAAATGAACCGAAAGGTTATGGTACCCTGATGCATTGTCACATTATGTTTGTGCAATCTGCAAGGCAGTGTAACAACTGGTTGCTTGATCTTGTGTTTTGCAGGACAGGGAAATTGATGGTTTAAATGAGCAATTGGAAGAGGATGCTCGGTGCCTTGAGCACCTACAAGTCCAGCTGCTCGAGGAACGAAGCAAGCGTGCAGATGTTGAGCGTCAAAACGCAATGTTGCAGAACCAAATCAATATGCTCATGGACATGTTACAAGAGAACGACAATGTAGAAGATGATGACGGGGGTGCAGAGGAGCCCTGATCTGTTTTCTTCGTCTTATGTTGTAAGAGGAATTACGATATAAACTTGTCGGAAACTCTTCTTGGTAAGTGCTTTTGTAGTCAGCATATGCCCTTCGGCACATTATTTATATTGTGTCGCTGTGTGATACAGCAGTACAAGGGGAAGTGTCTTCTATCATACCTGGTAAATTAGCACCTGCATATTATTTGTCATTCGTATGAATTGTATACTGTATATTGGTTAGCCGTTAGCATAAAGAGTGTTTTGTATTCTTTTAAGGCACTCAATAAATCAGATTTATTGGAATCTTGCAATACAATGGAATTGAATGGATTATGTACCAGCGTTGGAATTAGTTTCACGAAATCTCAAAGTCTATGCTAGCGTTGGAGATTTCTTGAGTAATAGGACTGGAGGATGCCAAAAATGAAAAAAAAAAAAAAAAGAAAAAAAAAGGGGCAAATTCTGATCTTACAACACACAAATGACGAGAACAATTAATTATGATGAGCATAATTACCGGTCGGCATTGGATTCGGTTTGCTTGAAAATAAAACAAAATAAAAGATCTTCCCCATTCGATTAGTTCCCCTAAAGTTGATGAATTCAAAATGTGGTTTGGTTGCAAGTTAAACAAATTGGCCACCCTCAAAATTTGTTGCACTAAACACTAAAGACTGAGTAGATAAGAATTCGGAACGTTAGGAGAACATGGAATGACATTTGACGACATTAAGAGAAATGTAGATATACTAGGATTCTCGCATCACTGGTAGTCTTTTGAACACAAACGTTAAAAACAATATCCAGAATCCAACAAGCAAAAGAGTTGAAAATACATTTCAGGATTCATCATCAATAAGAATTTCCGAATCCTCCAAGGTAAACAAACTAAGAGACAGTAAATACCCTACAGTATGTACAAATCAAAGGATCCATTATCTTCCACCTGTCCACTTCACTTGGATTGTGACATGCTACCGGGCTTGATTGTCAACATCTTCAGAGATGTTAAATAAGAACTGAGGTAAAGATGCTATCCTTGGTAGATTCAACAGCAATTCCCCAACAGAATCCTTTCGAGACATGGAAGGCGTTTGTTTCCATTCCGACACACCTTCCAATTCTAGCTCAGCTGTAGAAGGCTTCTCCTCAGCCTTGCTTCCACTGGCATAAACAGGAGAAAGATTTGAGCCCTGCACTTTAGTATCCATTGCCGACAGATCAACCAAGCTGTCGCCCCTTTGCAGAAGGCAGCAAAGAGAATTCACCCTAGTCATCAGAGAATTTTCATCAGAAGCTGGCACGTATTGAGAATCACTGAACAAATATCGACTGATTTCATCAAGAATCTCCAGCCCTTGTTTATCTTCGTTTGACAGAACAACATTGTTTGATGTCCTCTGCTCTGATATCCGATTCTCCAGATGACTAACTAGATCACTCATAGACATAGAAGTGTGCAGGCCTGGCACTTTGATCTGATCCCAGTTACTAAGTTCCTTCCATTGTTCCCCACTGTTCTTGATCTCTTCAATCACATGCGTATCCATGACTGCAGCATATAGAAAACCAAAATAAGAAACGCCATCAAACTAAAATGCAACTAAAACCATTCTTTCTTGGGGTAAAACACCCATAACACACACTCAAGCCGTCCACAGATGAAATCCAGCATACTAACAATCAAAAAATGCGGTTCTCAGAGGGGAACTCGCATTTCCTCTCCAGGTTAAGATTGCCCAGTCAAATAAAAACATTTTTGCAGAGAAATTAACCGATACATTCAAAACAAATTGTGACGAGAGAATAACTCTAGCATGGTCACTCATTTATGTTGATGTAAAGCCCGACAAACCACTAAATGGCTATGCAACAGGACAGAGAGAAACTACAAACTTGTCATGTAAACAGAAGTTTGAGTTAGCTTATAACTGAAAATCGTAGGAGCAAGAAATTAAATCAACCATGTATAATGCCAGAGTTATACAGCCCAAACCTCTCAGCTATTCTTCACCTCAAAACCAAAACATTACAGAGGCAATTTCTTATAAATCCTTGGCACCCATTTAACAAGATATAAGACAGTATGATCTCGACTACTGCAGTTGCAACTTCAAATCCGAACTTCAATAAGAGGGAAACCAGAATGCTTAATCGTGGGAGGGAAACCAATAAAATGTTCATCCTGGTTAAAAAAATTACCTGAGCTAGGAGATGGAGTTTCATGCCGAACTGGTTCCCGTGATCGGCCAACGTCATGATCATTCCTCGAAGAAGAAGATTGAGCACCAGAAGGCGACGCTGCATCCCTGAGGTTGAAGAAAGGACTCCCATCACTGTGGAAATCATATGCAGGTCTATTTTCACTTGGGTCATCAAAAACAGAAAGTCTAGCTTCGAAACAAGGTGACTCCAAATTGATTTCTGGTTGTTGGCTCAAGAAGTTCAGACGAGGATCGCACTGAATTAGTTTCTCGAAATGCTTCCCCAACAAGCCCTGAGGGCATTCCAGAAAATGTCGCCTGCAATTTCATTTAGAACCAATTTCAGTACAACTACAAGTTCAAGCACTTGGTTAATAAAGATAGGAGCAGTAAGTGTCAGTCAAATTTAAACTAATAATGGACACCCAGCACTTAGTTTCACGCCCATACATGGCTGTCATGTTGGCAGGAAAATTTGAAAAAGAATGAACCCACTAAGACATGATGGATAATAGTACCTCTGTATGCTGGCTTGGCCACCAGTGAAATCAGAGGTTGCCTGCCACAGAGTATGCTTCCTAGGCTGCGGGTTAGTCTCCCTAAAGAAGAGAGGTTGTCTGGCAAGCTGGACAACAAAAGAAAAGAGCATTAACCAACAATTCACAATAAGAAATTCAACAGGTAATAGCAGTTAGCATAAGTGTAAGTAGTGTGTACCACTACGTCCAGAGTTCCAGGTCCATCCTCAGGGTAAGTTGCCTTCAAACCCATAATGTCAGACCACTGAATTTCAATCTTGTTCTTGAGACCACCATCAAGAACCTCCCACACGAGCTTATGCTTTGCAAAATAACATTTCGCCACCAAGTCCCCCTCGTATCTCGACTTATACTAAAAAAAAATAAACAGCAGAAATGAAAATTCACAATCAATCGCGAATGAAGAACAAATTTTTAAAAAAGCCAAAATCAAGAGTCTGTGAATATATACCTCCCACGTCCCAATTCTCAGAACCGTTGCGGGGAAATTTGAAGCTTTGAGCTTCTCCGCGTTGGAGCTAGAACCGGCTGACCCTTTCTGTTCCTTTTTACTTGAACCTGCAGCCTTCGGTGAACTCCCTTGAGAAAGCCTCATTTGAATCAACTCCAACAAGGAAGGGCTTTTCCTCAGCCGCAAACCCAATGGACTTGGCTCATCTAATGGGTTGTATTGAGGAGGCGCCGACGCCGGAAAACCACCCATATCCGCAATTTCTTGCTGCAATAATCAAAACCCACAAAACTATTACAACATAATACAAAGCTGTCGATCCACATCGGAAAACCCCAAGAAAAATCACCAAACAAATCAGAGATTCCACGATTCAACCGCTTGAACCCAAGCAGACAGACAAATTAATAAATCAAGGATTAGGAAAGAAATGGAAACAGTGACAGAAAGAGATATTACGAACTTGAATCAAAGGAGAGAACTTGGATCGCTTGTGAAGAGGGCCGTGCTCTTCTTCCAAGTGGTCTTCAATCTCCGTTTTCACCGCCGCCATTTCACCACCACTCTGCAACTCACTGCTTCTCATTACCGAATAAACCATCAAAATCAAGATCACAAAAACCCCAAAATCGAGACCTAACCCAGTCAAATCACACGAATCAGTCAGTATCTTCGGCGAAACTACTAAGAAAAGAAAGCAAGACAGATCTCTTTCGGTCTTTCCCCACTATTCAAAGCTCTGAATCGGAAAAATCGTTTCTTAAATGCAAAGTTTAAAAAAAACAAAAATGAAAATGGAAAAAAAAGAAGGAAACATTAAGAACCAAATTTTGCTACGGCGACTGTCCCACGTGTCAATCTCACGCGCCTGAGATTCACCCCACCCACGTGATCTGCCGCTGAATCCCGGAATCGTCCTCATTCAGTGCACGACGCCAGTGCTGACGAGGAGGGTAAAAACGGTATTTGACTGAGAGGAACAGTAGAGCACGTGTGAGCTTGGTGGATAAAGTGCGGGGCCCAGCATCGGGAAGGTTCTGGTTGTCTGGGTGTGGGTGCTGGTGGAGGGTGGTGGAACGGCTAAGATTGGAGGTATTTCGACACGTGGAAGAATCTAAGAAAAGGAGGTGACAGGTAAGCAAAATGAATGGATAATGCTGTAAGGGAAAAAACTATTATGCTGCCTAATTTGTCGTCTTCCTGAATTTCCTTAACCTTCACGCGTTCGATTTATATTCCGGCGGCGGCTGTAAAACACCCCACAATGTCCAATAATATTAATGAATGACTAAACGTATTAGTAAAAACTTAAGCAACACACTTAAGCTCCCTATGTCCCAAAATTATTGTCCAATTTGAGATTTCTACTATATCATAATAACAGTGACGGAGACAATCAGACAATGTAAGAATGGAGATGGCGTTCCTTGTTGATATTTGTGGTGATCGAGAAATATTTCTGCGATACTATTTGTGTAATTTGTTTATAGTATATTCTACTATACATCTTTATTTAAAAGTATTAGCCTTATTAATGTGTAATGAGAATCATTGCCAAAAATATGTCTAACCTATCCATATGAATATTATGAAAAATTAATACAGAAAATTTGGATTACATTATAACTCGGCTGTCATTGTAAACGTAACATACTAACATTATCTCCATTGCTAAAGAATTAAAAAATATTACTTTCTCTGTTCCAAAATTATTGTCCAATTTGAGATTTTATTTTTAATACAATTTGAACTAAAAATGAAAACTCAAACTAGACAATAATTATGGTACGGAAGGAGTACGCATTATCAGTTGGGGTACATACATGAATAGCGTGCAATGATTGCTTGAACATTGGAGCTCCTAATGAAGTTCAACTGTTGACTTTTTACGAATAAAATTTACAAGGAATTTGGAGGAATTTTTCACATGTACAACGTTAGGGCAGGGGGGAAACAGGGGGAAATGTTAATTTGATCAACTTTCGTAGATGTGCTACATTTTGTGTATTTATTTTTAAATGGCATCCAGTATTTCTCAAAATTTCGTTGATTTTATTCGGAGAACCTCTTTTTCTTTTTCTTATTTAGTAGCGTACTAGTACTTACTTACTACTTGAGAATTGAGAGGAAGTTCACACCTCTCAAATGGACGACCTCACAACCGCGTTAATAAATTATACTTCCTCCGTCCCATAATTATTGTCCAGTTTGAGTTTTCATTTCTAGTTCAAATTGTACTAAAAGTGAAATCTCAAACTGGATAATAATTTTGGGATAGAGAGAGTATATTACTAATAATTAATTGCAATAATTCCATACGGAAGGTACAATCAAGGATTTTCTCAAAAGGGGTATTTAGTTTCTATCATTATATATCAATGGAAGCAAAAGATCACTACATAAAATAGCAAAATCCAGAATTGGGGCAGATTTTCATTACACCAACACTTGTTTTTAGAACTTGGATAGATTCATTTCCAACGAGAAGGATATACTTCGGATCGCTTCTGCTTCAACTTCAGACACTCTCTTTTGGCCAAAAATAATATAATTTTTCACTATTTGTGTAATTTGTTTTATTTAAAATTATTAGCCTGATTAATGTGTAATGAGAACCAATACCAAAAGTACGTCTAAACCTATTCATATGAATAATATATATATAATAATAATAATACAAAAAACATGGATTAGGTTATAATCCGACTGTCATTGTAAATGTAACATTATCTCCATTCCTAAAGAATTAAAAAGAACACTTCAGTAAGAGTACATACATGAGTAGTGTACAATGATGGTTTGGAGTTTGGACTTTGGAGCTCCTTAAATTCAACTATTTACTTTTCACGAATAAAATTTTGCGAGGAATTTGGAGGAGTTTTTCACGTGTACAATGTTAGGGCAAGCGAGGGGATAATGTTAATTAAATGTAACTTGATTTGAATATAATATTCCCGGTCCTTTCTCCTCGATTCTACCCTTGAGAATTTTCCCATTTGATGATCAACTTTCATAGATGTACAACTTCTTGTGTATATATAGTTTTAAACGAGGATGGTTTCAAGTCTGGGCCGGGCTTTCATACACATAAATGGTTTTCTCAAAATTTTCGTTGATTTATTCGGAGAAACTTTTTTTTAATTAGTACAGTAGTACGTACTTTACCGAATTTCCCCGTAAACCCCAAGTGTTTTTTATTTATTTATTTTTTTTATACGCATCTCTGATTCTGCTTCTCCGAAGTGTGAATTAGAGAACTCAAGAAAAGACGAATGCTCCCCATCAATTCGTACCTTCTTTTTTTTTTTTTTTCTGAATTATGTTGCTGGAATACATTAAGTCCTGGATGCATGAGTGATGTCGAACTTTCTCCTTTCTGTTTCTCCGCGAGCAATCGAAACTAGGACACCCAGGTCCGGCTCCTCCAGGTGAAACTAGGGCTTTAGGTCAACAATTTTGAAGACCACTTATTATTAAAAAACAAAATTAAGCCTAAGATTTGTTCTATTATTATTTTTAATATACTGTGTTCATAAAAAAAGAAAGTTGGAAAAGAAAACTTCACTTTAAATTTATTTTTTTAATGTAATTTGTTTGCAAGTTAAATTTTTGTTATAAAAAAAAAAAAAGAGAGAAAGAAAAAGGTTTTTAGCTCCGTTTACAATAAAACATCGGGTTTATTGTTGCCGGGGAGGACGGTTTGTTTTTTATTGGTAGGCAAAGCCGAGTACTAAGTTTCCTTTGGTTATTTTGGGTATTGTTTGTTTTAGGCAACTCGCGCGTAATCACTTGGGAAAAGTCACAAACCTTTCTTTTTCTATATAAATAGAGCAAGTAGTTTCACCTTTTCTTGTCAATTACTATATTTCTACACAACACGCTAGGGTTTCGTTGCTATAATAGTTCGATTCACTTGATTATTTGTGATTTGATATGATATTACATACTTGAACCCTTTCACCTAATTGATCTAGTGTTTCTGTTGAAGGATGTGTATCAGACAACACCAGATCCAGTGGTTGACAAAGACGTTAATTATATATAGTATACATGTGTTTGATTGATAATTTGTATAGTTAGGTGCAAATTGTAAATATATATATTAGGAGGATGAGTTCTGTAAATAGTTTAGTCTAAGAAAGTCAAAGGCCGTTAGTAGTATAAATACGTTCTTAGGACACAAATCTTGGTAATTTAATTCAGAACAATTAATTGACAGAATATACAAAATCCAGAATATTCTCTTGGAAGTTACTTTATTTTTTCGGCCACCGGTTTTTTCTTCGCTTCCGACCTAAATTCCAGTGAGTTTCTTGTTGAACTCCTCCTAGAATATTATTGATGATGATGATATCAAAACAGATCCGCGCGTTTGCGGCGTGTTTGCCTATGCGATTTGTTCTAGTGTCGCAGTGGTGATTACCAAACTCGCCCTCTTTGGATTTCAGTATCCCTTCCTATTAAATGCGTAGCAATTCTCAACATTCAGCACTAGGGATTTGGTTGTTTGGAAAATTGGGTCTGTTGCATTATGATCATCCCATCACAACATTACCCCACGCCCTCAAACTCTTGCTTCTTGCTTTAAGATTTCTGGCTTCACATCTCCTATATACCGCGCTTTTGCAAACAGCCAATGTGGATGCCGTCATTGTGTTCCGATCTTGTTTTCCCCTCCCGGCGTGTTTAGCCGCTACTTTGATCTTCCGCACCCAGCCCCGTTCGTCCGTCCAAGTTGACGATTTTGTCATTGCTCATCATCTCGGTTGGCGCAGTTGGGTTTAGTGCTACTGAGTTTCATTCTTCTATGTATGAAGCCTATTTTGGGATCTTTTATGTTCTCATTGCTACACAAGAGATGGTTGAGCTTTTGGAGTTCACTGCTGAGAATGGCTGCTCTAACTCATGGGGTATTTCCTTGTTCAACAATCTGGTTGCGTTTGGGATCTCATTTCTAATTTCTATTTTGTTCGGGGAGCATTATGATTTGTACGCTGCCTTGAAATTACGAGCGGATGGGGTGACGATGGAAGGTGTTGTTACGTTAATGGTTGTGGCTCTCTCTTGTGTGTTAGGCTTCCTGATTACTTTCTTCAATTCCGAGACTAGGAAAGCCGTATCCGATGATGCCCTTGCGGTGGCTGGTGCCATGTCTAGGTTTTTGGCTGTGGGAATTAATGCGCTGATCTGGAAGTGGCATGCTGGTCCGGTCGGTTTGACCTTCTCGTTCGTAATTATTGCTGCTGCTCTTCTCTACCAGAAATAAACTATTGTTAAAGCTGCTGTCGTAACCTCCTTTTTCGGGCTGCATCCCGAACAACGACAAGAAGAACTGATCACCAAGAATGCCACTGATGATTTAGAAAAGGGTTTACCGTAAAACTGATATTTTTTTTTAAGTACTATTATGTTTTGCTCAGAGATGTTTAAATGTAGCAAAACTTGCAAACTAATCTAATGGTTGATTATTTTGGTGCTCTTATGTATTGCACAAACGTATTTAAAGGTAGCAATCGGTCGTATTGGATCATTTACTACACTTAGTTGCCTTTACCCTTGTAATGGTTCCCAACATGGAGTAAAAAGTGGTCATTTAGCATCTACAGAAAGTAACAATCACCAGTTTTAATAAATAGATCCATAAATGAAATCCTCTCTAAATATAACAAAAAGATTTACACCGAAAGCAGGAAACTTTTCTTAGTGACCTCTTGATAACATTTCTGTGAGGAACAAGTCCAGTGCTAACTTCACAAATAGCATAAACCAAATGCAACATCGATGCAATCAAGAGAAAACAAAAAGGCGCAGCGAAATACAGTACATCATATGATTGTAATTTTGTATTTGAAAACCCCCTATAGCCACCTCAAGCCTAAATTACGAAGGAACAATCTGCGAGTACGTAGTAACAATAGTTGCAGCAAATAAATCTCTAAGTATCAAACTGTGAAATTGGGAGCTCGTTCAAATCCTCAGCAAGAAATTAGTCACGTACTTGTTGTAAGTTGTGACCAAAATCTAATAAATACCTGAATGCAGTGGAAAGAAACTTATAAACTCATTTAAAATCGATTTTTTTTTTCTTATCATTGCTTCACAAGAAACATGTGTCAAAGGACATGTGGCTTATAACAAAAGGCCTGATCTCTCTTAGCCTACAAACTATGATTTTTGCGCAATAATCGCAAGTAGTTCACGACATAAACAAAAATCAATGCCCCGAACCAAAAATAATGGAGGATATGGGATGTTTTATCTTCAACTCTCTCTGGGCCTTTGCAAATCCAAAATTATTGAGTACTATATATCATCGTTCCAAAGAAAAAAGTCTCTATTGAATTTTGAAATGTGGTGCTCTATATGTCATAAAATGATTGTGTAGTTTAGATTTTTATTTTCAGTATAATTTTTGAACTAAAATTAAAAATCTAAACTGAACAATAATTTTGAAACGTAGAGTATAATTTTTGGAACAAATGGAGTGTAAAAGCAATTCCTGATTATGTTGTTTGTTTAAACAACAGGAAGGACTTTGTGCGGGACTAATAGAACAATGGTGGGTTTGACCGCGTGATGTGATATCATCCATAATCCATATGGACCATATCTCCTGCTTTCATTGCAGGAAATGAATATACATAGAAGATACATGTATAACTTAGGCCACTCAATTTAAAATAGGGAAATAAGGGAAAGACATTCGGGCAGGGATGACAAAATGCTGAATGATCTACTTTTATAATGAACATTGGCACCACATTTATTTTTGTTTTGGGGTAAATAAATATATTGCTTAAAATAATGATAAATTTTGTTGATGTGACAATATATATATATATACATACATTTTGTGAATATTAATGGATTTAGCTACAGAACGAGAGAAGAATACCTAACTTAAAAAACGAGGCGGACTAAGCACGTCTTTACTGCATTGTAAATGTCGGATTGGACGGTGTTAGAAAAACTACGAGAGCGAAGGCAAGACGAGGGAGGGGAGGAAGGAACTCAACGAGAAATGCCGCAAGTAATATAGATATAAACTCATCCAGTAGTAATAAGTTAACAACAATCCCCGCCGATTGCTACATTTAAAATCATTACTATATGAAATAGAATAGTACTCAAAAAAAAAAAACTAGTGTTAGAATTCAGCATCATGAATTCATGATCAGAAATTTAATGTATACCCAGTTTCTAAACCATTAGTCTCGTTTGTAGCGTTATCGATATGTTATGCCTTTCCTAATATTGTTGGTCATAGAACTGTCAAGTTTCAACTCCTTTCGGGTTTGTGATACAACAATAGTTACAAAGTCTAAACCAAAAGCGCTTATGTTACACATATTAAAATGATAATTTTGCAAGGAAAAATCTCATTAGTTATTCTTTTATGTAATTGTAGACAATTTGCAACTGAATAAATTTCTCTACATTAATATCTTATCAATTAAATTTTATTATATCAATCAATTGCAAATGAAAATTTAATATGATATAAAGTAATTTAATCGAAATAAGAAAAGAAATAAAATGTAATGCTGCTTGCATCGACTTAACCACGGAAAAAAAAAAGATAGAAAGAAAAAAAGAAGGGTATGTTTAATTGTTTTTTTAGTATGTGTTTTTAAGTGTTTTTTGTATTAAAAATGTAAAAAGCTGCATTGAAAATGTAAAAAGATATGTTAGGATGGGACAGATAATAATAATAAAATATGAAAAAACCATAAAAAAAAACTAACCAAACAGAGCAGAAAATATTAGAGATCCAAAGGTGGTAACGTGGGAAATGGTGGTGCAACATCAACTTGATCGGGGCATTTTTTTGTTTCGGCGGACCTAGAATTGAAATTTAATACAGTAGAATTTCTATAAATTATTAGTGTTGGGACCACCAAATTTTATTAATTTAGCGAATTATTAATTTATCGATAAATTAATAAATTATTAATTTTTAAAAAAAAATTCTTAAAAAACCCTACTATACTAATGTATTCGATGCCATCAATCTTGCAGTTTCATCTTAGACGGTTGATGTCCAAAAAAAGACAATAGCAAATTATTTTAATCATTGCAAATTCGTTCAATAAATGAAGCATCAGCATTGGACTCAAATGTTGCAGCCTAAGAAGGACTTCATGAGCTTAAGAACATGATTAATCATTTTGGTTATTATAATAAGATGAATGTCAATCAATTGGTGGGTTATCCAGGTGAAAATGATGAGTCTACAGAGGCCAAATCATCTGAGAATATTGTGACTAGTGTCCTTGAAGATAGTTAAATGAAGGATGAAACTGATGATGATTCAATGCCTTTGGCTTCAGTCACAAGAAAAGAAGCACTCAAACCAGCAATAACTCTTCACAATTTCTTGTTGCAATTTGGAAATATAACCCCAAAGCTTTCAAGAACAATGAGACAAATCAAGAATGAAATTTCATTGGATATAAATTTCAAGAAAAAACAAGTATCAATAAGTTTATATTTTTACTAAATCATCCTAGTTATTAGTATTTTTTTTTTTACATTTAAGGTATTTATTAATTTATAGTATTGTTGGGATTTATAGATATATAAAGAATTTTTTGAAACATTATTATCTTTTCATTTTATCAATTTTTGTCACTTTTTGTATTGGTCCCAAGTTAGGACCGGAGAAAATTATTAATTCGTAAAAATTATTAATTTATCGATTTATAATTTACCGATGAACAAACTTGGAGAAAAGGAACCCTTTGCTGAGCTTGGAATTGCAGCTTGGCCCACATTTTATACCTCAGAACGGGGGTGTAAATTAACCTTTTCGTTATTTACGTCATAGTAAAACTGATTAATTGATGAGTTTTAATTAGGCATACAATATAACCCACGGAACCAAAATATCGTTACGGTGCTCTTTGTCTTAATTAGGCATACAATATACCCGACGAAACAAAAATATCGTTATGGTGATCTTCAAAAAATTCGGTTTCTCGTGTTTAGTTGAGCGTCACCTCTATCTCCGATGTTAAACAGAATTTAAATGTCGCCTGTAAAAGCCAAAAAAGAAGTTCATTCTGTGCACACTCATGTAATTCGGGCATAAAGTTTAGATTTAATATTAATTTTTAGCATAGAAATGAATTTGTAAATTCAGGCGTATAGTTGTTCTTTTGAAATTATTAAATCTGTAAATGGGGTAAATATTGTTTCCGCAAAACTAAAATTCAAAATGTATTCTAGTGTTCTGATTTCGTAGGAATTGATTTTGCAGGCCGCAAATGTCTTTCACGGAGACAGTTCGTCTGAAAGTATACTGGAATACTACTTATACAACTGAACCTGATGGGACTATTACAGTACAGCGGGATGCGCCGAACAGTTATCTTATCATTGATCGTATGTTAGATTTCTCGGAACTTGTTAATAAGGTATGTGGTGTGATGGAAGTTGATAGAGAAGGGCTGTATATTGATTTTTCTTTGGTGTGGACGAAGAGGTCAGGAAAAAGGTCTCGTGTGCACATTAATGATGATAACACTGTTCGGTTCATTTATCTTTGTACTGATAAATGGCCAGAATCTTACCCTGAAAATGTTGAGAGAATAGGCCATGTTTATGCAAGTACATCTGGCCAGGACATTGGTGCCAGCACTAGTGGTGGTAGAACAGTTGAAGACAATGAAGATGAAGATGGAGATGAAGATGAAGATGAAGATGGAGATGAAGATGAAAATAAAGATGAAGATGAAGATGAAGATGGCGGGGGTGTCGAAAGCAGTGATGATGAGTACGTCCCATCGGATGAGGACTCAGATGACAACACTGATTTTGAGTCATCTTTTTCAGTCCCATATGTTTTCGACTCGGTGGATGGGACAAGACTTTAGAGGAAGTAGATTGTGATGGGATTAAAATGTGGGATGGCAATCCGTTGACGCTAGGCCTTGATATACATTTCACCAACAAGCCTGAGGCACAAGCGGCAGCGGGAGAATGGAACTTGGTACATGGTCGGACTTTCCGGGTGAAAACGAGCTCTAAACGAACATGGTATGTCAAATGCGAGACCTGTGGACCCAAATATCCGAAAGAGCGTCTTCACGGCTATGATTGCATGTGGAAGGCGCGAGTTTCGCTACAGAAGGCCTCCGGTACTTGGAAAATGGTGGTATGGTCCGATTCCCACAACTGTCTTGGGGCAAACAAGAGAAACGAGTCCCAAAACGTCACGTCTTCTATGATTGCTAGACTGGTTGCCCAAAATGTGCAAGACATCCAGATTTTGCTGTTGCCCAAATTCAAATAGAAGTTTTGAAGAGGTACCAAGTCGAATGTAGCTACAAGAAGGCATGGCATGGTAGAAGAAAAGCACTTGAGGCTCTGTATGGTACATGGGAAAGTAATTTTCAACAACTGCCCAGCTTCCTTGATGCATTGTTCATGTCAAACCCGGACATCTGTATGCAATTCAAGTTTAAGAAAAATTCAGGAAGCTCGCAAAGGTTTGTATGTAGGTATGTTTTCTGCGCATTTGGGCCATCTATACAGTTATTTCATGCTTGCTGGCCAGTAATAACCATCGATGCCACTCACCTGCAAGGATCCTACAAAGGAAAACTAATTGTGGCATGCGTGAAGTGTGCAAATGGCACAATTGTTCCCATTGCATTTGCTCTTGTGGACGAAGAGACCATACACAGCTGGAAATGGTTCTTGAAGTATTTGAAAAAGTTTGTTCTACAGGATAGGAAGACCTGTATTATCTCTTATCGAAATCAGGCTATCCTTACTGCCATGGACATCATGTTCCAAAAATTTCCAGAGATGGGAGTCCATCGGTATTGTCTAGAGCATGTTAAAGCAAACTTGGTTGGGCATTTTCGAAAGGAGAAACTGGGAGGCAACTGTCAAACGATTGGTTCAGCGACGCAAAAGACAAGGTATTTGGCAGAGTGGCAAAATTTAGAAGAAAAAAATGAGGCTGCAGCTCGTTGGCTTCAGAAACTGAGTGTTGAGAAATGGACATGTTTACACGGTGGAGGGTATCGTTGGGGAGAAATGACCACTAACATTTCAGAGAGTTTCAATAATGTGCTGAAAGGTGCTAGATTCTTCCCGATCACAGCTTTGATCCTAGCATCCTTTCAGAAAAGCAACAATCTGTTTCAGGCAAACATTGATATGATCCAGAAATGTCAGAATGTTCTACCTCCTAAGCCCATGAATTTGTATGAAGGGGCCCGGAAGAAATCATTGAGGCAAAAGGTCAACCGGTTTAGCAAGAAAAACCAGAAGTACGAAGTGGTTACAATAGCACATGATAATCAACCATGGAAGGCTGAGGAGAAGCAAGTTGTGCTCTATGCAGATCGAGAGTGCACTTGTGGAAGGTGGCAGACTTTCAGATTTCCTTGTTCCCATGCACTTCGAGTTGTCCGTGAGCTAGGTGACGACCCCTTCCCACTTTTTGATCCATGTTACACTACGCAGCAATGGTACCAGCAGTTTTCTGGAGAATTCAACCCAATCATGGAACCATGGCCAAAGGCAACGTGGCAGATCAGGCCAGATGACACTAAACTTGTCCACCATGCTGGCCGCGGTCGGAAGCGTGTGAATCGGAAAAAAGGTGTGATGGATTATACAAGCAAATTTGGCCAGCGAAGACTCCAAACTTGCAGTTTATGTAAACTACAGGGCCATAATGCCAGGGCTTGCCCATATGCGAGAGTTTGCGCACGATGTGGAAGTTTAGATCATGATGCTGTGGAATGCCCATTTTCTCATCCACCTGCTGACAGGACCGCTATTGATAAACTTTATGATCCATATGGAATTCGTGGTGTGCCTAATATCAATTCTGATGATTCTGATGATGCATAGTGATGATTTTCCTTAAGATGCGTAGTGATGATTCTGTTAGTGTTTGTATTTGTGTGTTGTTTTGAACATTCATGTAATAAACCTCAGAGGATGAATCTGTTTGCGTTTGTGTTAGTGTGTTGGTTTGGATGTTTGTGTGATAAACTCTAACCATGGACAATTTATATTAGTAATATTTTTTATAAAAAAAACGTCGGTCTTCGTCATTATGTATTAAAAATGTAGTACTAATTATTACTATAGGGGTCGAGTGATACTATATACATGTCGTATAAAGCACTAATTATCTTGGGTGTTGTTTTGAACATTCATGTAATAAATCAATGAGGATGATTTTGTTTGCGTTTTTTATTTGTGTTAGTATGTTGGTTTGGATGTTTGTGTGATAAACATTAATGGATCATTCACTTTGCGTGAGTTGTTAGGGTTTAGAGTTTAGGGTTACAAAACTAGTTATTTGTTTATTCATTTTATGATAAACAAAGTTGGCTTAATTATCATAAACGTTAAATTAGTTGTGTAAATAAAATTATTTATCAAAATTACCAAAATACCCCTAGACTCCAGTATAAAATAATGGATATTTATGTCTTTTCGGTTAGTGGACCGATTTATGTGGTTTAATCCATTTTAAACTAAACTCGTGTTTCTGAAACGCGAAAAAATGTTAGCATAAGGAAATTTTGCGTTTCAGAAACGCGAATTTGGGGTAGAAGTCTTTCGCGTTTCTGAAACGCGAAAGTTTGTGGGTTAAATCCCAGTTTTCGCGTTTCATTGAAACGCGAAATTTTGGGCATCAATTTTTCCGGCGTACTCCATTGAAGTCGGCGATTTTTCCGGAATCGTTGCCAGAAGCGAGTTTCAGCATCAATTTTTTGCATTTTGTGGGCTATATATCGAGGTAAGTTGTTATTTTGCTCTCATTTAATCGTTTTTTTTTAATTTAATTCATGCTTTAAATTACGAATCCTAAAAATTTTGTGTTGGTTTTTATTTTAATTTTAATTCACAATTTAATACTCCGTTAATAGATCTAGTATTATTGGTGGTGTAGTTGTGGATTTTTTTATAATTCTTAGCTCTTACATTCCAAACGTCTATTAAAATTACCACATCCACAAAAGAATAGTACCAGATACCTAAAACAAACATTCAATAAACTAAAATTCTCTTCAAAATTAAGATGCGGTGCGTTAAACAATTGCATTGGCAGCACTTGGATTCCTAGGCCAAAGATCATCACACTCCTTTCTAATGGGACCACTGATTGCAGAACCTTTCATTTTTCCCTTCGGATTAACAATCACTCCAGCATTATCTTCAAAGTACATGTAGACACCGTCCTTTCGGCGCCATGGCTTGCGCTGGCAGACAATGACTGCAGGCATGACCTTCTTCTTGAGATCGGGCTTACCCTTCTTGACGGTGGCCATAACCATATCACCGACGGAAGCAGTCCCTTCACTGAAATGCTGTAGTGTTGTCGGCGCAATTCACCGTCGCAGCCACTGGAAGACCCAGAGACATGCTGAACTTGTTACCCGCCGATCCTCCGCGTCCTCGCTTCGACATTTTTGCTGTCTCTCCTGTGAGGTTTCCGAAGAACAGAAAATACTTGCTTCATCTTAAGCGTTGGTAAATTATAATAAATATTTCTTAAAATTTATTCATATTTTAAGCTTTTTTATGATATATTGAAACCGTCATAATTAATATAAAAAATTTGTAAATTAAATTACATCTAATTAATATAAATCCATAAAATTACGTCATTTATCATTACTGAACATTTTTCATATCAAATTATTTTATAAAATAATAAAAAGTTTTTAATATAATTTTTCAAAAATTTTATAAATTATAATAATTATTTCATAATTTTAATAATTTATATTTAGTATATCTCTATTTAATTTAATGAGTATCAATTATATTATTATATTCATATCAAAATTTATTTTTCCTATTATTAAAATTATCAATATAATTTTTCTATTATTAATTTTCTTCTTTATAGCTCTATTCAAAATTTAATGATTATGAATTATAATTTTAAAATTTTCCTATAATTTCATTATTGAAATTTAATATTTTTCAAAGTAAATTTGCCTACAATTTTTTAAAATATGCAAATTAATTGAATTTTTACCACAATTTCCTTTTTTTATTTAAATAAAATATTGTTTTTTATTGCTTTCGCGCTTTGAAAACGCGAAAAATAATCTTGCAGAATTTATTTCGCGCTTTGAAAGCGCGAAACTTTATTTAATCAAAATTTTTACTATTAATTACTTACGATTAAGTTAAAATAATTAATATAACCTATTTTTAGCGTTTCTGAAACGCGAAAATCTTGTTTTAGCGTTTTGAAAACGCGATTTTGTCAATTTTCGTTTTTGAAACGTGAAAGAATTAGTTTTGGGGAGAATTGAAACCCTAAAACTATTTTCTTCTTCAGTATTTTTATTAGATACATATAAGTAAATTTTTCTTTTTTTTAAGCTTATGTATAAAACCCAAGCTTATGTATAAAACCCTACTCTAAGACATCACGATTTGTTCCATTTTTATAGCCACATTTAACCGATTTATACGCGTCTCCGATTCTTGCTGGCCTGCTTCCGGAATTCTGAATCAGGGAACTCAAGAAAAGAGGTACACTCCTCCTCCTCATCAATTAGTAGTAGTACTTTCTTTTCTTTTTTTTCTCTCAGTTTTGATTCTGGATATACTCTATTTCCTGGATGTCTGAATTTTATTTTTCCCTTCTTCGATCGGTGCCGTAGTTAGTTTCCCTTCTACTCCGATGCCTCAATTTTCGGTATTGTTTGTTTTAGGCAACTCGTACACCCTTGGGAAACCTTTCTATAAATAGAGCCGTGGTTTTCACCCCTTTTCTCAAATTTGCTCTAAATTCCTTCCTCCAGCTTTAGAGTTAAAAAGGGTTTCGTCGATTCGATCTGTTGATTACTTGTGATTTGAATTTTACTTGAACACCTTCTCTCTTCACCACCTAATTGATTTTGGTGCTTCTTTCAAAAATCAGTTGTACTCCTCCTCGATTGATTGAGTGATTGATGATGATTGATCCCGGTCGCTGTGGAGGTTCTGCTGCTATTCATCATCAGCAGCCAGCCATCCAAACCAAGATATCTGCTTTAGCAAATCAGGCCCGTGTTGTTGTTTGTTGTCGTGCCTTTCTGGCCGTGTTTGCCTATGCGATTTGCTCTAGTCTCCTAGTGGTGATTACCAAACTCGCCTTCTTTGGATTTCGGTACCCCTCCTTATTCAATGCATTGCAAACCTCAACTTCAGCACTCGGGATTTGGTTGTTTGGGAAATTGGGTCTCTTGCATTATGATCCCATCACAACCTTACCCAGCGCCCTCAAACTCGGCGTTGTTGCTGTAAGATTTTATATTTCACATGCCGTGTACATCTTGCTTTTGCACATAGTCAACGTGGATGCCGTCATTGTGTTCCGTTCTTGTATGCCCCTCCCGGCGTGTTTTGCTGCTACTTTTATCTTCCACACACAGCCCCGTCGTCCATCCAACTTGACCATTTTGTCGTTGCTCCTCATTTTGGTTGCCGCAGTTGGGTTTATTGCTACTGAGTTTCATTCTTTTATGTATGGAGCCTATTTTGGGATCTTTTATGTTCTCATTGCTTCACAAGAGATGATTCAGGTTTTGGAGTTCACGGCTGAGAACGGTTGCTCCAACTCATGGGGTATTTCCTTGTTCAACAATCTGGTTGCATTCGGGATCTCATTTCTAATTTCTATTTTGAGCGGGGAGCAATCTGATTTGTACGCCGCCTTGAAATTACAAGGGGTTGGGCTGCAGATGGAAGGTGTTGTTACATTTCTGGCTTTGGCTCTCTCTTGTGTGTTAGGCTTCCTGATTACTTTCTTCAATTTCGAGGCTAGGAAAGCCGTATCCGATGATGCCCTTGCTGTGACTGGTGCCGTGTCTAGGTTTTTGTCCGTGGGAATTAATGCGCTGGTCTGGGAATGGCATGCTGGTCCGGTCGGTTTGGCGTTCTCATTCGTGACCATTGCTGCTGCTCTTCTCTACCAGAAATCAACCATGGTTAAAACTGCTGGCGCACCCTCTGTCCTGCTGCATTTCCAAGAAGAAGAAGAAGAAGAACTGATCAGCAAGAATGCCACCGATGATTTAGAAATGGGTTTCCGGTAGAACCGATAGTTTATTTCAAGGTTGTACGTTGCTTTATTGCACTTTATTTCAAGTTTTCAACTCTAGTGTGGATTGTTAGAATTCATTGTCACCAATCTTACTGCTACTTTACTGCACAAGCCGAAGGATGAAAGTGTAGCTGACACAAAATCCCAACACACTCGGTAATCTCACGCTTTAAAACAGAGGTACAACTTTGCATTTTATTTATTATATAAGCATAGTGACAGAGACCATGTAAGAATGGAGCCGGATTTCTGCGTGTGATCGCAATCATGTGATTAACTCGATCCCTAATGTGTACAGAAAATCATTATCAAAACACATCTAAAATTATAATGAATGCCATCATACTAGTATTAAGCTACTAGTATTATGCAAAAATAATTTAGAAAAATGTAAATTACTCACTGATCAACTATTATAATATGACAATCATCGTAAATGAAATATTATCTCTATAGAGGTAATCTAAGAGTGCACAAATTAGGTCCGCCTTTGGCTATTACGCGCAATGATTGTTTCGACTTTGGAGCTCCATAAGTGCAACTATTGACTAAATACTTGAACTTTTTCAGGAATAACTGCAACTTGATTTGAATGATGTTCCCTTTCCTATCTATTCTCCCCCTCAAGGCTTTTCACATTTGCATTTTCAATGTGTCATTTTCGAGAATAATCCTCTCTCCATTCTCCATAGCATTAACGAGCACTCTACGAAATCAAGTCTCATTTGTAGGCATTGACGGATGATGAAATACAGCAGCAATCACGTGATCAACAATCATCAGTATTGAAGGAGGTAGCAGAAACTCATCAAGATGAACATATTATTCAGCGCATATTAGGACTATATTTTGGTACAACAATGTGGTGATTATTATTGTGCCATTTTAATTTACCGTATCAATATTTTTTGAAAGAAAATTAGGAATTTATCGTGGAAAGATTACAAAAGAAATGATTTGGATTAAAAGAATAGGTTCAATTAAAATGCTAAGTTTGGTAATTAATCATTTGATATTGCATTAAGTAGTATGGACCAAAGGAGCAGTGTTTTCCCACAGAATGGTTATAGTGCACGGTGGGTCAGGTATGCTTGGGTTTTAGAGTCTGTGGTCCATAAACTTTGGTGAGAAAGATCTTTTCCCACTTTAGCCCAAAATCACAAGTCAATTAAAAATTGCCGGGCCATCAGCTCATTGGTTCATCACCTTCAGTTTTCAGTTTTCACCCGTGACCTACAACTACAAGTTGGCGACTGAATGTGATGGTGGCAAGAATAGAAATTGTAATCGGGAATTCATGGTTTGAACTCTAGAGAACTTTTCTTTTTTCTTTTTTTTTTTGTGTACTGCAAGAGAACTTAGAGAACAAACAATCTACATGAAAAAAAAAAGGGTTGACTGATTGATTTAGGAAGGTCTTGGTGAAGGAATGATGATAATAACTTAAAAGAATGTGTCTTTGAACACATGATTTGAGGCATTTTTTTTACTATTTTCCATCACTTCTAAAAGCTCTCCAACAAAATCCCTAAAAAGATAGTATCTCGTTACTTTTGTGATTTACATTATCTTTCTTCCACATCAAGGTCAAAGATTAGATAGATCCATATGCTTAAATTGGGGAACGAGGAATCGTGGAAAAAACTAGTAATCCCTTTATCTCAAAATTATTGTTCACGATCATTTTTAGTATAATTTAGATTAAAAATGAAATTCAAATTAGACAATAACTTTGGATCAGAAGGTGGTAATATTACGCGTAAAGGATGAGTTATGTACTCTAACCACGTCATAATGGAACCCGGATGGAAATAAGGAATTCAATTCACTCCTATTGAGTATGTCGTCGCCACAAAGGCTAAGTAACCAGTTAGATTCACGATAGATGTGCCCTTATTAATCATTCAACTCTTTTATTTGATATGCGAAGCTCTCAAACTATCCATTTCAGCACGAAGTGGTTTTTGTTTCAATAGTTATTTTTTTGAGGAAGAACTAACAAAATCGAAATTGTGGTGAGAGTGACAATTGGAGTGCATAAAAATGGGGAAAAAGACAAGCGTCCCCTCCGCTCTTTCTGTCTCTTGGTGCGAATGCCACACATCTCTTTCTCGGTTAAAGGAGTACTGTTTGTTTTTGTAGGTTTTCGACAGTTGAATCCGTGAATGGAATGATACGAGTCCTTATCCATGCAAGAATAATTAAGGTCAAAAAAACAACAACAAAGTCTTAGGCAACAAAATCACAAACTTAAGTTGGAGCAAATTGCATACCCGGAAAACAGAGTAATCAGAACAGAGTAATCTGTTTTTTTCTTCTTGTTTGCCAAAATTATGCACGTGAATTCCCAATAATTTCTCATGCAAATGTGGGTCCTTAAGCCAGCCTTGCCTTTTGTTCGTAACCCAAACTACAACTCCCTAGAATCTCTCCACTTCTCTTTTTTAGTCTTCATTCTTCATTCTCCTCTGGTTTATGTTGTCCATTCAAAAGAAAAAAGCAAAAAAAATAAAAAATTCTCTTATTTAAGCTTTTCTTGTTTCTCTTCCGCGTTCTCACCCTCATTTCCATTTGAGTATACTTTTGCAATCATCTCTGCGAAGTTTGCAGAATCTTCATGGCTTCATGGGAGACATTTCTCATTCTTAGTGCAATTCTTGTTCTGCTCCTTAGTAATGGAGTGTTCAGCTATGGACAGAACTCACAGAAGGAAGTCCTTTCCCTGAAGAAACTGGAATGGCAACTGAGTACTACAAAAACTAGTTCATCTTCATTCCAGAAATCGAGTACGTATTGTATGTTGATAATTGCATGCTTATTTAGTCCTCTTTTAAGTTCAGAGTTTTACTGTATCAACTCCTTCAGAATCCTGATTCATGCACAGTTAAGTATATGTATTGTAAGGAAACCAAATACTTCTCTTCTCTGTTCTCTCTCCAGTACAAATGAACGAGTGGAGTTCAGCTGTAAACAACTTAAGGAAAACAGTCATCTTTGTTGTGGAATACAGTAGTTTTACATACATGCTGAATTGGTCATGATTGCTTAAATTGTGGCCCCCCAATTAGCATAATTTTTCCCTTGTTATTGAGTAGTTTTTCACAGTACTATGGAAAGGTAACCTCTGTTTTCCAGGAACAAAAAATGGCGTTACTGTACTGGAAATGAGGCACAAAGATTACTATTCCGGAGTCATACTTGACAGGAATCAGAGGCTTAAGAAACACTTACAGTCTGATATCATCCGAGTTCAGTCAATACAGGATCGAATTAAGAGCTTAATTTCAGGTCCAGTGGAAGCCAAGTCCCAAACTCAGATTCCCATTACTTCAGGGTTGAATCTGCATACTCTAAATTACGTCGTCCCAGCAACGCTAGGTGGAAGAAACATGACTGTGATTGTGGATACAGGAAGTGATCTTACATGGGTTCAATGCCAACCTTGCAGAATCTGCTATAATCAACCTGAACCTCTGTTTGACCCAAAGCTTTCTTCTTCTTACCAAGCAATTCCCTGCAAATCACAAGCATGTCAATCTCTTCAATTTGCTACAGGAAATTCAGGGTTATGTGGAGGAGATGCATCAGTTTGCAACTATGAAGTTAGCTATGGTGATGGATCATACACTAGAGGTGAACTTGGCAGTGAAAGATTACTTCTTGGAACAATCCCTGTTGAAAATTTCGTTTTTGGATGTGGTAGAAACAATAAAGGGTTATTTGGAGGTGCTTCAGGACTAATGGGGCTTGGAAGAAGTGACCTTTCCCTGATATCTCAAACTTCTGATAAATTTGATGGGATTTTCTCTTATTGTCTTCCAACTACTGATATGGGCTCTTCTGGTTCATTAATATTAGGAGGTGATTCATCATCATCTTACAAGAATTCGACGCCATTTTCGTATACTAAAATGGTCTTGAATCCTCAGCTGGCAACCTTTTATTTCCTGAATGTTACCGGGATTAGTGTTGGTGGTGTTTCTACACAAGCCTCAAGTTTTGGTAAATCCGGGATTCTGATTGATTCAGGGACGGTCATTTCTAGGCTTCCTCCATCAATTTATAAGGCTGTGAAAGATGAGTTCTTGAAGCAATTTTCAGGGTATCCACCAGCACCAAGCTTTTCAATCCTGGATACTTGTTTCAATCTTTCTACCTATGACGAAGTGGAAGTTCCCACCATCAAAATGCAGTTTGAAGGTGATGCTGAGCTGGTTGTGGATGTCTCTGGAACTGTTTACATTGCCAAAACTGATGCATCTCAGGTTTGCTTAGCTCTTGCAAGCCTCACATTTGAGGATGAGGTTGGGATTATTGGGAATTTTCAGCAGAGAAATACTAGGGTAATCTATGACACTAAAATGTCCAAATTAGGATTTGCAAGCGAAACTTGTAGTTTCTCTTAATTACCAACACAATGCAAATGTGGGTGTTTAATTGTAATGTATGCTAGGAACATGAAAATAGAGGGGCTTTAATGTATATTTACTTCGTACTATAACATTACTTTCAGCACGTACCAGCTTCTTAATTAGTGTTACAACAAAGGTATTATGAGGAACAATTGTGACAAAGTAGCATTTTATGTGTGCTAGTATATTTCTTGTTATATTTTTTAAAAAATCAAAAAGAATGTCTACCATATAATTGAATAAAATGTATAATTAGAGTGAGCTTGGTAGAGGAACAGAGTTCCAACATATAGAGTATCTCCACCAGATTCCAAATCGAGCAATATTAAGGCCCCAAATTCAAGAAGAATATTGTACGGATAAGTGCAGAAATCGGTGATCAGAAAGCCAACTTTGATTTGGACGTTTGTTATCTGCTTTCCATGGTTCTGGTCAGGAATGATGCCAAATGGTCTAGATACAATAATAAAAAAGCCTCTTTTTTTTTCCTGCACCAAAATAAATTGGAATCTAGAAGAGTATAACTTGTGATTCTCACTCAACACGAATAACTTCACCCAAAGCTTATCAGATTTAATGTAAATTTTCAGTCATGATTGCTCTATGCATCCTGAAAGCAGAATTAACTCAATTAAGTGACCTAGGAAGCTCTTAGAAATACTACGTTTTCTTATTATTTTTTTTTGGGACGGAAGGAGAATTATTATTAGATGACAAATATTATTTTGATGATCTTTGGCGATCATTACATGCAAAGAAATGGGAGAGTAAGTTTGAGTACCAAAAAAAAAAAAAAAATCAAATCTGCAAGGCAAAAGCTTCACTGAATCAATGCAATCGCGTGCTAATGCAGATAAAAAATGAGGTAAAAACTAAAAACAGAGTGTTTTCTCCATATCCGTCTCTAACAAATTCAGAAGAATGTCCCAAACTATAACACAACTGAATCCTCCAAACATCAACCATGAAATGATTACCAAATCCAAAAAAGGTTATCAAAAGGCAAAAAAAAAGAGTAAATGTCTAAAAACGCAAAGAAAATGCCACCTTGACAACATTGACATCAGTTTATTGATCCGTCACAGAGTATTTCTTCACAGAACAAGCTGGTAAAAAGAATTCGAAACGCATGATGATCTTAGAAAGGTTCAACTGACGTAAATGCATCAAGAAACTTCATCTAGTATCGACATTTCCGAACCAAAAATTCTTCGGACTTCTCATGGAAACAGGGGACGCAGTAAATCTTCAGCAGTCTTCTAAAATCTTGTATATCAACAGAACAGAAATTTTCTTACTGATGGAAGAGCACATTCCTGTCAATGGCATTCCGTATAAGGGGAAGCTCCATAATCTGGTCCAATGTGGAGGGTTGTTGATCATCACGGCATCTCAGCACGAATTCCAGAAAATCCCTTGAAAACGTTTCTTCCTATTAGCTTCTTCTACCTTTGGCAAAGACCGGGCCAGCTGAATCAACTCCGCCCGCATTTTTCTTGGCCACCTTATGGAGTTGCCGGCGAGAAATGTAGTCATCATCCAGTAGAACACGAAGAGTATGTGGCAGTTTCTTATTCGTCTTTTGGCTAGAATTGGGCACCAGTTTCATCTTCAGTAAGGCCACCATGTTCTTGCCCAGAACAACCATTTGCCGTGGAGTCAAATTCTCCGGCAAAGAACCATAAGCCAATTCCAATGCGAGAATTCCGACACCCCTGATTCCAACATCAGGCCTTCTACCAGAATTCCTCTGCAACATTTGTTTTTTATGATAAGCTAATTCAACTATGCATGAAACTCGAAACTCTTGTTTGTCTATGATATGAGTATAGCCTCAATAGAAAGCAATTCTCCCTAAATTAACCACCGGCTCAGTTCCTCTGCATCCATGAACGGTGACGATATGCTTCAGACCCCTTAGTGTTCCTTTCAACAAAAGCCAAATGCCTTCCTCCGACACCCCACCTGAGAAATGGTTACGCAGAATGGATCTCAGCCTCATTTCTTGAGGCACTTGTTCTGTATTGACAACATTTTCATGCCCGTCAAAACAGGAAATCTGCAAAAAAGGAAGCTCCAAAATCTGGTTGATTCCTGTGGGATTGGCCTTAAAATCGAGACATTTCAGTAGAAATTCCAGAAACCCTCTTGAGAAATATTTCTTCGGATAATCCTTGCCCCGATAAGACCCAGCTATTTTCTTGGCCTTCTTCGATTCTTCCTTCCGGCGTTGGCGCTTCTCAATGTAGTCATCATCAAGCAGACTCTGATCAAGGGTGATTGGGAGTTTCTTGATTAGCTTTTGGCCATCATCGTCCTCCAATTTCTGTTTCAGAAACTTCACCATGTTTTCCCCTAAAGTATTCATTTCCGCCGGAGTTCTGTTCTCCGGCAAAGACCCATATATCAATTCCAAGGGAAGAATCCCGACACCATGAATCCCGACATTGGGCTGCTTCGTCCGATGACGCTTCATGTAATTTTCATGATAAGCAAGTTCAATTATGCATGGATCTTGGCCATCTTCGACATTGGAACTCCAATCGAAAGCAATTCGACCTGCATCAACTTCTGGTTCTTTATTGATAGCTCCTCCATGAACAGACTTGATATGATTCAGGCCCTCGGTAACGCCTTTCAAAACCAGGGCAATGCGGTCCTCCGGCATCCCGTTTGGGAAACGGGAAGAAAGAACTGATCTCAGGCTTCTTTTCCCTTCAGGTAATTCCTCCGCATTGATAACAATCTTGTGCGCCATGGTTAATTTTCTGGGTCGTTCTTGAATTTCTTTAATATCTTCTTCTTCGACAGTTTTTCTCTGCAGGACAACCTTCAGTTGCAGATGAACAGAGATGATGGAAATTAAGAGATGATAAGAACTGCTAATGAATACCCACCAAATTGATTGAATTAATCACTGAATTTGCGATGTGAAATTTCAAGGACTGAATTTGATGATATGCGGCTGAAGATTGTAAATATATATACAGTTATGCATTAGAAGTAGACTGTTAGGGAAGAGGCGGTTGGCGTTGAATATGAGTGGAAATATTTCAGTCAATGGTCAAAGGCACTATTTCTTAGCTCGTTTACGGCTCCAGGGGATAAAAATGTGGACTAACTTATCTTGCCTTTGCCAAATTTCTCTGGTCTCCGTACATATATACTTATGATGGAGGACAGTTAAGTTATTTTATCTTTTTTAATTTTGACTTTTTAGAAACTGGACTGTTTTTTATGGACAAGATTTTTTATTAAACTAAATTATTTTTGTGGGACGAAGGGACTACAGTTATTGGCCTAATTAGTTAAGATTGGAATCATATCAAGTCTCTTTTACTTGCCCGTATTGGGAGTTCAAACTATAGTCACGGTGAAACTAACTCAATGTATATATGATTTTAATCAAGTGATTATTAGTAGTTCATTTAATCGCACTCTGAATATATGCAAATGAAATTTGTACAGTTAGCTCTATCATTTTCTACATCCAAAAGCCTTTTCACTAAGATACACTTGAAGCCTTCGAAATGAGCATAATTGATGTTCTCCATATTTCGTAATCCAAGTGAAAATACCTATTACCTACACTTATGCGCATAAGATCATACGTTAAGAACAGACTTTTTTTACGTGAAGTTGCTGCTCCTTAACACAAGCATTTTTTTACGTGATGATGAACTGGAACATTCTTTTAGATTTGTAGAGGAAGAAGATATAATTCTTGAGACCAACTGGGCAGTGTAAATGTGTAAATTGTAATCCTCACGATTATAAATTATGGTCCAAACCAGTTTCATTTAACACTTTAACCTTGTTAGATTCTCTATATATTGTGGTTTTTTTTTTTTACCAAAATTGGTTTCATTCAGTGAACTAGACTAGCTTATTTCATTAATGTTCAAATTTGAATTGTAATAATTGCTGGCTGGTTCCCTTCACTTGGGCCAACGAAAGTTGAAGTCAAAATTTAATTGGGATTTGTTTTGGGTTTTGACCGAGGGAAACAAAAATCCACTTGGTCTTGAGTTTTGTTTTTGATTGCTTATAAAAGCGATGCTGTACAAGTCTTTGTGTCTGTGTGTTTTTCAGCCGAGAAGAGAAGAAAAGTTTGGGCAACCGTGCATTGTTTTTGTACGAAAAAAAAAGAAAAAAAGTTATGATTTAGTTTTCAGTTTAACTCTCTTTCGGTGAGATTCTTCTAATCCTACTTTGTGACAGGTGTGTGTGGAAGAGTATAGTTGTAATCCACCTTTAGGTGAAGTCCTGTGTATCCACATGTTGGTGAAGGTTGTTTCCCATTATTGTGATAGTGGAGATTTGACTGTTGTTACAATCTCGTGGTTTTTCCTAATTTGGATTTTCCACATAAAATCATGTATCTATTTTACTTTATCGGTTCTTGAATTATTTGCTTGTTTGGTTGATTGTCCTATTTTATTGGTAGTATGAAATGAGATTTTCTTGGGGTTCGCTTCCGTAATGTATTGTGTTTATGCCCTTTCCGCTACAACAATAATCATAAAATACTTGAGGTTGGGGAAAAAATATTAATGAAAATTAAATTACGACCTGTTTATTTATTAAAATATCAGTACTTGGTGCCTGAATTTTCATGCTTATTACGGGGCCACCCCAAATCACATTAACCTGTTTTATATATATTAGTATAAAAGTTAGGGAAAAGTTCCGCTAACACCCGTAAATTGAAAAGACCTACCTCTTATAAACTCTGACAAACCTCCTTGTGGTTTATCAAAATTGAACTGAAATGAACAGTACAGATATACTATTAACTATTTGATTTAAACACTTTGTTCAAACTTCAATTTACAGTATACTTTATTCCCTACATTACACTCCACAGTCCATAATGAAAATGATAGTAGTATAATGCACGGGAACAATGAAATTATGATAAAAACCATGCACTTCATTGACAATTGCCCATGTAAAAAAAACGGACACGATTTTGTCCCAAATTCTCATCGTCTTCACTTTTATTAACTATATTAACTTGTTCCATGTGTTGGTAGGATGTGTTTTTACATTGCCATCGGATTATACAAATTTTGACCTGGTCATAACCAGCATCGTGGTAAATAAGATTACAGTTAAAATTCAAATTCTCTAAATCTCAATTTTAACTCACCTACATAATCATATCATATGTAAATGAATTAGGTCGTGTTTTTTGTATGCTCAGTAGTTACTTTAGTTACAACGTTATCTTTTATTGGGTAGGATTAGGCCTGTTCATTGGGTCGGTTGACCCGAGACCCGACCGAACCAAACGTAATTTTGGTTTTTCGGTTTGAATTAAATTGGTTTTCCTAGTTACTATGCAGTGAAAACCAAACTAAATATTTAGTTGCTTTACTATCGTCGGGCATTTCATTTTTCACCCGAATTATCCAAACTCGATTTTCTTCCACCGCTTCTTCTCCCACATCTCCAATCTCTAGCTAAACGAGCCAAGCAATTTGTGGGTTTCACAGATTTTACTCCAAAATTCATTTCCACGACCCCCGTCAATGTTAGATCTAAGTTTTTTCGGGGTTAGTTTAGGATTTATCCATCAAAAAGAAGCCGTCCAAGTTCTGCTACTCCAAGTATTCTGCCGGAGCAATGGAAGGCGTGAGATTCAAGCCATGAATGAATTCATCTGCATACAAAGCCGTCAGATCTAAGCACCATTCAAAGCCGTTAATGAATTCCGCAACTGAGTCATGAGTTTTCTTCAAGGTGAGCCTTTCTAAGATATCCTTTCTTGTTTTTCGCCCGTTTATTTTGGATTCTGTTTTCTCGAGGGGTGTCAAATCGATCTGCATGTTCTAAATCCTTCATGGCCAAAGATTAGTTGGATTTTCTTTCCCACTGGTTTCGTAACGGTTAGGGTTTCCTTTCGTCTCCGATCTCCTTCCTCCTCCGGTCCACCTCCCGGAAATTTTTTCACAATATGAGGCGGCGAAAGATTAAACTGTAACAAAAAAGGGGAAATTTGTTATTATTATTATTTTTTGTGTTGAGTTCTTAAGTGAAGGTGGAGGAGACTTGGGTAGGATGGGTTACTTTGGGGGAAAAGGTGGGATGGAGAAAGTACAAAGGGTAGTTAGAATGGTGTATTTCATGGTGGTAATGGTGGCTTCGTTGCTGATGCAATCGGCCGCGGTGCTGGTGGTTATTGTCGACGTAGTGGTGCCCTTTATATTGGTGCAGAGCTTCACGTGTGTTAGGTGTTACAGTTTTAGAGAGTATTTTAAATTGTTTATTGGTAATTTAACAGCTGAGATTCACTGCTTTTCGGATTATGTTTTTACCTTCCCAACTAATTGTTTGTTTGATTTTTCAAATGCTGTTCATCTTAGACTGCCCTATTATGTGTTGCATTTTGTTAAATTTGCAAATTTTTTCTTGATTTCCACCCGAGATGATGCTTGGCTGAATTAGAAGTTAGAAGAAGCTTATGCACCCAAGCTTTCTTTCTAATTGATAGTGTAAACTATTGGATTGAACCTTTTGACTTTGTTAGTTTCAAAATTTTAAATCAGTCAACTATATGATCAGTTTCAGAGTATTGCAGAATGTAGGAAACCACAGCTAATCAGTTCATGTTTGATGATGATTATTTTTGTTTCCTTAGATTGACTTATATTTTTTTTGGTTACTTTTTTTGTTTGATCAGGTGTATATATAATCTATGATGAACCTGCTCTGTCACATGAACTGTATCTTGGAATTGTTATTCTATGTTCTATTCTTCAGTTCTTCTTTTGTCTGTAAAGTTAATTGTGTTTACTATTAATTCACAACTTGAGGCGGAAGCATCATCGTACCACACAAGGCACAACCTCCATTTGAAGAAGTCATGGGGTATGCTTGTCTTATTTTTTTCATCGGTGGTGTTTGCTCTTGGCCATACTGTCATTGTTGCCGGTGTCTTAGTTAATTTGTTTAACCAAAACTGCAAACAGTAGACTGAGACATCTCATCCTGATACTTTCTTGTTTTTTCTTAGTTAATTTGTCTTACTTGATTCCTCCTTTGAAGCTTTTTGCCAGGTTTGGATTACAGGCCTTCTGTATTTTGGATTACAGTCCACCAAAAATAAAGGATAGCCTGTAAGAGAACTTCCACATCTTTGTCGTTTCTTGTTCTTCTTTTCGATTATCATCCATATCATGTAAGATTTGGTGAAGTGACACACAAATCTGATTTGATTGCAGGTAGCTTTATAGTGACATGGTCTAATGTCAAAGTTTTGTGCAAAATGTGTTATTTTTTTTGAACGGCTTCACAAGATCTCACTGGTCTGACAACATTCCTTGAATAAAATGCACTGATTTTGTTACTCATGGCTGCATTTAGAACATTTTTATCAGAAGAAATAACAATGCTATGTTTGAAAATTGTCACTGGCTTGATGTGTTTTTGTCTTAAAACAACTTCATGAGTTGAATTTCAACTTTGAGATGTATTAGTTTTACATTCAGGAAAAAACTTCTTGTATGCTGGTGATTTGCTATTTGTACTCTCCTGGTTGAACTTTGTGGATGATGTACATTTGTGTTGAATTAGAAATACCTTTAGACAGTGAAGGAGTTGTCTGTAACATGTTCATTAAGGAGTTGTCTAGTAGTCAGCAGAGCATCTGCTAAGGAAGCTGGAGTCGGAAGGCCACCTCTTTGTGGAGCAGAAAATGATGATGCATCTAAATTTTGTCCAGCAGCAGTTCTATTTTTTTTAAAATTTTTTTTTTGAAGATGCAGTCTTAATGTTTATTTTGGAGATTGTAATATTTTTTGTAATTGGATTTTTATGTGCCTTTTAATGAACTTGGACGATGAGTGTAAGGATATTTAAAATTTTGGCCAAAAGAAAAAAAAATGCTGCAATAAATCTGTTTAAAAAAAATATTTGCTGAAAATAAAGTATCAGTTTATATCGGGTGTACCTGATTACCCGACCGGAAATCTGAATAACCGAATAAGTGATTCGGGTTGTTATTCAAATGATATTGTGCTTAAATTGGATTAACCCGTTTTCAATCCGAGGATCCGATTGACCCGAATATATTGACCCGAAACCCGATATTCTGACCCGAATGAACAGGCCTAGGTAGGATATCCAAATTTCACTCTGGGTAACTATTTGGTTTTGGTGGGGTCCAATCCCAAATCAAAAAACAACAAAATAATAAAAATAAATGCACTTAAAAAAGGGAATTAAATAGCAGGCAGAAAAGTCTGATTGGTTAAAACCCCCCAATATATAAATGTTAAGGCAAAAAAATCGCAACCTTTAGGCAAATTTTCTTTTTTTTTCAGTAAATCAGATTCTAGAAAAAAAAAAAGGAAAAAAGAAAACCCACCCAAAACCCCCAAATCAGCAAATGACTCACTTCCAACAAATGAAGACAAAAGCTAAACAAAAGAACTACTCCTCTTCCCACACTTCCTTCCCCCCTTTTCCCTACTTCCACTCCCAACAAATAGATACAGCCGCACTTTAAGACGGCCGTATTTTTCCCCCTTTTCTACTTCATTTTTTTTTACCCCTTTCCCCGGCCGGCCGGCCTTATTGGCTGTGCCTTATTTCTTTCTTCTTCTCTTCATCTCACTTTTTCCCAAAAACTGCTACTTTCTCATTTTCCCTATTATTCCCCCCATTTTCCCTATTGGTTCATCTCAGATTAACTATTTATTTATAGTCCTCTTCCCCCCTTTTTTGCTGATTTTGCTTCCCCTGTTTCATAAACCCATTTCTATTTAATCACTGTCTAGTGTATCCAACAAGCGGGGCTTTTTTTCTTTTCATGGCGAAAACATCAAAGAAAAATCACCAGAATAGAACTAGTTCCAGCACCACCACTACCGCCACCAGCATTGACGACAGCAACAGTAGTGTTAGCAGCAAAAATACGACGTCGACGACGGCGACGAATCCCGTCGTCACTAAACCCACCAGAACTAAGCGAACCCGGAAAAGCGTTCCCCGTGATTCTCCCCAGCAACGGAGTTCCATTTACCGCGGCGTCACGAGGTATGTTAACCCCAGAACACAAGGGGAAACCCATTTCGTGATCCTTACTGAAATGGAAAATTGAAAGCAGAATACAGTGATTCGTTGGGTAATTATTATGGAAATTATTGCAGACACCGGTGGACTGGTAGATATGAAGCTCATTTATGGGATAAGAATTGCTGGAATGAGTCACAGAACAAGAAAGGAAGACAAGGTCTCTTGATTTTGCTTTTTTTTTTTTTTTTTTATGACGCATTTCATGGTTTACTGAAATAAATTTCCGGCGGGATTAGCGTTAATGTTGTTTTTTTTTTGTTGTTGTTGTAACCGGCGTTTGCGGTGGGGTTGCCAACGGCGGAAAAACAAATAATTAAACAAATCCGCAGTGTATCTTGGTAAGTAAATTGCAGGTTTAAGAGTTTGGTTTGATATCGTTGTCATTTACTTCTACACACAGTCACACACTCTTTCATTTTCAAACAACAAAAAAAAAAAACCTTAATTTTGAGAAACAAAAATTAATAGATTTCAATTTGGGGGATTTTGGAAATGGTCCACTGCAGCTGTTTTTGCTGGATTTGCTTCTGACTGAAACTCAGTCGTTTTACTTCTACTGTGAAACTATACTTACGTGTAAATCAAAGCTGTAGAACAAGTGGATTGACCCAACTCAACAAGTGTGCATCTTTTTTGATCTTATCCATCTTTTTTTGAATTGGATCTTCTTTCTTTATTTTATTTTTATTCATTTTTAATTTTAGATTTTTGAATGATTTATTATTTTTTTTTGGATAGGGGCGTATGATGATGAAGAAGCAGCTGCACATGCATATGACTTGGCTGCATTGAAGTATTGGGGACAAGACACCATTCTCAATTTTCCTGTAAAAATAATTAAAACTCCTTCCTCCAACATATTCTTTTTGTTTGATCAAATTTATTTTTTGTTTGTTTTATTTTATTTATTGTACTCCAGTTTTCTTGGGTCTCGTTTGTTTGAATGTTTTTGACTCATTTTCAGTTTGGGTTTTTTTTTGTTTTTTTTTTCCTGGTTGTGTATGAATTTATGTAGCTATCAACTTACGAAAATGAGCTCAAGGAAATGGAAAGCCAATCGAAAGAAGAGTATGTTGGATCCCTGCGGAGGTATTAAATACTAGAGTATTTTTTTCTGATTTTGAAAGTATCAAAGTTGGCATCTTTATTGAAAAAGGTTCTTTTTTGAAAACTACTGTTATTTTAATAAGATATTCTATGCTATGGGAAAAGCGTTAATTGGTTTGTTTAATTTGGCAGAAAAAGCAGCGGGTTTTCTAGAGGAGTCTCCAAGTATAGAGGTGTCGCGAGGTAAATTATGATTCTTTATTTTGTTGTGATAAAAATAGGTGTTCATCTGAATTTTTGTTGAAAGTTGATCAAAGCATTAAAGTGCTAAGACAGGGCACGATGTCAGCATCCAATAGCCAACAAGGTTGTTAGGAGCAGGGGAGTTACATGTTTCTTTGAGTTATGATCAATGTGCTACTAATATCCCAAGTCTTAAATGTTGGACTAATGAACTAGTAGTTAGTTGTAATCTTTTGTCCTAGATAGCAACACCATTAATAATGTGAAATTGACATGAAATCTTGATTTGTTTCTCTTCAACAACATGGCACTCTAAGTAGTCAAGCTGACTGCTAGATTTTGATAGGATTGAACTTTTAGGTTACTTGACTAAACTCTTTTGACGTTTGTGACTAATTGTGGCGGTGTGTATTTGCGCAGACACCATCATAATGGAAGGTGGGAGGCTCGAATTGGAAGAGTTTTTGGCAACAAGTATCTCTACCTTGGAACATATGGTAGGGTCCCTTTCATTTCCTGTGCAACATTAAACATTCTGGTTAGATTACTTGAACCCAGCTTGCTCGATTGAATCGGTTATAAGTTTATGTCATACATTTAGAAAATGAAATGATCTTGGTCTTTCTAATAGTTAAAGCCTAAATCAAGTGGTCTACCTTATGAACACAAGTTCAGAACGCTTTTTGCGTCCTATTCCAATACCCCACCTTATAAAATCGATCACTATTTAACTACTCTGTTATCTTGGTTTTTGTTAGTGTCCATTGATGGGCCAAGGTTCATTTTATATGTATTTGATTTATTAATGACCCTCTTCTAAATGAATAAAGAAACATATGGTTTTCTTTCAACATGAGGATATATAGTTGAATGTAATTGATCTTAGTTAAGCAGCTGACGTACACCAAATGAGACAAATAGTAGTAGTTTATGAAATTTGTTGAAAATCTAAGGGGGCTTGATAACAGAACAGTTAGGGAGAATATAGAAATGGAATTGGAAATCAATATCTTTCTTTGGTTGCCCAGCCACACCAAACCTTTACAGCAGCTCTTGCTTGTCATGTGACAATTGCCATTTGTCTGCTACTTTACATTATGGAGATAAATTTCTGACCATGATAATTGTTTAGTAGATTATCTCTTCAAACACGTAATTAATTATCTAAGATTGGGGGAAAGTAAAGCTCCCTGTTCCATATGTCACTTACATTTGACCCACCTTCACAAGTCATTCCAAGTGGAAACAAACACTTGTCATACTTGTCAACTTGTCTCTCCTTTTTTTAGTATTATTGTATATTGTCTTTTCTTTAAAAATGCATGAGATTTGTGCTGAAAAGCAACTTGTATTCAAGTGATTTGTATTGAATCATTCACATTTAGTTCATGTCGATTTATCATGTGTTAACAGAGTAATCATACTCACAACAATGAATTCATACAGTAAAATGACATAGATAATAATATAACATAGAACCGATGTCGAAAGATAATCATTTTATAATCATGTTTCACTTGTTAAGGGCTATGTTAGGTTATTCTATCTTTTTCCTATCGTTGCATTATCCAATGATTCGTCTTACTATATAGCTCACTGATTTTATCATTACTCGATTAGCTGAAAGTCTTTTATGTTGAAATTGTATACTTTAAGTGGCCAAGGGAGGCATATGCATGTTACTTTTACTTCCACAAGTAGAAATGGGGGCAATAGAGTAGAAAAGAAAGCAACTAAATGTAGTTGGTGGTTGTGCACGGGCGACCAAACACTCAACTAATAAGTTTTGCCATTGATTTGTTAAACATTTATGATACCAATTTTTTTCAACCTTTTGCCACCCAATTTATCATGCAAATTGAATTCTTTGAATTTTCTAAACATTTATGGTATGAATTTCTTTCAAGTCCTTTTTGCCACCAAATTTATCATGCAAATTGAATTGTTGCATTAAGTTTTTGGTGTGATATATTACTACTTGGATGCATGGTTCTTTAATTTTTTTTCTTTGTTCCCAAATTACCCTTGACACCATCAAATCAATGGCACCCATTTGCAGCTACACAAGAAGAAGCAGCAACTGCGTATGACATGGCAGCTATAGAGTACAGGGGACTTAACGCCGTTACCAACTTCGACCTAAGCCGTTACATCAAGTGGCTTAGACCTGACCAAACTGGTGACGGTTCGAGTAAAGGATTTGTCCATTCCCCTAAGCAGGAAAAGGCTGACCTTAACAATGCTGAAGTCAATGATCCCAGTCCAGAAATTGAGATAAAGTTCCTTCAACAACCACAGCATAGCTCTAGCTCGGCCGAAACCACCAGCACCACCACCTCAGTCGAGCCGCCACCACAATCGGATGGCGACCCCACTGCATCATCAGCATTAGGGCTTCTCTTGCAATCATCAAAGTTCAAGGAAATGCTAGAACAGACATCAGCCGTGGACAGCCCATCATCTCCACCAGAGCGGTCGGAACTACCACGTAGGAGCTTCCCGGATGATATTCAGACTTTCTTTGATTGCCAGGACGCTGGCAACTTTCCTGAGGAGCATGACAATATTTTTGGTGATTATAATTCGTTTGCATCGACTATATTTCCCTGTGAGCTTGATACTTAGTTGAAGAAGGGAAAATCCAGCTCTGCAAGCAATGTGCATGGGTGAACATAGAAAAATTTTATACATAAAATTTTCTCCAAAAAAAAAAAAAAAAGGAATATTCTAGGTTTGAGCTTTTAACAATCTGGAGTACAAGAAGATCAGAGTTTTCTCTTTTGTTCCTATTTTGGGGGGTAATTTAATTTTTGGTTGGTGTGTATGCTTTAGTATTAATGTAGATATAGATTGGTCCGTAGTCATTCTTTCACCAGTAAGTTCTCATAGAACCTTTGTCCCGAATGAAAGGCAGCTATAATATTTCCCCCCTACATATGTCTATTTCTTTTATTCTTCTTCTCTTATAAAGCGTGAAGGCCATATTCTACGGTCACACTTCGTTCGTTGTCGTGGCTAATAGTGATCAAAGTCACATTTTACATTGAGCATAAATATGTATGACAATAACACGCGACTGAGACTAAGTACTGACATTATGTTAAGATCGAGTATATGAACTATGAACTGTTACCGTCCAATGTCAAAACCATTTTGCATTTCGATGTTACGATTTGCCAAATGTGGCGTTTTTTACGTGTATGACTGGTTCGATCATGGGTGACTTTTCCACCGACCATCAGGACGGGTGAAAAGTTCTCGCATACGTGTTGAGTTGATCGGTGATGTGAAGTAAGTGCTTGCAAAAATTTCAGAGGACAATTCTAGTTTTTGCTTAACTATCCTCTCTATTTTGGTTCACAAAAACGTCCATCTTTGACGACTTTTAACTCGAAATATTCCGCCAATCATCTCATTTCAATAGTCTATTTGATCCTACTTGTATAATATTAGTACGAAACATACAATATATATTAATTTCTTTGTTTCAAAAAAATTATTCACATTAATGATAGTTTGTCAGTTGATTTTGAGACAGTAAAGTATAATGAGATTCGTAGCGAAGTATTATGGGACGGAGGACGGAGTGGAATGATAATTTGGTCGTTGGTTTCAAATCTCATGCATTCTTCTTTTTGGGTATCTCCCAAGTCATTGCAAGTTGGCCATAAACACTGATGCCTCCCTTCAACAGAGATGCCTATCCCTATCATTTGAGTTTTGACATGTTCAACAATTCCCTCCGGCCAGATCAATTGTTGCTGCGCAATATTCTTTTTTTTTTTTTTTTTGTTTTTGCGTGACAAATTAAAAAGGGAAGACAAAGATACTTATTTACAATAACAAATGAGCTCCAACATTAATAATTATATAAAATGGCTTTTGTTTTTCTTTTTCTTTTAGGGATGGACAAATTGACCATTTTTTTTTTTTTTTTAGCTCATGTTCAAAGTATGAGACAACAGTTAAAAACGGTGAATTGGCGTATTAGAGAGAGCAAGTTGAACCTTTCAACCAAATTATATTTGAAGAGGTACATTATAGTTAGCCGTGTTATAAATTCAATATCTTGTGCAGGCTTGTAGCTTATATGTTTTAAGGAACTTTCCTTCTTTGTCACTTTCGATTTTAACAATAATCATCTGCAGTCTACAACCCAAGTACCCAACTTTTTTATACTTCGTAAAAAGTAGAACTTCAAAAAAATAATGAATGTTTTTAAGATTAACATTTGAAGAAATCCAGCATCTTCTTATAAAAATATAATAATCTCGATTATGTATAAATAAAATTCTGTTATTATGTCAAGAGTTAGTCTAAATATACTTAAGTTTACCTTATGCTCTACTCTTTTCCTTCATATAATACAAAGCATTTGTTGTTGGATTTTTCAAATACATAGCATATAGATCATATAATTATACGATACGTAGCCAGCGGGCTGTCCCAGTCAAAAAGATGCCACAATGAAATGAAGTCTGAAGTGAGTATGGTGGATGTGATCGATCGGGGAGTGATAGAATCTGCTTTTTGATCATGGAATTCGTACAAGAATCAAATCCAAAAAAGGGGACAAAACTTATTCCAAAAATAGACTGTACGTACATGTGTAAGCAACATGATCATTATTAGATTTAGACACACATAATCATTTTAGTAAAGGGTTAACGTCAAAATCATCCCCGAGATTTAGCTGTTTATCTAAAACAGTCTTAATCTTTAAAAAAAAATTAAAAAAATATCACTTAATCAGGAAATTAATTATCAAAAGGGTTTCCGACAACTTAAAATTGATGTATGCGCGTAAACTAGGCCAAACAAATACTGAAAGGATATTTGTACCTCGTAGAAATCCTCCTTAAATTTTTTCAAAACTCAAATAAAATCATATATTCACTTTTGAATCCAAAATTTAGCCTTTTGGGATCTCGTTAAAAGTGAATTTTGGATTTAAAGTGGTTATTTGATTTTATTAAGGTTTTTTTTTTCAAAAAAAAAAGAAATTACGAAAAGTTTCTTGAAGCAGGAAGGGGTACAAACAGCTTTTTGACACTTTTTTGCTAACTTCGTATGTATACATCAATTTTCAATCATCGATGACTCCTTTGATAATTGATTTCTCAATTAAGGGATTTTTGATATATTTTATTTAAAAAATAGTTAGAATATTTCAGATAATCAGACAAATCTTGAAGGTATTTTTGATATTAACCCTTTACTAAATTGATTAGTGCTAATGATTTTGAAAACCCCATAAGTCTTTAGTTTAATTCTTTAAATTAACGATTTTGTATAAGAATTTGGCTCCACTTCAATTTTTGAAAAAGTTTTTTTTTTAGAGGATGCTTTTTGTTATGTGATTGGAAAATGAAAATGGGAATGGAAGGATACAAGCAAAATTAATCAATTATCAAGACATATCATCCTCTTATGTATTTATGTTTTTCTCCGTCCATTCTACAACATCTAAGCCCCACAACAAAAAGGCAAATCCGTTGAAGACTTGAAGGTGACCCTTGAAAGTCCTCAGGAGCTGATTTCTTCCGCATTGCCATTATATATTTTCTCATTTTATTTCAATTCCAATTGTTTTATGGTCCTATCATTTTCTTGAGTTGTACTTTTTTCCATTGGATTTTCTGATTCCAATTTTTGGCTTTTAACTTTGAACTTTCTAAATCAATTTGGTATGATAGGATACATTTGGATGAGGAAACAAGAAAATAAATACAAATTTTGATCATAATAATATCTTCTCTGGAGTATATAACCCAATCATCTCCCAAATGTCAGCCTATAATTGATGCATTAAATAAAGGTGGTTTTTTTTTTGTCAAACTGACTGCCAGATTCTCCAAGTTTCTTGTGAAAGAAAAACAATGTTGGTGAAATGAAACCACACCAGATGGCTTCTACATTGTTTTGATTTTCAACAGTTTTGTGCATATTTCAATGACTTCCGACAAAATTCCCATATTTATGGAGCAAGTGTCCAAATACTTAGGGCAAGAGGATTCTCAAAGAAACAAAGATTAAGCTCAAAAAAATTAGATATGGATATCTCTCAATCAATCTTTTCTTAATCCCATTTCATAACATCTACCAAGTCCAACAAAGAGCATCAAGAGGATGCTTTGTTGTTCATTACATTATCTGAAAATGGAAAATGCAATCCTGAAAACAAAATACTCGTAGAGTACTGTTACATGCTCCCCCTCTTGTCATTTTGCTTCATCATGTCTGTTAATGCAAAGGTCCTGCTTTTGATTGAGGGCATCCGGCTTCTATACAGAAGTTATGCAGCTAAAGCGTGCTTATCGGATCGATTTTGTTATAGGCATTTGTTGATTACCAAGTGCAACATGGCTTTGAATCAATAGATGCCAAGCAGATGCAGAAGGCTTGGAAACCAGTCATTGGATATCTGCATGAACATATTACAATGCTTAAATCAGCTTTTTCTTTCTTTCTTTTTTCCGGGGAAGAAGGAAGTATAATACCCTTGTAGAGTTCACTAAATAGTGTAGGTGGTTTACCTGAAATCCATCACATAATTGGATTTCCCTACCCTTCCAAGCTGGAGAATTGTCTGTCTTCCATTCTTCTGTGATGCAGAAAGAAAACTATTTAGAACCATGCAAATATTTTGATGTACAGCACTATCTGCTTATTGCAAAGAAGCTTAGTAATGTAAAAATGGGCGTAATCAAGTGTTTATGATCATGGAAAAGTTATCTTTACCTCCAGCGTTAGTTGGAAATTCTTTACGGAGCTCTGGATTCGGAGTCCTGTTCTCCCTCTGTCTCTGAAATCCAATTCATACTGTTTCGACATCTACAGCGCAATAGTATACGGAAAAATGATGTTAAAACTTTGAGACAAGGGCTAAATTCTCCAATATCAAGAATGAGTTATCCAAGTGAACATAGTCACATACCTTGTTGTAATATGGCACCCTGGAGAAAAGCTGATGCACTTTATCCCTCTTCTCATTCCAATCCAATGGCAGTCCATTAATGTGCTGCAATTAGAGAATAAAAACTTTTCAAAACTAGAAGGAATGATCAAATGTAAGTGAAGTGAGCTTTGTCACTTAGTTTTATTGGATGTGATTTTGTACAAGGCTAACCTGATTTGTATTCTTTAACTGCATTGATTGATGCTTTGGTATCCAAGCCTTCATGCTTCTGTAGCTCCCTGTCCAGGTAGCTATTGTAGGCATAAATCTGTTCATCAACAGGTACCAAAAAGAAATGATACAAAATTTTTGAAGTAACGTGCGACTTAGCAGAATTGCAGAAAGTATAAGGGTGCTTACGAAACAACTGCTTGTAATTTTGAGTGTTTAGGCGTGGAATTGAGATGATTCCCCAGACCCCATATGTTGTATTTTGAGCCCATAATGTTTGCATTCATGTGCCCTATTACACCATCATCCTGACTACTCAGGATTCCATTTACATCTGATGCTACCACAAACTCGGACTTCCCATTGCACCTCCGGTGAAGTGCCACCGCGAGTTTCCTGTTTTGTCTACCGTGACCTTCCTGCAAGACATTACACACATTATGTGATCAGTGAGCAATAATTCATTAGTTTGGTGTTATATGTGTTGGAGTCCTGTAATGAAATCTTAGCACCAGCGACTTTATTAGTTTCTTGGTTTATACAGCATCAATTTTCGGCCTCAAATTGAAAACATGTTTTCCACACATATACTTGTCTTGGGCCTCAAACACAGCATCAATTGTAGTAATTTCTTTATCAAAGTGACTACTGTAGGAAGTACTATCAAATTGTAAAACATGTTTACTTACTAGCATCTGGCAGCTCACAGCAGAAAAATCCATAAAAATAACTAAACTGAAGTTCAGGCCATTTATCTAACAGTGTCTCTTAGCAAAAATTAGTTCATTTCTGCAATTCCAGCATGAACAGACTTGAGAGTTAGTGTTTTCATTCTTTCTTTTTGAGGATTTTGCAAAGATAGGCAAACGGACCCCAAAAATTCAACCATATCTACCATTCGACTAAGGCAAAAATGAAATTTCTGCTACAATTAGTAAGCAAAAGGAGACTTACATTAGTATAAAGGGAATAAAGAGTGCCCTTTTCCAGTCCTTTAGCAGATGCTTCCTTCACTATCAGACACGTACACCTTCCGATATCCACAGGCAAAGGCCTAAATAACAATGACCTGAGAAGCAACCACCATGAGATGCAAACTTAAAATACATCATGTGTTTCAAAAGAGGAAACCAAAAGGAAAAGAGAAAAAATTCATCACTTTACCTGTTGGGGAGAGTGGACCAAGAAGCAGCAGGTGCAGATTCAGAATCTGAATAATCCCAGATATTCCCTGAATTAGTCTTTTCAGAATCAACAACCGGTTCCCAGAATTTCACCCCGAATGTCGAATCGGGTTCGTGCTTCTGCATACACAGCTGAAGTGAAGATGGCTTCAAATTCAAAGCCCTGTCTTTGGAATGACACTCATCCACAGCAGCAAAATCCTTCGGGTCAAGAAGACGAATTCCTTTACCCGAAACCGGCGTCACTGCATTTTCCTTATCATCACCATATGAAACATTAGGAGTAACATTTTCCTTATCATCCCGATTCCAACTGTAAGGAACGTTTGGGGTAACATTTTCTTTGTCATCAAAATGAATGTTAGTATTAGAATGACCCCGACGAATATGAACCACAAGAGGAACAATATTGTTGTTACTAGAATTTCCTCCTCCTTCACTGCAACTACGATTATGCTTCTGCTCACTCAGAGGATTAGCATACAATGAATTGTACGAAGATTGCCGAGGAAAAGAAGTCTTTTTTTCAGCAGCCATTGAATTGGACTATGAAGCAGCTGAATTGGGTTGAAACCTGAATTGGGTTCATATAGATAGATTGACTGGGTGTTAAAACTTGAAAAAAAGGTGTGATTTTTGAGTGGAACAATGAGTAGAAAGATGGAGTCTTTTATATCTAGTGCTTGATGATGACATTAATAAAACCTCAAAACTGCAAATTCGAATTTGAAAATGTGTCTGGGAAAGTGTGTGTGGGGTTTTTGGAGTTTTTTTGGTTTTGTTGTGGGAATAAAAAGGGGGTAACGGTAACCATGAAAGAGGAGGAGAAGAAGCCGTAATTTGCAGCCAAAGATTTTACTTTCATTAATAAATGCTTCTTCTTCTTCTTCTTCTTCTGGGCTGTTTGTTGGGTTTAGGCGGGAGACAGATTTTGAATAATGTCCAATCATCATTAATTAAAAAAAAAAAAAAAAGACCTGTCCTGATAATGACGTACAGATCTGGTAATTATGATGAATCACGAGAATAAACCAGTCAAATTGAAGTATCACATTGGTTGGGGTTTTGTTGGTTGTTACTTATTCTTGATCTTCCCCAAAAAGTGTTTGAATAAATTACTGCACGTTGGAGGAAATCTTCCAGACTTCCAATGAGAGTGGGTTGAAGAAAAAATTACAAAAGACGGAAGTCTCGCCCCATTTGACTTGGACAGCTATCATGTGTTTTGCACTTTTCAGATTATCATTATTATATTATATTATGAGCCCTAATTAAACACACACTTTAGTAATCAAGCTACTAATGATTGATTGATAGTAGCACTACTACCACATTTTGATTGATCATATTAACAAGGATGATTTTGAAATTTGCTAAGAACGAGAACTTTTCTCTCGAACTTTATAGGAACAAGTAAAGAAATGAGTTGGTATAAATAAGAGTACTACTATCTTCTAAAAGCGATTTTGCTGCTACTTTTCATACTCTTTTTTTTTTTTTTGAGGACAAGTCAATATAAACAAATAGAGACGTTCATTTTACAGTTTACTCACTTTTCGTAGACAACAAGATCATACTCTTATAATTTTCATGTGATAGTCACGGTTAAACTCCATAGACTTTCATAATGTATATACTTTTACTTCCTCTAATGCATGGCCCCTTTTAGGATTTTAGCATTTTTTGTAATGGTCATCACAGAAGTGTTATGGCTACATTGAACAATAAATACATAAAAATGCAATAGAGAGTGTATGGCTGATTAGCAAGCGATACACTTGCATCGACTAGTCGCCTTTACATATATGAAAACAAGCGAATTGGAGTAAACAATATTTAATATATGTAATGACGAGGAGAATATCACGAGTAGCAGTGATCTGATTGCTAAGACCTATGTTAGGAGCAGACTCCATTAGGATACTATATCCTTAACTGGGAACGTGGTTATGGTTATAGTACTCTAATTATCGAAGCTAGCTCGTATCTTTCGGTCTTATTGTATTTAATGATCCGAGTGAGAAGTCTTCCTCCAGTTCACTGAACACTTGTTACATCTTGCATTGACTATCATAAGTCACAGTATTTTTATATCATCTTTTCAAATTTGTGACAAAGAAACGTTTATGACTTTTTAGTTTTGTGCTAATTTCTTTATTCATCCTCTTTCTCCTCTTACTCTTAAGCTCAGGAATTAAATACAGTGTAATGGTATGAGATTTTTAAGATTAATTTTAAATAAAGATTGCAGATTTTAAAGGATTTAAGATAAGAAGGGGAAGAACAGAAGAATTTAATCGATCTGGGAAAGAAGGGAATTGGGGAAGAAAGAGGAAGTTTTAGGAGAGAAAAGGATTTCAGATATTTGTCTTCATAATCGATAATCCCCATTACAGTAAACAATATATAAACTGAACTAAGAAACCAAAATTAAGATTTAACCCTTCTCATTTTACCTAATAACAAACTGTCCCTAAAACTATGACATATAGTTCTCTAACAACCCAGCCCAATTTCAGACAGTTTAGGCCCAAGTATAATATATCCAAGTCCAAATAACCCGTTTGCCGAACCCGATAGGCTTGAAAGAAAACGAGTGGCTGTCTTCATGACGCGGATCATCTGAAAAACACCCCATTCATCCTCCAACCATGGCTCCAACACCAATTAACCTCCGTCGCCATGGCAACCACCACCATCCCCACAAGATTTGCACTTTCCACTAACTCCTCCACTCTTTGGCACCGATACAAAAAACCCACCTCAGGAAATTGCAATCTAAGAAACGTAATCATTCGCATTAAGGCTTCTTCATCAGCTACAATGTCTGCTACTGCTACTAAGGTCGTGCCTGCGGTGATTGTGGGAGGTGGACGTGTAGGACAAGCTTTGAAAGATATGGGAAACGGAGATGATGTTCTTGTTAAGAGAGGCGAACCTGTGCCACTCGATTTTCCCGGTCCCATATTGGTTTGTACCAGAAATGATGATCTTGAGGCTGTACTTGAGGCAACTCCTAAGTCTCGTTGGAGCGGTACGGGTTCCTTTCTTTCTCTCTTGTTAAAATATTTCAATTTACCACCATCATGCTAGTTCTGATTGAAGTTGGGTCTGTTTTATCTGCTGCTTCTCAATGGACAATTGTTGTCAGTGAAGAATGTTGGTCTAATGGTCTTCATTTCATTTTGCTCCAGTCATGTTAATGTGAGAAAAATAAGGTTTTGATTTTGCATTGTCTTTCATTGGCAAACTTATAATTTTTTTGGCGTTCATCCTTAAGATTTATAAGGCATTGCTCACTTTGTACACTGGCTCTTTTGTGTGAGTGTGTGTGTGTGTGTGTTCTTTTCCTGCTGGACCAAGTGAAATTCATTATAGGTGACGCGCTAGGTATGTGATTGATGTTGAAAATCTACCAGATTTGGTTTTTTTCCAGAACGGGATGTTGGAACCCTGGTTCGAGAGTAAAGGTCTTGGAGATGCTGATCAAGTTCTAGCGTATTTTGCCGTTTCAAAGCTTGGTGAACCTCCCACTGATGGGAAAACAGATACAAATCCAGAAGGGTTGACAGCAGCTTACGGGAAGTGGGCATCTGCAGTAGCTGGCAGATTGATTGCTGGAGGTCTTTCGTGCAAGGTATCTGGAATTAGCTATCTGTCAGAGTTAGATTGAAGACTGTTGATGCTCTTCAAATGACTTATAAGATTGGAATTTCTGTCATGGTGCTTGATAAATTTAGCATAATCTTAGATTTTTGATGTGAAGGCTCAGCCAATATGAAAATATCAGTATGTCGATCACATGAAATCCCTACTTGCTCATTTCTCTTCTCTCTATTTGTGTGACCTTGATACCTGTATTTGGTCTAAGATTTATTTCATGAAATGCTGTCTAGTTGATAAAGCTTTGAATATTGATTCATTCAAGTCTGCGGAGTTCAAATTGTTGTTGATGTACATCAAACTTGACATCTGCTTCATGGAATTGCTATCTTATAACTATTGCATATCTCGTGAACAATTTTCAGGTTCTTGAGAAGGATGCATTTCAGAAGCAAATGTTGGAGAAGCTTATATGGATATGTGCATTTATGCTTGTAGGGGCTCGTCATCCTGGGGCAACCGTGGGTGCGGTTGAAAAGGATTATCGATCTGAGGTAAATATACTGGACGCTGGCAACGGTTTTCCTAATATCTCCATATACTTTTGGGTTTACACAATGATTAAAGTTGTTTGTTGTGTTATCCCATATACTTATGAGGTAAAACAGATGGAGATAGAAATGAGAGTAAAAAAACTTTGCTTGGACTACATGATTTGACCTGAACTTCTCCTGCTGCAAATATTTTTGTATCGTTTCTACAAATGATAGTGTTTACCTGATAGACACTCAATAGTCACTTTACTCTCACAGGTCTCGAGCCTCATCTCTGAACTGGCTGCTGCTGCTGCTGCTGAAAAGGGTCTTGTTTTTGAACCAGCATTAGAGGATAGATTGTGTGCTTATTCTCGGGCAGTTGCTCACTTCCCGACAGCAGTAAAGGAGGTCAGAACTTGAATTATTTCTTTAAAGCTGTTTGGCGGTTAGCTGTTTTGTTCATCCTTAACGATGATCCTTGCTTGAAATTTCAGTTTAAATGGAGGAACGGTTGGTTTTACTCACTCACAGAAAAAGCAATCGCCGAAGGAAAACCAGATCCTTGCCCATTACATACAGCTTGGCTGAAAGAACTGAAAGTAGTGTAGGATGAGAGTTTATGTAATCAGTCTCGTTGCACAAGAATGCTGAACTCGGAGATGCGTAGTGTACAATTGCTAAAGTTAGGTTGATGTTGGGATGCTGCGCTCTTTATTTTGGTCTCCGTGACTTGGTGATGTAGAGGAATTTGAAAATTTAGTGTAATAAACGGATCTCTTGTGATTTCACAAACAGAAAGATGGTTGGTTCTTACTTGAGTTTATTTTTATGCTTTTAAACAGAGCTTGGAGATGTAGCGTAGACTAATAATATGCAGGCAAACAGGTATCCGTTTGCATTCATTGCAACTTTCTATGACTTTCAGGAAATGGATGGTATATTTAAGCTAAGGTAAAACCTTATGAAATTCAGAGAGATGCTGCTACTAAAATCTTTGTACAAGTGGAACAAACCAGCACCGAACTAAAGCTAAGCTTTAGAGACAAAAAACCTATGAGGTGCTACCAAAATATACGAAAAGATTAATGTCGTAGTACAAAATAATCTCACCCCCTATCCTCCTACTTGTACAATTACAACTATCAAAAATTCCAATCATCCCTACCCAGATTCAGTAAAAAGGCGGACAGAGATGTGGTCAACCATTTAGCCCTATCCAAAGTAAGAAACATGATGATGAACATAAAAAATTCATGACTCCTAAACATCAACTCAGTTCTGTGGCAGGTGTTAACAGCAGTACAATCCTTTCCCTAGTTCGCATGGCATTTAAGTGGTAAAATCAGCCTGAAATGAGACGTAAGATGTGTACAAAACCCTAAAACAGATGATACCACGATTCTCTCACCGCCAGGTCATCTTAGTTAGAAGCTGTGGTAGTTTACTCTACTCATTAATCATATCGAACTCTTAAACCAAAGAAACAATTCTAAATCCTTACTCTTGATCAGGCTTGTACGTTCCTCTCCGTGTTATATTCACGATCAAGAAGAAAAGAATAATGCTCCACTACAGAAGGATATCATCATAGAGCTCCCTTGAATTTCTTAAAAGTCATAGTCTGTATCATTGCTGTTACGTGCCGTTGCTGGTCTGACTAGACGCCCCTTGTCATCATATATATCAAGATTGTCACAGGGAGAAGGGAAAATTTTTCCAATCACACGGCCTTGAACATAAGAACACTGGAAGATGTGCTTCTTCTTGTAAGAGATGCCAACTAACATGTCCTTGAAAGTGATATTCCGTACAGGAATCTCTTGGCTGCCATATATGCGAACCGGAATACGAATTCCCTGCCCGCGTATAGAAGTGAAACTGATGTCTTTGATAACCGGAAGTGCAGAAGGATCATAACCTTCATCCGGATGCTCATTGTAATCTGTTTTTATTACAATACCCACTCGGACACTATCAAATGTCAGGTTCTGGTAAGTTATATCCCGAACATATCCTCCCCTACCAGCACTTGTCTTGATCCTGATACCCCTTTTAGAGTTCCATACAAGGAGATTCTGCACTGTTATGTTTGAGACTCCTCCAGACATTTCACTACCAATTGACACTCCTGCACTGCAATAAATGAACATAGAATGGTGGTAAGGAGAGATGCTAAAAAAGTGCTCAAGTATCCACATTTACCAATATATATAATCAGAAAGAATTATCAACAAAATGCCATTAGTTAGCCCATATCAGCTACACTGAATATGATATGCGCCCACATGTCAAATTTGGAATCCATTCAGGTAAGTGGTCATGCCAAAAGTTTAAATCTTATCCCAAGACCTTAGGCAGTTAACAAATCTGCATCATGATGCTGTGTCACATGGATCGTGCTCAACAAGAACAACAGAAATTCTAGAGCTGCACTGACTAGTTTGTCTCGCGAATAAAGAAATTGGAGATATGTACACTAATTCTAGAATAACAATCATGTACAGCAATGTGCAATAACTGATAAAGTTAGTAACTTCATAATGGAGTACACAATTAAATAGAAACAACAACATAGACGTAAAGTAGGGACTGAAATGGCAGATAGATGTAGCATAAATTCTTGAGATGGAGCACAGAGGACAAGTTACAAAAAATATTCATGTGTGTGGCAACACTACATAAATCCATAAAGTCATATCAGATGGAAATGCAAAACTTAAGAGAAGTGCAATTTAATCACGCAATGTAAAGCCTTAAGATGACATTCACCTAATCTTGGAACGCACAATCAGATTTCGTATGAGAATGTTGGTCGAAGGGCGCCCATAAGCAATTCCATATTGATCCCAGCCACTCTTTATTGCAACTGCATCATCTCCAACACTTATATAACTGTCCTCAATGACCATATTTTCGCATGAATCTGCATAAGTCAGAGTTGCAAATTAACTTTTTAAAAAGAGAATGGCCTGATCAACAGAATATGGCCCAACTTTCAAACCTTAATATAGAGATCAAACTATCTAATAGTTCTAGCCTGTAGGAAAGACGTATTTTGGCTCTAAAATTCTATCAGAATACACATAACCCCATGGATTGCGATCTCAAATGAGCATTCAACCAAAGAAGTACAGACCTCTTCTTGTGGTATTAACTTTCCAACAAATTTAACGCAAACCATTGTGCAGACTAAAACTTCCTGAAACATCCGTTGGGAAGAAAAATTTCTTTCTTTCCATTTAAAGACTACATTTAGATCGCAAATACAAACTTCCCGTTCAAGCTTTGAAGAAATGGCCTGAGGACTTGTATGAAGTTCGAAAACATTTCCAAAAATTATAAGAAAAATAAGATTATGAACTTCTACAGAGGCAGTAGCCAAACCACAAATGATGTAACAAAGAAGCATGTGTAAAAGCTAAGATGCCAGCACTCATACTAACTCAGATTATCAAACTAGAGGCACATGTGATCTCATGATCATGAATCCAAACAAAAAGCATTACAATGAGAACAGAAAAACACTGAAGTGAAAGGCAAAGTTACCAGGATCAATGCCATCAGTATTAGGGGCATCAGAAGATGGAGCCAAAATAGTCACATTCCTGATGATCACATTTTGACAATCATAAGGATGGAGCGTCCAGAATGGAGAATCCCTCAAGGTAACATGAGAAATCTCAATATCTCTGGACCACATAATCTGCACAAGGGGACCCCTAGTGTAGTTCAACATCTTCTTCTTATATTTCTCCCACCATCTCTTCCCTTGTCCATTTATAGTACCATTATGCCCTGTTCTTCATCAATGCAAAATCCCAATCAAAATTCAAAATCACATGCATTTTATTTAAGACTTCACTAAGATCTCAACTGATTTAACTTCACAAATAAAAATCATTTCGAATATGAGTCTAATCCATCCAAGCTACCTGTAATGACAACATCCTTCAAGTTTTGGCCATGGATCAAGCTTCCATACCGCGGACCCGGACGTTCTCTCCCGTATCCATATGATGGCAGAGGAGGCATTAACGGCCAGTAATTCTCATCCTGATTCAAAAACTTTTCACAGTCAAAATCACAAACACTAACAGAGTATATTTGAACAAAGCTCAGCCGAGGAAGACAGGGGCACATACGTCAATTCCAAGAACGACAGCATCCTGAGCAAGGAATAATGTCATGTGGCTGGTGAGATTGAAAGGGGCAGTGAGCCAATAGCCGGGTCCCACATTGAGCTGACCACCGCCACGCTTGCGAATTTCCGAGATTGCCCTCTCGAACGCCGCGGTGTTCAAGGTGACGCCGTCGCCGACAGCACCGAAATCAGTAAGGTTGAAGACGAGATCACGGAGCTTGGGAATAGGCCGGGGCGGAGCGGCGGGCCAGCTGTGTCGGAAGTGTAGGAGGCGGTCGACGGCGGATTTCTGCCAAAAGGCGACGAGGATGAAAGCGGCGGTCCAAATGAGAGTGAGGAGAGTTCGGTGGGAAGTGAGGAGAGTGGTGAAGAAGTGCGGGTTATCATGTCTCCGGTTAAGGCGGCTTAACCGGAGAGGATCCGCCATGGTTGAATCAATCGGGAGGATATATAAATATATATTTACTGAAACATTTGAAGTGGGAATTGGCGGAAGAACTACGACGGGATTGGGCGTAGTAAGGAGGAGGAAGCGAGATCAGTGGAACAGAACAGCAGATGAAGAAATGCAAATATTATTATTGTAAGGACTAGTAGATGAATATTTTGTCGTTTAGAGAAATTTCAATTTTTTGTTTCGTTTTTTTAGTGTGTGTTTTTAGGTTTTTGTTTTATTGGGAATGTAAAAAGGCATATTGAAAATGTAAAAAATTTTAATATGTGTTTTTAGATATTTTTTGTATTAGGAATGTAAAAAAATATATTAAAAATATAAAAAGTATGTTGCGATGAGACAGTTATTATTATTTAATTATAAAAAAATCAACTAAAAAAGAAAACAAACAAAACTAAACAATCAAATGAAAACCAAAAAAGTTTTAGCATATGGGCAATGTTTCTTACCAAATACGGCTTTCGTCCCGCAATTATTGTCTAACTTGATATTTCATTTTTAGTTCAACACGTGGAAAGTGAAAAGTTTAACTAGACACTAATTTAAATTGCAGTCTCCCATGTGATTTTGATAAAAGGCATCTAATTAACTCTTCTGCAAAAATAAGATGAATCAGGAATGGTAACAACTAGTCAACTGGAGTATTCAAGAACTTGTAACTGAAGCAAAATGTTATAACTTTGTGCCAAAATCATCTACCAGAAGCCATATGTATAATCTCATTTGGGTTCTGGATAACTAATCCAAGACTCAAACAAATCACTCCTTTTTAAGTCTTGCCTTGCATCCAAAAACTGAACCTGGAAGATCCCCTTTGAGGCTTTGACTGCAAGCTGATTACACCACATTTAGATCCATAGAGAACCTCATTGATCTCCTTCAACCTGGAACATCTTCTTCAAATTCAGACTCCATCGAAACAGATTCTTATATTGCTCCGTGCTCTCCAGAAATGCCTCCTTTCTTCCTAGTTCCTATCAAGTATGATTTCGGATTCTCCTATTCCTGGTAGCCCAACTCTTCATTCCCCTTCATTCCATCACAAGAAGGCCGTGGTATCACGAGGCTATGAGTAAATAAACATCCGCGGCGAATAGATTCAAGATTAGATAGTATAAATTCGCGACTAGGCAGCAAAAATTCACCAACACTGTCAGTGGTGGATAATGCAGGACTGCAACACGGTGCAGCGTCGCAGCATACAAGTTTATAGGCATCTACAAAACATAGCTTATTACCAGTTCCACTTGGGTATCCAATGAACCTTGGATACCATCCCCAATGTGGAACATGCAACCTATATTTCGTCCAGGGATTTCTCTCCCCATACTCTTTCATTATCCACAAATAAGAAATATCATGTGAGTATCTGGTTAGAAAGGTAAGACAGCCATTGGAAACCCCCAACTCCAATCTCGCAAATGCAAGAGCATCATCAGCTGGTGGCGAAATGGAATAAGATTTCTCGGTTGTAAGGTTGAGAGCCACTATTAAGTACTTATAGCGCCAAACATTCTGGCGTTTATCTACCATGACCCAGTGTAGGGTATTGTTAATCAATACTCCAGGGCCAATTTCATGTGGCTCGAGCTCCATGAAATCTGGAAACGTATCAGGTGGAAGTCTCTTCCAAGAATTTGATTTCAGGCTATACATTGTGGTTTCCCGACCAACTTGGGTTTGATTGAAAGCATATTTCTTTTGGCCAGGATGATCAATTTCCTCAATACGGAATAGTTCAACCAATCTTAGCACCTTGTAATCACTGGAAGTTTCATCGTACAGAAAACCGTATTCAATTCTATCCTGCCAATAACACATTTTACTGAACTCCTTCCTGCGAACTTCCCTCTGAGTAGGAGTCAGAATGAGAATGCTAGGTGAATGAGGCAATCTCCAGTACTTGTTAGTGGTTGGATTCCACAACACAACCTGAGGTTCAAGTTCGTCCTGGTAAGTCACACAAATCAACCCATTGCAAGAACCTTTATACGCAAGGGCGTTGTCAGGATTCTCAGGAAGTGTAAAAGGGTAACGGATCTTCACCATGGTCGATTTTATTTCTTCTAGTGAATCGAATTCTGCCGCATAAGGATGGCAGCCTTGCTTTCCATCAATTCTAACCTCAAATACTAACTGAACTGACGACGACAATGATGATTGACTGTGTTCTAAGTTTGCTTTTACAAAAATTTTCTTCCTCAATCAGAGATCGCCATGATCTTGATACGGCCCTTAATGCCCATAGTATTTTCGCAGGAACCCTAACCAACACCTCAGCTAACAGATCTTGTGGAAGGTTGCTCAACATTGTTTCTTTCTACAAATTGGGAGACAATAAACTCAGGTAGATTTCTTGGACAAGAATTTTAAAAACAAAATAAAGAGATTGATTTACGATGAATATACATATGGATGTGGAGTGTGTAGGAGGAAATCTGGGGAGAGAGAATGTTTGAAGTTAGTGCTATGCAGTGTGTGCAAAAGATGGAGAGAACAAATTCTTATACAGAGGTGCACTTTGGAAGTTCTTAGTCGGAATAGGATTACTACTTTTCCTCCCCAAAATAACTTGGGACTTTTGCTATTTCCCGAACCCCAAGTTTTCTGGGTTAATATTTTATTGGGGATTTGGCTGTTGTTTGCGTTTACCCCCGTATCTAAATAAATAAATAAATAAATAAATGGTGACGAAACAGTGAAAAGATACGAAAAAAGTTTCAAAATGATATGTAAAGGCTCAATCTATATACATGTTGATGTAGGGAACCAAAATTTAAATTCGGTCAAATGTAGGGAACCATTTAAACATTTGTTATTTTGATCTTATATATATCATTCCGAAAATACCCCTAACTTGGTAGGGTTAACGGTCATCAAGATGGAAATGGTGACGGAATAGTGAAAAAAGACCAAAAAATTTTTAAATTGAAACGTAAAGACTCAATCCATATACATGTTGATGTAGGGAACCAAAATTTAAATTCGGATAAATGTATGGAACCATTTATACAGTTTAGTCATCAGGCAATGGTTTTCGAATTTTGCGTACTGATTCCATGTCCACATCTTCATGGATAATCTCAATTTTGACAACTAAAAAAAGCTTTCTCCATATATATGATAGGAGAAGTAGCCATAGACCGCGGTGTTAACACAGCTAAAAAAGAGTTTTCTCAACAATGGTATATGATTATACTAGAAGAGCTTTACTCCTTCGATCTCACAACAGCATAAAGCTAAAAATTAACGTAGAAGAGAAGCAAATCATATACTCCAAGGAACAAAAAAGTGAAGAAAAGTTGTTCATAATATAATCAAGTATTAACACAAAAAAAATGTTCCCGCCACAATACACTTTCTCCTTTCAACTGATTCATCACCATGAGCATAGTTTCCTAGTCTACATAGGTAGAAAGTAACACCCCTATTCAACAAAATATAGCTGAGAAAACATTCATCTCCTCAGTAAATAATTAACTTATTGTCTACATATATCATCTTGCTTCCTCAAACAATTTCAACTGCTTAGTGCTTTAGTTCCATATATATGCATTTCTCATAACCAGCTAGTTATGTCAAACCAACTTATATCCATCTTCCCATTCAAAGAATAATATTGACCCCTATAAAATCAACAACCAATTCTGCACACTAGAAGAATTTCAATTTCCCCTTGCCTACAGCATCTTTTGCTAGCTTGAGATGACAGGCTGCTTTTTCAGTACTTGACAATCCAGAGCATGTTTCACTATTGCCCAAGGTGACCGCAAAGTAAAGGTAAACGGTGCATAAAAAAGTTAGAAGAACCAGGGCAGTAAGGAGGAAGCGGTGCCGCTGAACAAGAGTGGAACAGCTCCCAAATTCATCAGCACGCGACAACTGTTTCTTTAATGCTGGTGAAGAGAATGCAGTTTGTGCTTGGGATCTCCTATGAGGTGAAGTTATGATGCTGTCAAGTGCCATATTCTAAGCCTATGGAGGTAAGCTACCACTCCAATATCTGATCCTGCTTCAATTAATTGTAAGTAACAGAAGGAGTTAATCAAATGATTGCAACATCATCAAACAGTTTCATCAACAACATTACAAACAACTCAAAGGTCAAGCCTAATTTACAAAACAAACCCAATGCTCTTTAATCAGATTGAGGCGCTAATCAAAATGAAACAGCACCAATGTTCCATTTGGATGCAATAGCAGATGAAAAGCTTAAGTGAGATCCTCTGTTAAACACACATAAATCCTAACAAGAGCCGGCATCAATGGAAAAATCATCTGAGTACTCTGTGAAGGTTTCAGATAAAATCTATTGATCACGGCAATGAGGGTTTACCAGAAACATCCTCATGGAATTATCCCCACATTCTCTGAGGAGGCTGTAAAGAAAGATCTCCCAGAAAAGAAGAACAAACTGAAGAAAAGCAGTTTTAGCTACCGCTAGAAAGAATAACAAAACCCACATGGAAGGATCCAATCATAAACCTACTGGATCCTTTTCTCTCTAATATAGCGAGGCTGGAACTCAAAGCGAGAACACTCAAACAAGGTTGCTTGATCATCAAATAAAACGCAGCAGTGTAGTAGGAGAAGAAATTCATAGAAGTTAGACATACTCCATTATATTATGAAGATCCCAACCAAACATCCTACCGACTTACACCAGTAACCAAGAACTCCAGACAATATCCTATAGTGAAAACTTGCAAATGGGCTACTAGATGTATTACCACAACAGAATAAATATATGCCCAGAATAACAAAACACGATTCAACCGATAAATTTTCTGTTCTTTTCTTTTCTAAATTTCCTTTTTTCGCAAATAAAAGATCTGTATTTGAATCAGAGAAAAGAACGTGGAAGATCTTTTTCAACTGCTTGCTAATCAGACAACATTCATCCAAATTTGACTCCTTACAAACATCACCTTAGACAAACTACACCTATATAATTGAAGCTTACAAATCATAAAAACAAATCTTAGTCAAACACAAGAGGCAAATTTCCGGAGAGCGAATTAGCATCAGAGGCATAAAACCAAAAAAGGAAAACAGATTTTAGACATTGCTCTACGGCGTCCAATATTTCAAATCCTAAAGCGCATGGCTTCAAGAAACTCATAATATGCAGATCTATCGCGGATATCAATCAGAATAGAACAAAAAAAAACCAAAGAAATCCAGAAAAAAGAAAAAAAACAAAAAAAACAAAAACAAAAAAGCAAAGAACAAATCGCAAGCAAGTGATTCCCAAAATCGACAAACAGAATGAGATCACACCCAAAGAAAACGCTGTAAAAATTGGGAAGAAAAAGAGAGGAATTGACTTACTACGGAAGGGAATGGAAAAAAAAAAAACCGACCGTTGAAGCGATCGGAGCTCCAAGTCTCTCTCACCCTTCTGAAGAAATCTCTCTCAAAAGGCCTTAAAAATCTTGTTTAATAGTTTCTCGCCTGCATCGATAGCAATAATAAAAAAATTTAAATAATAACAAATCAAAATGATGAATAAAAAATGATTTCAGAATTAACGGAGTAGATTATTTCAGAAAATGGAAAAATAATGAAGAAGAAGATAATAAATTAGGTAGCTTACGGCTGAATCCGTGTCGTTGGCGCTGGTTTCGGGGATGAGATGGAAAGCACCAAAGCCAATCTACCCGTCCACTCACAAACGCGGCCTTTCCAATTGTACTACCGTCTAGCTCTTTACTTTACTAATAACTACCAGTATTTAGATTTATGTCGGGAAAGGCAGACAGAAGAGATTCGACGGAAACACGCAGTCACACAGTGGGAAGAACCAGAACGAAATTAAAAAAAAATAAAATCAAAAGGTCTATAAAAAGGTAATGCCGGGCTGATTGGCTAACATCCCCAGATCGGGGTTTTTTTTTTTTTTTTTTTGGCGTGTGAGATTGACTGTTTGGCGGGTACTATTTCTATTATTTTGCCTTTTTCTTCTCCCTTTTCTTTTTCCTCTTATATCAAGCGTTTGGGGATGTGATTGATTAATTTACAAGTAATGGGTTAGGGAAGGTTATAAATCTGGCTTTTGGGTTGGTTGTAGGGTCATTCATTTAAGGGTAGCCCTTCTGGAGGAATATGGAAATGGCTGGTATTAACATAAAAAAAAAAAAAGGAAAAAGGATAGAAGTCCCAAATCTATATGGTTTTCAGGTTTTGACTATAGTTGACCGAGGTGTTTACTGTACAATGTTGACCGTGGTAAAGAAACAATCAGAGAGCAAAAGTCGCGGATTTGCATTTATTACCTTACCCTAATCACGACTCATGATATTATTTCTTTAATGATTTCTTTTGTGCAAATATCTTGCCCCACTTTTCTTTTTTCTTGTCTACTGGAGTATTATCTTTACTTTTCTTTTTATGGTGGTAGATGGTAATGGACAGATTGATGCTATAAGCCTATAACCTTTTTCTGAGAAATTTTCTGATCTTATCGTTCTTTTTGGTCAATAATTCATATTCTGAACTTTTAAGCCAAAGGGTTTTTTTTTTTCCCAACTTCAGAAATTTCAAAAAATAAAGTATATACAGTAATTCTGATTCTAATTAATTAATTAGGATGAGTTAACTGGAGTTTAGTGTTTGATTGGGTGGGTTTAATGCGTGAGACACTTGAGAGTGGTAGTGTAACAATATTATGGTATAGAAAACCCGAGTCCTTTTATATTCGTTTTCTCGAGCTCCAATCCTTCTTAAGGCGCACAGATCAAACAGTAACCAAATAATTTTACAACAATTCGATAGCCTAAATCAAGCGCTAAAGCCGCGGGCGCGGGATTTTCCTTTGAAGAAATTTGGTGAAACAAATCGATTTCATGCGATTTTTTTCCAAATATAATTTTAATTATGCTGCATAATTGTATTATAATTAGTAAAACCACCAATACAAGAAGAATGTAAGTAATATAAAGGCGCGGTTCACCGGGTCAACGCCAGTTTGTGTACTGTTCCCGGTCGATCAAGGACACTTGGCAATGCTGAACACGGTGACCCCTTCACACCTGGCCTTCACCGCGCTCCGGTGCTTCTCTTCTCTTCTTTCACGGTGAAGAAATTCGGCCACGCTTTGCTTCTCTGATTATACTTTGCTCTCATCTTCTCTTTTGAAACAAAACTATCTTGCTCCTCTTCTTTTTTTTCTTCTGTGTTTGCTTCTCGCACAAATTGCTTCTCTCAAAATCGGAAAAACCTTTCCCGTTGATGCTTATGTACCAAACATCTGTGGTAGAAGCTTCGAATTAATTCGGAGCCGGCCAGTAGAAAATTGAATCTACCGGAGGTAGGATGACATTTATGTTTTTGCCGTTTGATTTTTTTTGTTTTCCTTTAGTTTTCTTGTGTCTTTAATCTTTGCTGCTTTTTGTAGAGATTATGTTCTTTCTATTTATGTTAGAGTTAGATTTCGATTTGTTTTAGATTTTTTAGTTTTTCATGTTTTCAAATTCGGTTCCAATTTGCTTTAAATTGGATGTATATAGAACAATATCATGTTGTTGTTTGTGGCTATTAAGGAAAATCATATGTATCTCCAGTTCAAATGTTTAATGTGCAGCCAAGGTGTTTGTTTTTTTGTTTCCATGATGTCCTTAAATGATCTTTACTTCTAAGCTTCATTTTGTTGTTAAGGAAAATCATGTTAATGCGCATCCAAAGTTTTTGAACTGAAATGATTTATACTTCTAAGCTACATATTGCAAAACAATAGAGAGCGTATATTCATGAAAATTACATTGACTTAGAAAAACATGACTTTTTTTTTTGGGTGACGTCGAGAACCAACCAGGAAAATGTGACTTCATCATTAAAGTCATTTGAAAATCAAAATGTTTGCTTTAGATGTATTCAAGGTATTTGATAAAATTTGAAGAAGATAAGGGAAGCCGAAAATTTATCTTAACAATTGCAACAATTCAACTTAAATTTCAATGAGTTTTGGTACATGTAATGATTAACTGAATTTCCTTCATATTGTTGGCCTGTTGAACTTATTGACTTGGCCAGGTTTTCGGATTCTTAGGAGAAGTGCCATGCATGTCTTACCTTCATCATTAAGAAACAAATCATGCTGAATAGAAGTTCCTTCATCAAGAAAACAAGCACAAACCATGCATTATCTCTTGAGCATCTCTATAAACTTGCTCCATTGGCATAATGTTCACAACTGACAGGCTCTAGCAACAACTAAATCAGCTAAGATTTTTGCTACTTTTCTTTACCCAAATATATTAACGATTTATACGCATGAATCCCATTAAGAATTTAAGTCATAACTTTTGAATTTTTCAGGCTTAATATGCACTGTCATACATTTTCATCCAACTCGGTTTATTTCGAGCCTTGCAAGGAACGTACAAGAATTTCTCATTGTGAATCGAGAGTAAGAAACAATATTTACAAACAATACTGCCTTACTATATTCTATTTAAAAATATTGCACTAATCAACCATTACTACTGTTGCCTCTATAGATGTATCCCCATGACACTAAGTTCGTGGGATGAATTTGTGGAGACAGAAGGGCATTATTTAGTGGATAACATTCATAGAAGACCTGTCATTGTAGCTATGCGACTATCAATTAGTACTTTCCATGGTAAGATCAAACGAACTGATTTCCATTTTATCTAATTTATCTCATATAATCATTGCCTACTGTAACAATCCAGGGTTAATGTCACAGGTTTATCCCTCACCACTTCTGGAAGTAGTGTTATCCTATTCGATCCACCAATACCGGAAACTATGCAGCTACAATCATGGTAAGAATTTTATTAGTTCGGATCAAAATAACAGTTAACTAAAAAACCTTCATACTTCAGACGGGACTCAAACAGAGATACCATCGAAGACATCATTGCTGACTACATCAATGAAAAACCACGTCGGATTTTAGAGTCACCAACTGATTCTCAGATTCGAACAATTAGCCAGGTGAAAAACTTGACTCAACAGGTAATATCATGTTCTACCTTTTTACATAATTTTTTCCCCAAAATAAAAAGAAACAAACTGACAATTTTCAGATACGTATCTACAGTCATCAGTGGAGTTAAAATCGTTTTGGCTAAAAGTTAGAGCAAAAATTGCCAAATTAGATCAGTATCTTTACGCCTTCAGCTGTCCTGGTTGTTCAAAATCTTGTGGGCTCTCCGAGCTAGGTGAATTCACTTGTTTCTACTGCAACACGGATTATCCAAACCTAAATTCAGTGTAAGTTAACAAAACTTTTTTGCAACTTTCAAACCTGCGACTATAGTGTCCCTCCTTATTTATTTTTTAACACATACAGAACATGATCATTACAAGTCTTATGCGCAGGCTCAGATTTGGACTCCAGCTGAAAGATAATACTGGCTGTCTTCACACTACAATTGAAGAAAATGAAGCTGAAACATTGTTAAAAATGTCAAAAGACGATATCATTCGACTCTAACAAACGGTATTCAGTACAAAGTAACGTTCTATTTTTCTCTTCATCTTGTATATATATTAACTTCCAACAATACAGGAAAACAGGATTAATATACCTGATATAAATAAAAAATTTGAAGACGTCCAACAATTCTTCTATCTGCGGACCCACAAAAGAGTAAGAGATTCTTCTTATTCACGATATAATATCATTGCTTCCCTACCAAGTACCAATACTCCATTTATCTTCTACCAGATCAAACTCTAAAAAAGAAAGTGCAGCATCAGACACAACCAGCAAAATGTCAATAGATACTCCATCCCCTGAAGATGAGACAACCACATCAAAGCAAGAAGAAGCAAGAACAACTCCCGCCAAAAGAATGCTTCAGTCAACTGAAAGTCCATCGTATACAAAACATGTCAAGCAAGATTAATTATCAACATGTTATCATTTGACACTCTGGTTAGTATGTTGTTATATATACTATCGTTACTATTTATGAGCCTTTGACTTTTTTGTCTATAGAAATTTAGGTTTCAGATATATATGCATTTTGTTTACTAATAGCATTTTCAGAGCTACTCCGACACATGAAACTCTGATTCTTTTGCCAGCCAATGAAGAGGCCCATAAATAGTTAGATTGGTGTGACATTTACAGTATTATGTATGTATATATTAGTGATTTTAGCGTGTTATCACTTGGCAAAACTACATGTACATTAATGTTTCTTTTTTAATTTCAAATAAACTTATATTATTTTTTTCCGTCACCTCCATAGCTCATTCCAATTACTTACAATTGAATATAGTTAAATATATCCAACGACCTTGTTTAAGCACAGTTTGAACACGAGTTGCAATTATAGTACTTACAAACAATTACTTAGAATAAAGTCACATATATGTCTATACATAAAACCATAACTTAATTCCATAACCTAAACATTATACACACAGTTTAAAATCTTTCATAACAATTAAAACTAATTACAAACAAAATTGCTTCCACAAAACCAAAAACCCAACTTTAATCAACATCTTCCATGGATGATGTTACACTGCTTCGTAGATCAAAAATTTCAAAATTTCTCGCACGGTTAGATACTTCAATAATCTCTACTATTCTTTAAGCCTTTCCAACGTTCCCCATGTCTCAGCACTTCTTGTAAAACATCACTCCATTGACGCCTTCAAAGAAATCGAACCAGTAAATCGTACGTTTCGCGTTCCATCGGCGTGTGCCACTCTTGAGCTCTACGCAATTCCCTTCATTCCTGATTAAAATAAAGAAGCTCAAACAACATATATGTATGCCTCTATTACCTGTTCCTTCAACTGGTGGGGTGAGTTCATAACCTCCATTTTTACAGGGAAGATCATTTCGATCCATTGATGACAATCCCCAAATGACAAAAAATAAAACTACGAATTGCACTGTATTAGATATATAATATCACCAAAAACAAATAGACATATACAACCCTATCAGTTAAATATGAGGTGGCAAAATTTTGCATTCTCTTCGTGCCACCTATCCAAATACGTGGACTTTTATAGTATCAGCTCAAACTTTTACAGACTGCTAGTAAATTTACTTACAATTACTCAAAACAAACGAAAAAATGAGGATCTAAACTTTCGGGCTCCAATTCCCATTCCGCTGCACATTGTGCAGCCCCTTCCCTAGTAGAGTTTTTTACTCAAATAATTTTCAATAGAAGGATCTGGACAAAAATATATGTCCCACAGTGGTGTGGACAAATCTAGTTGTCTCGGATTTGCCGAATCTGAATCTATTCATTTTGTACTAGATTCGGATTTGGCAAATCCGAATCTATCCAATAGAATTGATTCATCACATAATTGTAATACAAGGAGATTCAGATTTGCCAAATCCGAATCTAGTATAAAATGGATAGATTCGGATTTGACAAATCCGAGATAACTAGTTTTGTCCACCAAAAATAGAAAAAAATTATTTTTATCCACATCTTTTTTTTGGAAATTTTTTTGGCCGAAACACCTCCCTAGTATATATATAGAAGAAGAAGAAGAGTATCATTAAAAAAAAAAAAGTTTCTAATTTCTGCCCCAGTAGAAGCCCAGTAGAAGAAGACACAGTTGGATCAGTAAGGCCCAACCAAATCCTTAGCCCAAAGTTGTGAACTTTAATCCGAATTCCAAGTTGACCAGGTAAAGGCAAAACCAACCCGTATTGCGGTCGTCGTCATCTTCCTCATTCCTCAAGCTAAATTCTTCTTCTTCTTCTGGTCTAGAACCTAACTTTCCCAATTCCTTCCTCTGCCTTTCTTTGTGCATCTGATCGTTGACCCTAAATTAAGGTTATTCTAACAATTCAATCTTCATCCTTGATCAATTTTGATTCCGGTGATTGATGTCTGAATTTTTTTTACCGTAATTGCTGATTAATTTGGTTTTGGACTCCGTAGAACTGATTTTCTTGGGGTTTCGGGAGTAAAGATGTGGGCGGCTTCATGCCTTGCGTCATGCTGTGCCGGTTGCGCCTGCGAAGCCTGCCGGACGGTGGTGTCCGGAATCAGCCGGAAATCTGCTCGGATTGCTTATTGCGGTCTCTTTGCCCTCTCCCTGATCGTCTCTTGGATTCTTAGAGAGGTTGCCGCCCCTCTAATGGAGAAAATACCTTGTACGTTGTTTCTTACTGTTCTCCATAGTCTTGTTATTGTTTCTTTCATTGTTAAATTTTCTAAATTTTACACTTTTTTAGCTTATAATCTCATATTGTTATCTTTTATTGGTTTATATTTTTATCAAGTATGCTTAAGCTAGGTTCATAAAACTCTGGGAGTAAAGAATTCTTATATAAGAGGGAGTTATGTAGTGGGAAAAGCCGAAAAGGGGTGAAGATGTGAAATTCTTCAATAAGGATAAAGATGACTACTTCTTGTCAAATAATTTGGATAGAGTTACATTATTTTGTGCCCACTTCCCCTCTTAATGAAAAGTATGTTGCATTACGCGGATTTCACTCACTGATATTGTTTGTGAGATAAAATTCTTCTCTTATGGAAGAAATAACATTTGTTGATTACTATGGTTTGTAAGCGGTGTTGCTGAGTTTGTGTCTAAGGGTAATAGAAAAGGATATACTCCTTTTGTTAGACTGAGTAGTTGGCTGGAAATGCAACTATTAGCCTAGTTAACTTGCACCGTGTCACTGTCAACCATTTTGTGTAGCTTAGAAAGGCACAAAGTGAAGCTTATGCTGTGCATTCTTTATTACTCTATTGCTGGGATTCAGTCTTGGTAATGTTTATCTATTTGGCCATCTTTTCCAGGGATCAACCACTTTCACCAAACACCAAATAGAGAGTGGTTTGAAACTGATGCAGTGCTGCGAGTTAGCTTAGGGAACTTCTTATTTTTCACAATTCTTTCTGTCATGATGATCGGTGTTAAAAATCAGCGTGATCCTCGTGATAGTGTACATCATGGCGGTTGGATGATGAAAGTCATCTGTTGGTTTGTTCTTGTAATATTGATGTTTTTTGTTCCGAACGAGCTCATCAGTTTCTATGGTAAGCCTTACGGGTTTGTAAACAGTTGCTTATTTTCTCATTTTCCTTTTTGCATAATGACTGTCGCTTAGGTCTATTTTTTTCTTTGAAAAAATAGAAAAAGCTTTTTCTGGCTTTTTGCTGATTTGAGATTTTGTTATCAATTTCAGAGGCAACATCAAAGTTTGGTTCAGGGCTCTTCCTACTCGTTCAAGTTGTGCTTTTGTTGGATTTTGTTCATGGATGGAATGACAAATGGGTTGGTTATGATGAGCAATTCTGGTTAGTATTTCAGTTCTGCTACACTTCTGCAGCTCTTCTACTTCTCGTACTGCACCTTTGTGTTTTACTTTTCCCAACCTATTTTCATCTAGTAACTCCCCGTATCACTGTATATTGCAGGTACATGGCTTTGCTCGTGGTTTCTCTCGTATGTTACATAGCAACATTTGCCTTCTCTGGGCTTCTCTTCTATTTGTTCACTGCCTCTGGACACGACTGTGGGCTCAACACTTTCTTTATTGTGATAACTCTTGTAGCTGTCTTTGCATTTGCTGTCGTCACATTGCATCCTGCTGTAAGTTTCATAAATTATGTTCTCCTAAATCAAAGTTATTTGTTTACAGTAGATGTAACTGATTGTTTCAACATCTAATTTGACAGGTAAATGGGAGCATTCTACCTGCTTCTGTCATATCATTGTACTGCATGTACCTCTGCTACAGTGGACTTGCCAGTGAGCCAAGGGATTATGAATGCAATGGTCTTCACAAACACTCAAAAGCTGTTTCTACTGGAACACTCACCATTGGGCTTCTTACAACTGTTCTTTCTGTGGTGTACTCTGCTGTTCGGGCTGGATCATCTACAACCTTGCTCTCCCCACCAAGCTCGCCCCGTGCAGGTTAGGAATGATAATCTTTACTTTTCCACTTTGGACTTTGGAATATATAGATTTAGGCGGAACTGAAATGCTAGCAATTAGATTTCTTCAGTGATTGATTTTGTACAACAGAGTGATAATTGTTTTGATCTGGTATAACCCATATTTCAGCAGAATGTTGCTACATAGTTGTTTTTTGGTACCACAAGTTGCTAACCTGATTGATTTTCCTCATGAAGGTGCGGGGAAGCCACTGCTGCCATTGGACAAGGCGGATCATGAGGAAGAGCAGGACAAGGAAAAGCCAGTCTCATATTCGTACTCTTTCTTCCACTTGATCTTTTCCCTTGCCAGCATGTATTCCGCCATGCTACTTACTGGATGGTCAACTTCGGTGGGAGAGAGCGGGAAGTTGGTGGATGTTGGGTGGCCATCTGTTTGGGTGAGAATTGTCACAGGCTGGGCAACTGCTGCTTTGTTCATGTGGTCGTTGGTTGCACCTATTCTCTTCCCAGACCGCGAGTTCTAGGAACCATAATTGTTGAACTGTGATATCTTACTTTTCATGTGTAAAAATGTGTGTTGTGAGTCTTGTGATTGTGTCTGTGACTTGTGAAGAGTCCAACCTTTGTATTTGCACTTTGCAGTTGTCAGTTGTAACTGCAAAATGACACTCAAATAATGCATTAATGTGTGGAAATTTCGGTGCTGCTGCAATCTCCCAATAGGGAGTATTGTTTTGGATTTTCGTTGATTTCTTCTTCGCTCTTTGTTGAGCTTCCCTTCAACAATTGCTTACCTAATGGAATGGGAATCAAATTCATTTTGACCTATTTATTGAAAGGTTTAATATTTACCAGATAAACAAATCTTACCTGTGTTTGAATCTAATTTTAGTTTTATAAAGAAATCACTAAATTTTGGCGCTATCAATGTTTAGAAATTTAGGTTGCATAAAATGCTTTGAGAAAAGGCCAAAAACAAGCATCGATGATTTCAGTCCTTTGAATATCTGGGTTTGAGAAATCAAACTGGTCAAGAAATTAATAATGATAATCTCTTTTTTTTTTGTTGGGTTTCACTTTAAACCTGCTCAGTTAAATAAGTTTCTACGTCCAGTTATATATCCCATTGACTAGGGTGAAAGTGAATGTTCATGCGGTCATATCTTTAATACTACCAGATTACCAGTATACCATTTCTTCCATTGAGACTCGGACATACCTAAAACTCTGTCTTTACTGGTAAATTTGAATGGCCCTCAAACATAATTTGGCACAGTTTCTTTGTCCAGGTCATTTCTTGCCTTATATAATAGCCAGAAACACCATCACAAATTTGGTTCATATCTCTAATACAGAGAGTTGTCCTGTAAATTTTGATCTGTTTACCCGTCGGTCGTCTTTAACACCTACGTTGTTATATTATTACACGCCCCGAATAAAACTTCCCACTAATCCCGATTCAAGCCGAGTAGATTCCGTTCAATGGCATCAAAGCTGGTACTATTGTTTCTCGGGTTCTACTTGCTTAATCTCTCTGTATGGCGTGTGGAAGCACAATCAGTTGGGGTGTGCTACGGATTACTAGGCAACAATCTGCCTTCAGAACAAGAAGTTGTAAATCTTTACAACAAAAACAACATCAGAAAAATGAGGATTTACGCTCCAACACCACCAGTCCTCAATGCTCTGAGAGGAAGCAACATTGAACTTATTGTGGATGTATCCAACGAAGACATTGAACCATTAGCAACAGATCCTTCAGCAGCCGCCATTTGGGTTGAGACCAACGTACGAGATTACTCACCAGATGTCAATTTCAAGTACATTGCTGTCGGAAATGAAGTTCTCCCTGAATTCTCAAATTCCAAATTCATTTACCCTGCCATGGAAAACTTGCAAACTGCCATTTCATCCGCAGGGCTTTCAGACAGAATCAAAATCTCAACTGCAACTTTCTCAGCTTTATTAGGAGTTTCTTATCCGCCCTCAAAAGGATCTTTCCGGGACGACGCGAAAACATTCATGAAGCCCATAATTGATTTCCTAGTCCGCAACAATTCACCATTGCTGGTAAACATTTACCCGTATTTCGCTCACATTGGTGATCAAGTCAACGTTCCACTTGATTATGCGTTGTTCAAATCACCAGGAATTGTGGTTCAAGATGGAAAATCGGGTTATCAGAACCTGTTTGATGCAATGCTGGATGCCCATTACTCTGCTTTGGAGAAAGAAGGTGGCGGTAGTTTAAGGATTGTGGTGTCGGAAACCGGCTGGCCGTCGAACGGAAATCCACCGGCAGCTTCTTTGGAGAATGCGGGGACGTATATTAGCAATCTGATTCGTCACGTTAAATCTGGAGACGGGACTCCAAAGAGGCCTGGAATTGCGATGGAGACTTATCTGTTTGCCATATTTGATGAAAATCAAAAGCCTGGAGCAGAGACTGAGAAATATTTTGGTCTGTTCAGGCCGAGTGAAGAACCCAAGTATTCAATCAAGTTCAGCTAACTTAGAGCTAGATTCAATTGTATACTGTCCCACGGGGACATCCAAAAATTCAGTTGGATACTGTGAAGTGTGAAGTTCTCCAAGAGATGGGGCCAATTTTATTTTATTTTATTTTTATTTTTTTTCACTAACTGAAAAGTCTTCCCTGTGGATTAAATGAAGAAGACTAATTCCTCTGTATATCTTGACTCTCTTATGTTACAAGACTTTAATATTATACTAAATGCTTACCCCGGGCGAATCCCCGGAGTGTCGCCTGTATTTTTAAATTAATTAAATAAAAAATACGAATCATTCTTAAAAAAATAAAAAAATTAAAAGAATAAAAAATGAATTTAAAGGACAGAAAGTGAGTTATTACACATAAATCTATGCCCAGATTTATAACAGTAAACTTATGCCCAGATTTACATAAATCATAGACCAATAACCACAACAGAAGCATAAAAAAAAAACATCCTTAAAAAATCAAATTTCTTTAATGACAACTTATTTTTTTCTGTTGTAAAAAGAGATGGATTGATAATTGATGTCAGATTTTAAGTAATTGATTTAAAGGCCCGAGTTGAGAGAGGAGCGGAATGGAAGAAATTCTTTGAAATTGGGTATTAAGAAGAAATTATTGGTGTTTCACTTGATTTAAAGGAATTTCCTTACATTTGATTTAATGGAATTTACTTACATTTGATTTTATCAACTAAATATTGTTGTTTTAAGGGATTAGTATATACTTATAATTAAGATATTTTTATGTAACTATAATTAAAGGGTTCATGTATTTATCTATTCTATCTTTTCTTTTTTTTTTTGATTAGTTAGAGTGCCACGTGTCAAAAATGATTTTGTACTGAAAATGGTTTTTGGCGGGAAAATTTTCATTGTGGTACTGACACATTTTTTTTTTGTTTGTTGCTTTAATTAAGTGCTATAGATTATTATAGGTTATAAATAGAACGAGAGAAAGTATATATGACGTATTATTTGTTGTATCTAAGCTCCATATATACTCTGGAACTTGAAGATTGAATCTGGAAGTTCAATGCCGGGCCTCAAACTTATGACTTAGCAAAAGTCACATATACACATTTAGGGGTTCAACTTATATGTTTCATTGGCTTTCAAAAATCACATTTCCTCATACCCTTTACAAATTTTAAATTGACTGTTACCTTTGTTCAATGGAACTCATTAAGGAATTCAATAATTTCAGTTGTTGCGATGTCACGGACTCCAACTTTAAAGGGTCTCTAGAAAGTGGCATTCAATTCTGAAAATGATTGCTGTGAATTACTTGTGGATTGAAATCTCTGAAAGATGGTGAGCGTCTAAATACATTTGCCCAGTTTAGTACATATTCAAAGAAAATCAACTTAAAGAAAATAGGGTTGGGATGATTAATTAAACCCTTTGTTTGGAGTTAGAGTTGATGATAAGTAACTCTATTATGTCAAGCTAGATCAGGAAACAAATTGGTCCTGGAATTCATTTACAAGGGTTCTTATCACCAAATAGAGTTGTTTGTGGTATTTATTGGGCATCAACTACTTTAGAGTTTCAAATTACTTAAAAAACAAATCGGAAGAAGTCGTGTTATATATGAGACGCAATTGATACACATAAATGAAATTACATTGACTCTATCGTGATTAAATTTAAAATTACGGTATTTCTAATTACTTGGATGATGGTTGAATCTTGAAGTTCTGAATTCATATTTGTCGTACCTCTGCATTTTCTTCTCTTTTGATGTTCAATTTGAAACCTGAGACTTCAAATATGTTTTACAAGTAGTTAATCGTTGCATAATCAGTCTGAAACTGAGCATTGAGTTGGTCATCAGTCATTTGTGGTTCCAATTGCGTTGCATCAAAATTTGACGAAGTTTTGTACCCCCAGGTCCAGCCTAATTAATGATGAGTGTTTTCTAGCCTTTTTTTTTTTTTTTTTTCTTTTCCCCATTTGCGACGATCGCTCGTAAGAAACTTGTATAAATACCTAGTATCACCATGCTTGAAAATGCATCTCCATTCCGAACTTCACAAGTTTCATACTTTGATTCTTTTCTCCAAATTTTGGTTGCTGCTATGGCATCTTTGTTAACACTTTTTGGCCTATTTCTGTCTCTGTCTCTGCTAATTAGTTTCGAAGTATCGAATGTAGATGCACAGATTGGCGTCTGCTATGGATTAATTGGCAACAATTTGCCTTCAAAACAGGACACTGTGAATCTTTACAGGCAGAATGGCATTGGAAAAATGAGAATATATGGACCCGATTCAGAAGTCCTGAATGCCTTACAAGGAAGCAATATTGAACTCGTGATGGGCGTCGCGGATCAGGACATTCAGCGATTGGCATCAGATCCTTCAGAAGCTGCCAATTGGGTTAGGACCAACATCCAAGCTTATTCATCAGATGTTAATTTCAAGTACATTGCTGTCGGAAATGAAATCATCCCTTCTTCTGGAAACGCCCAATACGTTGGCCCTGCCATGGAAAACTTGCATAATGCAATCTCAGGCGCGGGTCTCGGAGATAAAATCAAGGTCACAACAGCAACATTCATGGGCCTAATTGGTGCTTCCTTTCCTCCCTCCCGTGGTTCTTTCCGGGATGATGCAAAGCAATTCATCAAGCCTGTTATTGATATTCTTGTTCGCAATAATGCGCCATTGTTGATTAACATATATCCTTATTTTAGCTACATTGGTGATCCAAACAACATTCAGCTTGATTATGCGCTCTTCAGATCGGGTGGTACCGTGGTTCAGGACGGTTCCAATGGGTACCAGAACCTTTTCGATGCAATGCTGGATGCTTGTTACTCTGCTCTGGAGAATGAAGGTGGTAGTAATGTACAGATTGTGGTGTCGGAATCGGGATGGCCATCGGATGGAAATCCTCCGGCTGCTTCTGTGGTGAACGCTGAAACGTATGTTCGGAATCTGATTAGTCATGTCAAATCAGGAGCAGGGACACCAAAGAGGCCTGGAAGAGCCATTGAAACTTATATCTTTGCCATGTTTGATGAAAATGGGAAACAGGGAGCTGAGACTGAAAAGCATTTTGGCCTCTTCAGCCCAACTCAACAATCAAAGTATTCAGTTAGTTTTTAACTGAGATTGGTAACATTGGCATGATGATCAGGCGGCCCCATTTGCGCGACCTCTGTAACATATATTTTGATTGAGATTAAAAGCGTGACGATCATGTCTTTTGTAGTAGTATATTACTTCTGCTTAATAATAGTCATAACTGAAATCATGTTATGCTTTTTTATCAACCACAAACCCACTTCTCTTACACACAGAAACATTATCTGCCCAATGAATTATTGGTCATTTTGATTTAATAATTTATATTTGAGCGCCCCCACCAAAAAAATGAAATTCTATTTGAGCAGTTTTACTTCTTAAATGTAGGGAGCTAATGAATAAAACAAAAAATAAAAATAAAAATTGATACAGTGAGTTCAAGCAGGAGCATTTATAAGAGAATGATCTATCTTCCTTAACAAATAGTGATATAGACAATAAAATATTTGAAACAAAAATTAGAAAAAGAATAAAAAGATAGAGAAAATACAACAGGAATGCCGTCAGCTAACATATTAGCTCTTTTTTTTCTTAGCTCTTCATAACTCAATCTCGGGGGCTAACCACATAAAAAGATGATACTATGATTTCATGTAGAATATTTTACAAGAGAGTGAATCCATGTTAGAGGATTCTTCAATGTAATGATCGTTTTTCATACATTAGTTCCTAAGTCATAAATGGATTCTCGGCCTTATCGAAAAAAATTAAAAAAAAATAAAATTATCCAAGGTAGTTTTCTTATCAAAGGACGAAGTGGTAGCATATCTTAAAATGGCAGTCCATACTCATTTAAGATGTAATTATTAGACAATTTTTTTTCTGACTAGAAATTTTTATAAAATTGAAGTATTTTTCTAGGAGGGAAAAAGCACAAAACATATACTTCCTTTGAACCACTCATTGCTCATTAACCCGTTGAATGTTTCCACCAAAAAAAAAAAAAAAAAAAAGAAAGAAAAACCCGTTGAATGTTTCCACCATATGCTGGACGCTTGTTACTCTGCCCTGGAGAGTGAAGGTGGTAGCAATGTTCAGATAGTGGTGTCGGAATCCGGCTGGCCATCGGATGGAAATCCTCCGACAGCTTCTGTGGAGAATGCGGGGACTTATGTTCGGAATCTGATTAGTCATGTCAAATAAGGAGCAGGGACACCAAAGAGGCCTGGAAGAGCCATTGAAACTTACATCTTTGCCATGTTTGATGAAAATGGGAAATAGGGAGCTGAGACTGAAAAACCATTTTGGCCTCTTCAGTCCATCTAAGCAACCTAAGTATTCAATTAATTTCAACTGAACCCGAGCCATTGGCATGATGGCCTTTTTTTTTTCTTCAAAATGATTGTACTGTAGTTGAAAATTTAAACCAGACAATCATTTCGGATGACAAGAATCATTAATAACTGAAATAACTGAAATAATGACATCATGCATATTATGCTTTGTATCAATAAGTAACCATCTTCTTTTACACACAGAAAGATTATGTCCAATAAATTATCTGTTCTCTTCAAATGATAAATTATTATTTGAGACGTTTTTAGTTTATCAATAAACAACCCAATAAATGAGCAGGAGACATGATATAATGTAATAATGCTAACGTTGACGCTCTTCTGTCTTAGCTATTACCTTACTTAGCTTATTACCTTATTAGTTTTACTTATTTATTTGATGTACAAAAAACTTTTTGAATTACAAGTAAAAAAGATTTACCTAATGAAAACACTTTTAACGTTGCCCAATACCCCGCTTTTTTCTAAATATTTCTACGAATATGTTTTTTTAATATCGTAGTACGTTTTTTTTGGAACTGCCATTTATTATTTTTAAAAAGATTCCTTATTGTTATAGCTGGATGTGAAAGACATCTATTGTTTAAAACATACTCTCTCCATTTCAAAATATAAGTCACTTTAGACGTAATATGATTAAGGAGACAATCATCCAACAATTAATTTATATGTTAAATATCTGTTTTACCCCTCATTAATTATATTAAAACTATAAACAAAATTAAATGAAGTAGTGATAGGTACAAGTAAAAAATGACAAAGAAAAATGACAAGGAATGATGTGTCAAGATCTTAACTATGCCATAACCTTAAATGCATAAACCTTGTTTGGAAAATTTTAACAATGAATGGGTGAGATAATTTCCTTGTAATTTTTCCTTGTCATTTTTTCCTTGTACCAATCATTATTCTAAATGAAAATAGATTAGCATTGTTTATTTAGGGTAAAGTTGAAAAAATAATCATTAATTTATATAAAATTTGTAAAACGATCTATATTTTTTAAAATGTCTCCAAATCTAAAACGATTTACAAATTGAAATGGTGAGAGTATTTTTTAGTCTAGTGACAATGCCAAGAAATTTAACATTGAACTATATTAATGCGTTGGAGTCATTCCCCCTTGATTAAAGTCTTCCAATGAATTAAATAATACTGTGTTGCTGAATTAAAATACTGGATGCCACCGCAACGGAGGACAAGTCTACTGTTTGGACTTCTTCTGTACACCTATTTTTATTGTTTGATTTTTCCATTAATGGCAGTTCCCAACTTATTCTATGACTTTACGAAGTGGAATATATGCAAGGGCATACAAATTGCAAAGTGCGGTTGAAAATGATGTTGGGAATGGCTCCATATTGACTACGTCTGCAGCAACAAAACTAAAATTAATAGGCTGAGATAATTTCTAACCCATAGTTGGGGTTAGACTTGATGATCGATGAAACTATTCAGGCAGACGAGAGTAGGAAAACAAAATAGGTCCCGATATTTAGAAGAGTGTACGCAGACTGAATGAGATCTTCTGTCTTACTTATTACACACACATATATATATATATATATATATATATATATATATATAATCATGTCTCTCTACTAAAATGACATTTGGGCTTTAAAACCTGAACGTATAGTATTTTTAAACACGTTGTACTAACAAAACGTGATTAGTACACAATAAATTAACATATCATTTACACTATGACTAAAATTCAAAATGGCGCGCCAAAAGTTTGCTACTCACTGATCAAACTTCTGCTTGGATTCCCGTAAATGTAGATAATACATACTTTTGCTGCATTTTATTCTCTTCAGGTGCAACAAGTAAATTGTTTTTTTTTTTTTTGAAGGGTAACAAGTAAATTGTGGGTTCTGTTTTTGGGACTCAGAACAGGCATTGAGAAGAGGATGGAGAAAGGTGGAAGTGGAGGTCTGTCAATAGCATAATCATTGTACAGATGAACTAGGATGATTCAAAACAGCCAAGTTCATATGAAAGCTTCTTGATCACGTGCCATTGACTTGGAAATAAGCATCGAGTCTACCATCATTCGTATGCGGTAGTGGTACCAATAGGATATTTACCCACTGAGGATTTTAGAGGGTCCAGGCTAAAGTAATCATTCTTTGTAACCCAACTTCTTGTTGATCATGAAACTCCCCGGAAAACTTGTATAAATAGAAGCAGCACCACAGCTTGAACATGCATCCATTCATTCCAAACATCAAAAGCTTTCCCTTTACCTCTTGCTTTCTTTTCTCTAAATTCTGCATTTTCCAATGGTGTCTGTGTTAGCACTAATTGGGCTGTTTCTGCTAATTAGTTTCAATGTATCAAATGTAAGCGCACAGATTGGCGTCTGCTATGGACTAAACGGCAATAATTTGCCTTCAAAACAGGACGTTATTGGTCTTTACAAGCAGTATGGCATTGGGAGAATGAGAATCTATGCTCCAGTTCCGGAAGTCCTGAATGCCTTGCGAGGAAGCAACATTGAACTTATGGTAGATGTTGCGAACGAGGACATTCAACGGCTTGCAACAGATTCTTCAGCAGCCGTGAATTGGGTTCAGACCAACATACGAGCTTATTCGTCAGATGTTAATTTCAAATACATTGCTGTTGGAAATGAAATCTCCACTGCTTCCTGGATGGCTCAATACGTCGGCCCAGCCATGGAAAACTTGCAAAGAGCAATCTGGGGAGCCGGTCTAGGCGACAGGATCAAGGTCTCTACTGCAACATTCATGGCTCTCATAGACGTTTCTTATCCTCCGTCTCAAGGTTCCTTCAGGGATGATGCGAAGCGATTCATCAGGCCCATAATTGATTTCCTTGTCCGCAACAATGCACCGTTGTTGGTTAACATATACCCTTACTTCAGCTACATTGGTAGTCAAAACGTGGGGCTTGATTATGCGCTGTTCAACAATGCTCCTGACAACGTCGTTTGGGATGGTTCGCTGAGATACCAGAACATTTTCGATGCAATGGTGGATGCTTGTTACTCTGCCCTTGAGAAAGAAGGCGGTGGCAATGTACGCATTGTGGTATCAGAAACCGGCTGGCCATCTTATGGAAATCCTCCTGCTGCTTCTTGGCGGAATGCGAGACAGTATGTTAGCAATCTAATTCGTCACGTCAACTCCGGGGCTGGAACTCCAAAGAGGCCTGGAAGAGCCATAGAAACCTATCTGTTTGCCATGTTTGATGAGAATGAGAAGCAGGGAGCAGCGACTGAAAGACATTTTGGTCTCTTTCGTGCAACTAAAGAGCCCAAGTATCCAATTAGTTTCAACTAATTGATATCACTGATTCCCTTGGTTCATCGTACTGCAGAAATCCCGTTATGCGTTTTAAAATATTGTCATGTTTGTCGTGTTGGAGTGCTTTGTTTAAACTTTCGACTAGATACCTCTTCTTTCATATCTCAGAAAGATGATGTTCACTAAATTATACTATGTCTAAAAGCATACGCATGTTTGTCGTACCAGTGGAAATGGTTCAAAACAATAAATTCGTGTGTATGTTTGATTGATAACCTTTGTAAGGTAATCAAGAAGTATGGTACCTTTGTGGTGGACTCTGGAAAGCATAAATGGCTAGAGATTATTTGGTATTTTGAACACATGATGCTGTTAAAGAAAGTTCATACGCATTATGCACTCAGCAGAAAATAAGCAGCACATTTGTCAAGCAGTATACACACATTCTAAACACTGATGGACAATATTTCTATACCATTTCCGAAAACCATCATGGGTGATGATAATGAAGGAACTAAGGAAAAAGGGTAAGAAAACCAGCCAACATCTCGTATGAAGTTAGCCATTACATCACAAATAAGGTTTCATTAACTAAGCCTACTGCGAAATCCAAAAGTCTTCATTATAACTATAGGTGCTAGAGAATGTCACAGTAATATGCTACTTTAACCTTCATAATCTCCCCCATGCTCCAACAGATAGTTGATAGCCAATTCTTCATTACGGTCACATGCTAGGAAAGCCTCAATAACAAGAGCTCTTTCAAAGCCCATGCCTTCAAGCTGCAATGAAAGAGCAGAAACGGAATCAGCAATCAATTAAACTGTAAAAAGGACAAATGATGTTGTTTTAAGTGGCAAAGTATGTCAACTAGAGGAGTACAAAGGCAACAAGGAGTTATTTCCTTTTGCCTCTAAGCAAAGAGTCATGGAAGGGAAGTGTTTGAATACCCGCTGAATGATCTCCTGTTCAGCTGGTGTAACACTAACAGCATGAGGCATATCCTGGTCAGCCTGATCAAATAAATCCCTAAACAAAGAAATACAAAGTTAAAATCAACACGCTTAAGTATGCTTCTGATGACAGAACAAAAACATATTATTACACTAACCGTACTGAATACTGTTTGAAAATAGATTAAGACCTCCAACCATAAACTTAACATACAAAATTTATTTTCAAGGATAAAAATCGATTAAACATCTACAATCTACAAGTAGCCACACTAGCTAAAGTACTCGACAATAATGATAGCAACCAACAAGTATACGTTATACTGCAACTTTTCAACCCTTAAAATAACAAAACCATGCATCACCGAAACTCAACGGAAAAAAGAAAAAATTTTCCAATTTCAGATGACAAAAACCTGGTTTACAACCCTCGAATTACTTAGCAGACTTGGCATATGCATTGTCAAAGTTGTATCCTCCTTACCCTTCAGAACCATCCATTGGCTCACTGATCAACTGAAGAAACTCTTGATTGTGACTCTCTATTAATCTCAAAAGGTGAGGATTCTGCTTTCCAAGCTCCTGAAGCATGGGCTGAAGCAGAAGAACCAGGTCAGAATTTTTCAAAAGGAGACAAGGAATTGATACCTCTCAAAAGAGGAAAAGAAGAGAAAAACAGAAGGAGAAGGAAGTAGAACCTGCAAAATTTGAGGATTAGCTTGAACCATTGAACGCAAAGCTTGGAACTGCATTTAGAACATTAAACCGATTAAAACTAGTATGGTTTCTAATGATTCTTGCTGATTTTTTTCTCAAGAAGCAAGTGCTTGGTGTCTGTGAAGACATGCAAATTTTAAGCCAATCCGAAATTCATGAATTGAAATTTGATGGAAACGATATACTACCTGTTCATTGTTACGAAGAAACTCAAGAGATCCAGCTCCAGCACCAGCACCAGCATCACCAGAAGGGTTCTCCTGGAATACAAAAACATTACATGATAAGAGAAGCGGAACTCTCGGGAAAAACATTCACATGAGTGAAAAGATCAACCTGAGGAAACAAATTTAGTGGAGATGAATTGGGTGCCCCAGGAGCTGGACCCGTTTGGGTTGCTGAGTTAGTGGTCTGCACCACTGGGACAGCAACTTCTGCTGTTTCTGGAATACCCTGGCAAAAATAAAAAATTTAGGAAGGTTCAGGGATTGCAATTATCAATAGAAGCTAGCTGAGAAAAAAGGTTCAGGGGATTGCAATTATCAATAATAAATAGTTGGATAAGTAACAGAACTTACTGAATACAAATAATCCACAGCTCGTTCTGGATTGTTATAAGCAGCTCTAAGGGCACGGACAACAGTTTCCCTGTCCCAAGCACCACCACCCATGTCCACTAAATGCTGAATAGTTTGCTCAACATTATTTCCAGAAACTACATTAGAAGCAGCTTCACCATATGCATTTGAAGAGGCACTACAAAAAGACAATGCAAAGTCTATAAGAACAAGATAAAAAATATTTCACAAAGAAACTTATCCATTTGTGCCTTTCCTACTCAATTGTAATTGGGTCATATAACAAGCGAACACAAGGAATGTTGGGATTGTAAAACCAGATGTTTGCAGTAATACCAAAATGACAAAATGAGATGGTTTTTCAAGCTACTTACGGAACTGGACTAGGGGCTTGAGGCGCAGGCGCAGGCGCAGGTGTAGGTGTAGGTGCAGATGCAGGTGCAGGCGCAGAACTTGGGGCAGCAGTAGATGTAGGCTGTCAGGAAAGAAATTAATCAGACAGAATCCACTGGAGCTTAAAAATCCAAATCACCCGCAGAGGGAAAACAAAACAGAGAGGCGCCATAGAGAACTACCTGAGCAGCTGATGGCCCACCAGAACTCGATGTTTTGGCCTGTCCAAGTACAAAGAGCGAACAACGGCAGAAGATAAGAAACATCAGAGGTCTGAAAAGTTCTCATAGGATTAAATGTTTATAATATTGCAGATGCATAAGGGCTGTTCATAGGACAATAACGATAAGATCACAGGCTCACAGCAACAATAAAGCACCAAATATTGCAAGACAGGAGTGTAAGACTTTACCTTACTAAGCATAACAACGAGAAAACCATCTTCAGACACCTTGTTATCCACCAGGGTAGTCTCGTCTTTCAAAACCTTCCCATTGTGAATCAAAAGCTGCTGACCACATGGATAATTGTCTTTTCCTTGTACATCTTCAATGTTTTTCTTCACCGCCATTATCTAAAGGAGAGCACATAAAGCGACATCAGAATCATCCCCCACAAACATCTGAATAACAACATAACGACAATTCACTCTCTTATTTCTAAACCAATCGTAAATTGTAACTTATAGCCACCAACGAAATACAACCACACCCCATAAGCCATACACCAAGAATGTAAATGTGTTCTAACCAACTAACCAAAAGCCCTAAAGAAAACCTTACCCAATAAATCCCAAATGTCATCACAATTATACACTTCTACGCTAAACCAAGCACCAAATTTCCAAAAATAAAACAAGTCCAACAAATAAGGAAAGAAAAAAATCAAGCACGAAATGGTGAATCATATCAATGCCATTAAAAAAAAGGGGTAAATAAGTAAAGAACTAACAGTATCGGACGGCTGAACCCTAATCTCGAAGTGGCGGCCTTTCAGAGTCTTCACAGTGAGCTTCATATCGGCAAATTTGATGAGAAGAAAAAAAAATTTAAGCACGAAATCAACTCAGATCCCTTCTTCCTCGATCGAATATAGATTCTGAAGAAAGAGTCGAAACTGTTTGAGAAAAATGAAACCCTAGAACGGAAATGCTGGTAGAGTGGGGAATGGGAATGGGCGAGAGAAAGCGCGAGAGCGCCACCGAAAATCAAATCGAAATTTTTATTGTTGCCCAAAAACAAACGTGGAAATTGCTTGCAAACGGGGCTTTGGATATTTTCGTAGTAAATTGCTACTTTAGTCCTTTAACTCTTTATCATTAAACTATTAGGATAATGTTATTTTTTAACACCATCCATATTCTTTTGGGGCCAAAGAGTTCCTTCCATAGAGTTTTGCTGACTTTTCACTATTGTCCGCCTTATTGAGGCCTTTGCTTCTGTTCAACACACAATGACCGTAGCTAATTTAGCTCTGTCAATCCGCTATCGATGGTCCTAATGATGGTTATTCATGTACTATTTTGTATCTATTTCAACAATTGGCTCTCAAAAAAAATAATAAATAAATAAACATCGCATAAAGCGAGAATTTACTTAAGTTACGAGCAGTTATATTAACCGCATCTTTTAGCGTAACATATTATTTCTTAATTTGAAACTAAATAGATTTGGGAAGTGTCCTACTTCAACTCTTGATTAAGTCTATGTTGCTATTCATATAGCCTCACTTCAAAATCTTCCTTATAATAAATTAAGGCTTCAACGCTTTCTTTCTAAAGCTATCTTGCCTCTTTCCAAGAATGAATGACACTAATAAGAAGTTAAAGCCCTATAGATTGAAGGCCATTATGACCTTCAAAAGAAAAAAAAAAAAAAAAACCAAAATCGTTACATATATTGTTTTAGTTAATTAAGAACATCGACTTATTCGTAATACTCCTACAACACACCCAAAATTATTAGAAGAATGATTAATTCAAAAGCTCTAAACTGCTTTTTTCATGAGTAGCGTAAAATTGAACACTTTCAAAAATTCTCAAATTCGATTTATGTTAAGAGAGTTCCAACAATTCATATTGATTTTTCTCTTATTAGTCGTTTCTCCCCTACCAGAATCAAACTAAGATATAACAAAACTCATTGCATAGGTTGCTACAGGCATCTCATAATTTATACCAAAGATTAATTGTGGACTTTTAAAAAACACATGAATTTCCGATGGAAGATTAAAAATGAGGTTGTGTTATTAAATTTTACAAACAAGTTTGTGTGTATATATGCACGCATGTCCTCGAGACATGAAGAGAAATGTCACGTTTGAACTTTCTTGTGAATAATTTTGTGTTTAATTACTTTTCTATAAAAGTACAACTCTCCCCGTTTCCCGCCTTAAAAAATAAATTAAATCAATATATGTAATCTTGTTTGTACTCATGTGAGTTTTGATTGAATATAAAGAAATATGCTTAAAAAAACAAAATTAAATTGATAAATAAAAAGGTTTTGTTTGTTTCATTTTTTTTCTTATTTTATTTTATTTTATCGTAGTTTCTGGCTCAAAGTTAATTAATGTTATAACTTTGATTATTTAGCTTCATACTTAGGTCACCTATTATTCTGTTTACAAAGGTGATTTACTCTTTCATTTAATCCTAAATTCATCAAAGTTTATTTTTAAAAAAACAACAACAAAAAGGAAAGAAAAATACTATATTAACCTAACTATAAATTCTTCAAAGTTATTTTTATGCCTCTGTTCTCATCATTTTTGTGCAATTCTGAAATCGTTCAAGAACCATTTTATTCAACAGAAAAATGATTGGACCAACTTGAGATCTACTAAAACGACAATTATATGTCAACAACACTAACAATCTTGAAATACTGTGTCTCATCTAGCTGCATTTTTTAATCTTCACCAGATAAGTGGACTGTGGGTTATGTTACTTATAAGCAACAGCCTATTTCCCATATTGTAGTTTCTGCATGTTTGAAATTAAATGGTATTCCCTTGGCACCAAAAAATAAATAAATAAATAAAATTACAAATTATGAATTGTATTATTCCTAATATAGTTTGCAGAATGTAATGCAAATTATTACTTCCTCCATTCTAAAATAAGTGTCGTTTTAGCAAAATAGAGAAATTCTAAAATAAGTGTCGTTCTCACATTTCAATGCACTTTTTGTCAAAAGTTTCCACAATTATCCTCAAAAGAGTTGATGCTATTAGTGGACAATTTTATAATAGGGTTGGTTGAGGATATTGAAGTAATTCTATTACTCTATTTAAGAGTTTCTTAAACTATGTACAAAGTGTAGGACGACACTTGTTTTGGAATGGAGAGAGTATTTTTTTACTTGGGGACAAAAGTGAGTAGTTTGCAGAAGGAGAAAAACATAGCAGTTGAATATTGGAATTAGCTTTTTCTTATGCAAATTAGATTTGTAGTCAGCGAGTTATGGGCTTCAATCATTTGATCATTTATGACTATATCTGCATCTTTACTTTGGCCTATGGGTTAAGTAAATGCATTAGTATAAACAAGTCGAAACTGAAATTTCTCCAGTGGATTGTCTTCACTGTAAATATTTGCATGTCAGATCTAAGACTCTGATGGTACACTATTTTGCTCTGTCTGACCACCTTTGTTGTTGTGGGAGTGTAAATGTCTGCTGAAACCCTCTCAAAAGCATCAAACTTTCCCCTGTCTCAATTGTAGAGTGCTTCAACAGTCTTCCAGGGATTTCTAATTGGTTTTGTGTGGTGTGGTTCCAGGGATTGATAAAGAGAACCAGCATTTCTTTTTCAGCAGGAGAGTTAGGACAGCTAGTGCGGGTTCTTGGGTACTTTCGCGGAGTGTGGAAGTGAACGATTCAGATCAATCAATGCTGGGGAGGAAAGAAACTTTAAATTTCCACGAGGGGGCTCCTGGAAGCCCGCAAATTCCCACCAATTGGTGGATGGAGGAATATGAGCTCCTTCAAAACTTTAGGAATCATGCAGCTGCAAGCAATAAGGTATAGTGGATGTTTTAGTGATCATTTTGACAGAGTTAGAGAGCCATTCTTTCCTGCTGATGTTTTAGTTTTGGTGCAGGATGTCATGCTTTACAAGATTTATCACAAACAAGGACAGACGTTGTGCTCCGAAGTAGATGTGGGGCCTCATTATCCTGCTAGCAAGAAGAGGAAGGGGATGGGGTACACAGCTGAAGATCATCCTACTACTTGAAGGAAAGCTGCAGACTCTTAGACACCTCTGCATTCTTGGACCCCTGTGTTGTGGATTTGCAGATGTGCAGACTTTTGTTGCTGAACGTGGAGTTGTGATATGAGATTCTTCCAATGTTGTAGACTTTTGCTGTTTCTTACATGACTTCCTATATTCATTCTTTTGATTGATGTGTAGTTTCTTGCTTGATTGATGTATAGGTGCTGATTGGTATGTAGGGATTTTTCTTGAATGATGTAATAGGTACATGCTTTAGCAACGGCTGTTTTAAAGATCATGCAGGTACTGAGGCTTTTGCTGTCACTAGTAGTTATATGACATTTCAAGAGACCATATGCTACAACAGGATGATGAATGAGGTTATGGTTTAAATGAGGTTACCAGAGACCATTTCTAACCATTTTATAGCTAGTTTCTGATGTCGTTTTAGTCCTAGATTGTTTCTTTCTCAAAGCTTTAACTCTTGTATGTAGAGATTGAACAGGTCTTGTTTGGATTTGTAAAGAATTATGTGATCAGAGACTACAAGGTTATATAGATGTGTTTGTTATTCATGAATCATGCTCAGACTAATCATTCTGTTGTTAATACTACAACTTTGGCTTCTTGCATTGAGATGATCTTATTAAGGAGGTCGGAGATGGCAAATTGTTACACGTACTATGGAATGACACTAAAATTGATTACAATTGAGGTTTGTCGTCGTGAAGTATGTAGTTTAATTTCGGTGATGATGAACTCTATCATGTATTTATAATTATAATTCCAGGATTGGATCTCTGTTATTGTCTTCTTTTTTTTTTTTAATGTTTTTTCATCCACTTTAACTTCTGCACTTTAGACATGGATCAAATTGAGATATTCTTTCTGCAAGGACATTCTACTTCTGTAGGCTATCAGTGGTCACTTGGGATGGGCACAATCTGTTGTGGTTAATTTAATGTGTATTTGTATGGATCAGCAGACCGGATAATCAAGGTCAAACACAAATCCTCTGTTTGAATTGATAGTTATACTAGTGCTTGATAATTTGAGCTTCTCTGCAATAAATAAGTATTGTTCTTTGAAATGCACTAGGTTGATGAGCAACATAGTTTTAGCAAGTCTGAGCAAAACAAGCTTGTTAAGTTGTGCCGGTGTGTGCATGTGCGCGCGAGCGCGTGTGCATATGTGCATGTTCATTAATTGATTTCTGGAGGTTGAGGCTGGCTATCCTATGAAACTGAAGCACCTGAAACACACTCCCTGCATTTCAAGCCACTAAATTGATTTGTAGCTTTTTAATTTGAAAATTTGATCCTGTTTAAATTATACATATATTGATGAGAATCTGTGAGACCCAATACTACAAAGCTACTAGCATCCCCTGTTCAATGTCCATCTGCCCTTGAGATAAAGCCAATATTTGCCTTGCGGAGCTACGTACTGCAGATTATTGATTGTTAAGGGGGAATGACTTGCGTAGTCCTTAAAAGTTTTGACCTCAGTTCCACTTTCTTTATTGTCAAATAATTTCATATACAGATTGCTCAATTTTGTCACTGACCTTGGGTTTGTTTTGATTCCAATCATTCTGGAACTCCTACAATTCTCTGACACTTCTGAAATGGAAGCCATTTGGTCATGTGCAGAGCATATGACATCCTTAAGGGATCCCAAAACAAGTGGATTGGATTTGATGAGCCTTTTCCCCCAAATTCTCCCAGCAAGAAGGTTTACGATACGTACCACAAATACTGGGTTTTTTTTTTTTTTGTTTTGTTTGTTACAATGCGAGAGACACGAGTATAATATAAGCAAAGCAACACATTTTCGACTATTCCGTTTATATTAGTAGGAAATTTGCCAAGGTTTCCCCGATGAAAGGCCTGAAAATTCGATGAGTTCTTCACGTTACACAACTTCCTTCTGGTCATAGTACGAACATTACACCTTGTCACCTTGCTAATTGGACTACATAATGCGAAACACTTATGAGACCGATAATGGATGAGGAGGTTAGAAAGACAATTTTTGATATGGGACCATACAAAGCTCCCGGACCAGAAAGGTGGAGTCCCAGTTTCTTTCAATCGCAATGGAAAACAATAGGTTCCGCGGTT